TAATCTCTGTAAAATGTTGCATTTTGCACAAGCAAGTATACAGTACTGTTGTAGAAAAATTGGGGGTTGGCTTTTGCTGCCCAACTTCCCAAAGGACTCTGAGTCCCCTAAGTCCATGAACAGTCAGAGAAGAATGGATGGAGACAGGATCCAGTGAAAGAGAGGCAGAATTTGCTTTGCTTTATTGTTGCAACAGAGTCCGTCCGTCCCCCCTTCTTGCAATGAAGTGAAAGACCCAGAACAAAGTGTAAAGGTAAAGGTAAAGGGACCCCAGACCATTAGGTCCAGTCGTGATCGACTCTGGGGTTGTGGTGCTCATCTCGCTTTATTGGCCAAGGGAGCCGGCGTACAGGACTAAGCCGCTTCTGGCGAACCAGAGCAGCACACGGAAATGCCGTTTACCTTCCCGCCGGAGCGGTACCTATTTATCTACTTGCACTTTGACGTGCCTTCGAACTGCTAGGATGGCAGGAGCAGGGACCGAGCAACGGGAGATCACCGCCGACCTTCTGATCGGCAAGTCCTAGGCTCTGTGGTTTAACCCACAGCACCACCTGTGTCCCTTCTAGAACAAAGTGTGCCGGAACCTTTAAAGACTTTAATCATTGCCCAACCCCTTAGCCAATTACCACCCTAAGAGCATCATACATACATCACAGAAGTGTGGCTTCTCTCCCCAATGTCTGATTATGTTTTTACTGATTGCAATACCTGGGCAGTCTGGCCATTGTTTTGAGATGATAAATAGTCTTGAATCCAAGTCGCAGGCATACCCTTTTCATACAGAAAATATGCCCTTAAGGCAGGATTTGAAAATTTGTAAGTGAAATAACTATTGGGAAAGGTTCTTCTTTTGCAGAGGAAATAGAGTCATTAGGAGAGCCAATAAGGTTTTTGGGATTGTTCTAAGTGTATTTTTTCTCAGGGAATATTATCTGAATTTTGAAGGGTGAAGGATTGTTTTTCTGTGGAGTGGGTGTCTGCTATGTGTGCGCACCCTAAAACTTTATAATAATACTGTGCTGTGCATAATTTATAATGCTAATTTATCTATAATCACACATATTATTATAGATTATTCTGCACGCCTTATCTTTCTCATAACATCTCAACAGACTACTGGAATGAGAAGCTAATGAACATAGAAGCCCATAATTCTCATTCCCATAACTATCATTAACCATTAATATTATTTCTAGCTCCTCTTTACCCAGCTGGCTTTGTAATATTTGTTATGAGCTGGAGCACATAAAATAAAATTTAAATACCGTAACGACAGCTTTCCCCATCCCCATTTCATACCAAGATACATGGAAGAGAGGCTTAGGAAGAAGCATTTGGGAGGATTCTTAGAAATGGATTTGGAGCATTGTAATAAATATTATTATTAATCTTACAAACTCATATTAAGATGACATTTGACACTCAAAAAATAGTATTCGGGGTGGAAGATATGAACTGGAGGTATAAAAGTGTAACGGAGTATTAGTATTGCTCAAATATTGTGATTCTCTGGGAGATGATTGAGGAGAATATCAGGAGATGAAAGTGTACTTGTAAGATTGCCTTACTCCATATGCACCCACTTAACTGATTCAATCTTTAGAACTAGCACTGTTACAGGTGCCACATAATACTTGTTCAACACTTTTAAGAAATTGGTCTTTTAGTGTGGCAGCACCTAAACTTTGAAACCCTCTGACTAATGACATGAGGCAGGTGCTTTTGCTGTACTCTTTTCGGCACTGGCACCTGCTTAAAACACTTTTGCTTGGCAAGTCCATTCAGATACATAATGTTGGTGTGTTTTAATTTATTTTTAGTCTAATGTTAACCAACTTTAAATTGTTTTTAATTACTTGTTTTTTGCTTTCTTTGCCAATTTTTAAAATATTTTGTTAAGTTGTGGGTTGACATAGCAGACGACACAGCGATTTCTCCAAAGCAGCTCTTTATTTTGTAAGCTGGAACAGAACTGAACTGAGGAGCTCAGTCAGCCTGCTTATATAGAGCTACAGAACAATTGTAACTGTTGCAACATTCTAAAACTATCCAATCACTGAACGTCACTTTTCGATCCTTCATTTGCATACAAAACTATCCAATCACTAAACGTCACTTTCGATCCTTCATTTGCATAACTATCTACAGTATCCCCCTGCTGGCCCAGGGTGAGAACTTCAGTACATAACATATTTATTGTAAACCACTTAGAGGTTTATTACAATGAAGCAGTTTATGTATAAATATTGTGAAATGAATAAATATAACTTAACATTCTACCTATTTGTTATGCTTTATAATAACAAGGTGCAGAAGGTGCAGCTACATAATTGATTATGGATTATGTAAAAATTCTTAGCTGAAATATTATTAGAAAGAAAACACTGTTGACTTTGTGTAACTTGAATACCTGAGTGAGATAAGTGAAATCAGGCTGTAGGACTGGAAATAATGTATTGCTAATCTTGATATAATTTTGATATACTCGTGGACTGTAGGCATGTGATTTAGCTGTTGATTGTGCAAGAATGGTTGAGATCAAGGAAAACAATAAAATGCTGTAATTTCTACGGCCTAAAAGGTTTGGATATTTTAAAAATGCAAAAGATATAGACTGGGTTGCATGTATTTGTGGCCATTCAAGTAAATTGAAAACCTACATCTCAAACTATAGCAAACAGTCTGGGATCCAAAGAGCTATTATAGATAAGCCTAAGGGCTTGGCGGGAGTGCCTGGTGGAATTTTTTACTTTCTTTTTCAAAAGCAGAACCCCTCCCCAGGCCACATAACACACTTTTTGAAGGTACCCTGTTACTTTAATAAAAACACCCAAGCTTTTGCAGTATCAAGGAAAGCTAGCTATGCACGAACCATTCAGTACCTGGATAAATATTAGAAAATGTACTCACAGCCTAATGAAGTGGTGAAATTATATCCAGCTGAAGAACCCAGCAACTATGCCCCCACCTGCCTCTTCCCATTACAGAAACTATTCCTCGCTGCAAAACAACAGGCTGCAATCTGCATACCTTTAATTTGCAGGGTGGGGGGAAAGTGCCTGAGGGTGTCAACTTCAGGTGGGGGTCACAATCTAGCATCTCATCAGATAGCACTTTTGTTCTAAAAATGGGATCTCCAGCTCACATAAATGATTGGGCAACAAGTTCAACAGACCCATACTTCAGCGGATGAAAACAAACCATACTCATTTAAATGTAACTCCCTCACACATGCCAAATTTCTATGAGCTTCCTTTTAGCCTTTTTCAAAAGTATTTACAGAATCCTTGATATACTTTGGCCCACAGCCAAAAACATGCCTGGTTAGTTCAAACAGGTATATGATTTCTCAACTCAACAGCTCCTGACTGTGTACTCCTCTCCTTTCTCTACTAATTCTAAATTTTCTTTTCCCTCTTAATCCTGACTTTTTGGTCTGGACCTCTTGCCTCCTTATATCTCTTCTTAACTGAATGGTTGCCGGATCTCAGGATTGGAACTGGTTAGGATTTTAGCCACCTCCTTAGGCTAGGGAAGGGTTCGGTTTAGGAAAAAGTTAATCCCAAAGAGAAAGGGGCCCAGAGGTTTTCCTTGGGGTCCATTTCCAGCATTCATTCCTCAACCACATTCTTTTCAGAGCTTAAACCACCATCCTTCCCCCCCACCATCATGTTAGTATTTATATCTTTCCCTTTCTGTGCTAGGACAGTGACACAGGTGATCTATTAGCTGTGCCCATACTTGGATGGAGATAGCTGACCAGTTATGCTCCTATATTACAATGTGTTGTATCAAAATTGTCCAAAAGCTGTAGTTCGTTCAAAATAGTGTGATGAGATTATTGACTGGGATTGGGGTTTTGGGCATATTGCATCAGTGCTTTGTCAGATGCACTGGCCCCTAGTCCATTAGTGGGCCCAATTATTGGGTCCATTAGTGCTGGTCCTAATCTTTAACAGCTTGGAGCCTGGCTACCTGACAGATAGTCTTTTCTAGCATGTTGTTGTTGTTTAGTCATTTAGTCGTGTCCGACTCTTCGTGACCCCATGGACCAGAGAATGCCAGGCACTTCTATCTTCCACTGCCTCCTGCAGTTCAGTCAAACTCATGCTAGTAGCTTCGAGAACACTATCCAACCATCTTGTCCTCTGTCGTCCCCTTCTCCTTGCACCCTCCATCTTTCCCAACATCAGGGTCCTTTCTAGGGAGTCTTCTCTTCTCATGAGGTGGCCAAAGTATTGGAGCCTCAGCTTCAGGATCTGTCCTTCCAATGAGCACTTAGGGCTGATTTCCTTAAGAATGGATAGGTTTGATCTTCTTGCAGTCCATGGGACTCTCAAGAGTCTCCTCCAGCACCAACTTTTCTAGCATACATCTATCTAAATCTTGAGATCCTCTTAAAAGACCCTACTCCTGGTGCCCCGCCAAGTGAAACAAGGCAGGTGTCTACAGTGAGAGGGCCGTCTCAGTGGTGGCATTCCAGATGTGGACTAGCATCCCAGGAGAAGCTCACCTCATGTCTTCTCTATGGCCTTTTCACTGCCAGATGTAGTCCTTTTAATCCACCCAGGCTTTTTAAACAACTTGTGGTTTTAAAATCTGAGTGTGGTATTCAACTAAATTTTACTCAGAGCAGATCCACTGAAATTAATGGACCTAACATAATAGTGTGGTGCTAATAACACCAAGGTTGCAGGTTTGATCCTCATATGGGACAGCTGTGTCATTCTGCATTGCTGCATATTCCTGCATTGCAGGGGGTTGGACTAGATGATCCTCAGGGTTCCTTCCAACTCTACTTTTCTATGATTCTCTGATAATCATGTTAAATAATCTAATTGGGACTAACTATGAGTAAAACCTAGCTGAATACTACCCCCTGTTCTCAGTATTTGATTTATGGCCATGCTGCCAACTAGTATTATTTCTTCCTCTGCTGGAAATAAACAAGGATAATGCTTTTTTATTATTATGTTGCATTTTATTATTAGTGAAACTTCCAGAGAATGTTATTTTATAGGACAGCCTTTACAAATATAGTAAAGAAAGGCAAGTATAATATATAGCATATAAGTATGACATGAGTTCCTGATCTGGAAATCAGATGAGAATTAATTACTAAAAACATACAAATACTTCCAAGTCTCACTCCAGAAGTCTGTCCTCGAGTCTAGGCCTTCAGACATCTGGCAATCATATCTAAACCCCAACTTTCATTTCCCCAGTCTGCTGTGTTGCTTTCCACACTGTTTCTTTGCCTCCTTCCCTTAGCATTTTTGCTTGCCTTGCCCTCCTCTAGGATTTAAGAAGCTGACTCAACGGCATCCCAAAACTCTTGGCTTCAGAAAAAGTTGGTCAAAATTATTTATATCACTTAGCATTTTATCTAGTTATTTAGAATGTTCTAGGTGATTTGGACATATTTTCTCAATGTATCTTAGAACAACCCTATAAGGTAAACCTGTGTTATTCCTAAGACAGTATGATGGTTGAAATCAGCCTGGATTGCATATGTTCATCCAGGGTAGTAATGAAGGACAGACTTCCTGACTCAGACTTGAGATGCAAAATTATGCACATTTAATCCGCAGTAAGCCATATTAAGCTCAGTGTGACTTCTCAGGTTTACATTGGCTGTCTCACTTGAAGTTGGTGAATGAGGTGCCCATCAACCACGCTCAAGGGAAAGCTCCAGAGGCAAATATAGAGATGACACTAATTATGTATTGTTATTTAAAAAATTAAAAAGCCGAGGGGGGGGGCAATTTGTTTGAGGACAGGTACGGAGGGAAGAGTACTTTAACTGTCTATCCCCACCATGGTCCCACCATTGCTATTTACACGGGACGGAAGATCCCATTGGTGTGAAGGAGCTGTAGCCTTAACATTTGTGCAACACAATCTTAAATGCATTTGCTTAGATCCAGAACTCACCAGGAATGCCTCCCTCATTCTTTTAGAACGGCAATGGCGCCCACCTGAGAGGTTCTGGCTGAAAAAAGCCCTGCTTAGATCCATATTAAACGGAGCTTTCTCCCAGCTCTGCCTGCAAAGAAGATTGCAAGAACAGTCTGTGTATTATTTTAACAGAAAGCAAACAGGTTGAATCTTTGGCGGGGAAAGTGCCTTCCATATCATTGAGGAACAGGCTGCCTGAATAATTAGTGATTTATGGCACAGGGTCAGCTTTAGCATGCGCTGAGGTTGGGCATTTCTAAGAATCCCCAAACTAGCCTAAATCTCATCACCTCAACACCACTCCTTATTTTCCAAGCTGGTCATGAGGAGAGAAATTTCCATTTGCAGTTTTCCCAAGTCTGAGGGGCTCAGTGAGTGCTCCTGCGCGTGAGAGTCTCTCAAGTTTCTTGAGTCAATAGTGTGTTTTTTGTATGTGTTTATTAAGTAGGTTCTTCTGAGGTGGTAGATAACGAACCAACGAAGGCCAAAAAAGCAGGGGCTGTGCAACATCTGTGGTAAATCTTGGGTGAGGAGAAGAGGAAGTTCCTTAACTCAGGGCCTACACCGCCCCCCCCTCGATAAACCTCCTCCAGCTGCTTGTCTGGGACTAACACAAAACGAGGCAAGTTATCGAAACAACCTGGCAGAGTCACAAGCTACGGCTGGCTGGTGCTCTTATAACACAGCCGCCACCACTACCACTTCGCCAGGCCTTGCTCGTGAGGCAGCCTAAGCGTGACCTGGCCTAACGAGGCGCTGTGGGGAGGGGGAGGGAGAAGAGGGGACGCGCCATGAGGAAAGGGGCGGGACCGGGGCAATAACTGCCTCGGCTTGGGCGGGCCTCCTCGCTCGCTCGCCGTGGCTGCCGTTGCCACGCGCGTGGTGAGTGCTGGAATGCGCGCCGCCGCCGCCCGTTCGTCTGGGCGCTGAGGGGAGGCTGGTCGCCGTCGTCGCCCCCTCGACTCCCTTCGGCCTCGGAGGAGAGGCGGTGAGTTGCCCCGCCGCCGCCGCCGCGTTGGTGGTGCTGCTGGCGTTGGGAGGGAGGAAGGGGAGCGGGAGCGAGCCTGTGGCGCTGTCCAGGGCTGATCTGAGGGCGGCTGCTTGCTGCTGCTGCGCATGGGACGGCGTCGCCGGAGTGGGTGGAGTGAGGGCGGCCGGGCGGGGGGGGGGGAAGCCAGGCAGGCAGGCAGGCAGGCAGGCTGGCTGAGGGGCCTCTCAGGAAGGAAGCCTCCGGAGGAGCCCCCCCCTGAGGAACAGCCTCTCCGCCGCCACCGCCAAGACCAACGGCCGTTAGTCCCCGGTGGCCGGAAGGAAGGCTTGGCGGGGAGGAGCCGCCTTCGCCGCCGCCGCCGTCTCCCGGGCCGAGAGCGAGCCGACGAGGCCTCCGCAGCTTCAGCCGCCGCCCTGCGTGGTGGAGCTGGACAGCGATTTCTCGCCCTCCCCCGCCGCTGGGCCTCTTCGCCGTGAGTTGCCGCTTTTGTGCGCCGCGCGGTGACCTTGCGCTCTCCGGTGCCGAGGGATGGATGGGGCAAGGGGGAGGCTCGCGCGTTCCCCACCCCCAGCAAAGCGGGGCGGGTGTGTGTGTGTGTGTGTGTGTGGAAATCGGGTGGGCCTCGGGTCACGTTCCCCAGCCCCCCACCTCCAACCACGTTTTCCTTGGAGGAGGAAAGTACGGAACTTAACTCTCTCAACTCCCTCCCCCCCATCGCCAACCTATTACCACCCTACTGAGTCCTTCCCCCAGCTTCCTTCTCCGCCCCCACCCTCGAAGGGAACGAGTTGAGAGGGAGACTCGTGGCGCGTCTCCGTGGGAAGCTGCATGTGTATGTATTGGGGGGTGGGCGGCGGTGGGGGGAGGGGGGGAGACGTTGCAGAACAACCTGGCAACAAAACCTCCCCGCACACACTAAGCTGCATTGCTTAGGTCTCGGGGGAGAAAGGAAAAGGCCCCAGCCCTCCTTCTCTTGGGGTGGGGGGCGGGGGAGTGTTGGGTGGGGGTGGGGGGAGAGGAAGTTGGGCAAATCTTCGCCCTCGCTCACTTTCCCCCCCTTCTTTATAAAGTTGCTGGAGAGTTGTAACTTTTTGGGGGACGGGTGTGGTAGTTGGGGGGTAAGGTTGAAGGGAAGGGGGGCGAAGTGGGTTGACGAGGCGAAGGCAACCCCCTCTCCCCCCCCCCCGCTTCCCGAGCAGCAGCACCGACTTCGGTGAGTTTGTGCGTTGTGCGCTGCAGGCAAGAGTTTTGCAAAGAGAGCTGCTTTGTGCTTCTACTTGGTATTTGAGAAAATGGCCGAATGCCTATTTCTGGAATGCAACAGCAGCAGCGGCAGTCGATGGTGGTTGGGGCTGATGGTACACACAATTTGGTAACGGGCTTCTCCCATTGTGAGATTTTTTTCGGCGAATATCTGCGGCCTCACGTTCCTTTACTTGGGAGTAAAAACTTGGAATTTAATTTCTCAGCAAACGTGCAGGAGGCTGAATAAAAGACCATCGGCATTTGAAAGCTTCCAGACTTTAAACCACTGCTAGTTCTTTTTACTTTCTGCCTTGATAACATTGTGTATGTAGGTCATTGAGCTCGTTTGCGTTTAGGCCAAAAACGAGACCAGCATTTTATTTAAATACAATCCCCACCCTGCTGTTGGTTGACTAATTTCAAGACCAAGTAACTTGCCAAACACACTTTGTTGAGGAATGTGTGTGTGTTTGAGCTTTTCTTCAGTACCTTGGTAGAAGAGAAGGGAGCCGAGAAAGCCATGGTGTCTGCATTTTCAGTTTTGAAAACAAATCCTGAATTGCACAAAAATACACATGACCGACAGCCATTCCTGTTTTGCTGTGAATCCCTCCATAGTGTGGGGATATATCTGGTCTGTAGGTATTTACTTTGAAATAATTCAAAGAACATGTATGGTTACATGATACCTTACTCCAGGTAGTTTCACTGATTTATTTTCTACTTGTGCAGTGTAGGTAATTGTATCAGTAGAACAACAACTCTGAGTAGGTTTTAAGAAGTCTGGCCTGTGGAAAGGTTTCTGAAATGATTTAACTGTAGTAGTACAACGGGAAGTAAGGCCCAAGCCAGGTCTTGTAATCCAAGTTCTGTGTTTGAGGACTTGTCTGTGTGTATGCTGCTGTGATGGTTCTGCAATAATGGAACTGTCTTCCAGTTAGCATTTGTTTGAACTTTGGTTCTGGCTTTCAAGAAGGCCATAACAAAATATATTTTTAACATGGCCTTTCCCATTGTGGTAAGAGCTCCTTGCTTGGTAGGGACTTCTGCAGTATTGCATTACAACTAACTCTGGTGCTGTGGCCTAGAGGATTTTGGTGTTTAGAAATAAAGTGCATTGGATTAAAGCATATTTAATCTAGACCATCATTGTTTAATTGCTCTCGTTATTCAAATTTGGTGTTGAAAGTTGGTTTTCCGAAGCAAAGGAGCAATGACAACTATTTACCCACTCTCACCCTTTATACCAGGCTTTCTCAACCTCGGCCCTCCAGATGTTTTGAGACTATAATTCCCATCACCCCTGACCACTGGTCCTGCTAGCTAGGGATCATGGGAGTTGTAGGCCAAAAACATCTGGAGGGCCGAGGTTGAGGAAGCCTGCTTTATACAGAATTATTGGACCACATGCTAGCTTCTAAAGAATTAATAATAGTTAATCAGCAATTATCTTCCCATGAGACATCTCAAAACAATTAGCACTTTAAATCTATTTTTCCTTGTAATGTTCTGGAAAAGACAAAGCATTGTTTGACTACAACTGTTATCAGTATTCATAAAACCCTGCACATTTAACTAAAATATGCCTAGTTTCAGCTTTTCATTTCAAGATGAATAGTGTGGCCTTCAGATTTAATGCTTTGGATCCTAGACATGTTTTAAAAGTGATAACCAATTATTTATAATTAATAACCTTATTCACACTTGGCTAGGTTACAAGGCTCTCGGTGTTTGCTGTTAAATGAGGCATGCTTGGGTGTAGGTGTGCTTGTAGTTGGAGTTTATTGTGGAATCAGTGCATTCAGATAATTTTTTTGCAGCATGCACATGTCATAAAAATTTTAGTTGTGCCTTTTAAGCATATAATCCTGATTTCATCATACTGAAGGAAATCTGATAAGAAAAAATATATTCTGTATATCCTGCTGCATATCTAGTCACCACTGGCATAGAAGCTCATTTAGCACACTTTTTGGTAGGTGGTTTGTCAAAAAGTTTCTCATGTGTGGTGACATTTCATTGGATGGCCACTATCCACATTTGCTCCTCACCTGAGCCAAATCTAGCTATCTTTCCTCTGTGGTCCACAATACCAAATGAAAAAGACCCATTACTACCAATTGCTGCATGCTGAAAATGTGCTTGAATTTAAGCAACCCAGTTCAAAGGAGCTGTTCTCTGAAGATCTCCACACATTAAAATACATAGGCTTTGCGCAATAACTCTTTATCATAATTTAAATATTTCATTGCTGCTGCAATTTTTTTGCAGTCTGGGGAAAGTGTGCTTGTGCTTTTAAGAGTAAAAAGGGACTGTAGGACATTCTAAATTGTTTTGGATACAGCCACCTGCCCCCACCAAATATAATTATTGTGCAAGACATTAGTATTAAAGAAATCCCCAGCTACTTCCAGTGGATCTATTTTAATGCAGTGTGTGTGCAGGTACAGAAATAGGTAGTGAAGGGCACTAGTGTGGACAGCAAGCAGCAGAATAACAGTGTAACTGGAACAAATACAATTGTGGAATTTAGCATGGCAATTGTGCACACAGAAAGATTAAATGTGAGCAACTCGTTTGAAATATAAAGTCCTTGTTTGGGAGCATGCAAGGAGGGAAGGACGCTGACACTTTGCTATAAAATGAAATCATGATGCAATTAAAAGTTTGACTTTGTGGAAAATGTGGCCATATTTGACCACAATTTCTCTTAATCAAGATAAGTATCATAATTAAATTGTCACTGTTGTTGGAAGTGTTCTCAGTTTTGGATTATTACATAATAATTTCTAGACAGACACTTAAACAATCTTTCCCTCCCTTTTTAACAGAACTGTTAATATGGCAATGCAAGTGCTGGGGCAGTCTGGTGGCAGTGGCCTGTTCCCTGGAAATACTAACCTTGGCATGGCTTTGCCAAATGACATGTATGACTTTTCGGAACTTTCCAAAGCTGAGCTAGCAGCTCCACAGCTTATTATGCTGGCAAATGTGGCCCTGACAGGAGAAGTTAATGGCAACTGTTGTGATTACATGGTTGGTGAAGAGAGGCAAATGGCTGAACTGACAACCGTCGGCAATGCCAACTTTTCAGACAGCGATGGAGAAGGAATAGATGAAGCCCAGGGCATGGAGAACAACCATAGACGCCTGGAAGATATGGATCTGGGATCCCTTGAAGCTCCTGAGGTTCGCAATGTGGAAATGGCAGAACTGACGGAGCCTTCTGTTCCTCATACTTGCAGCCAAGACAAGGGCTACCCGTTGGAGGTGCCAGATACTCCAGAGAGTGCAGATGACAAATGTAAGAGCTTGAAGAACAAACCGTTTCGCTGTAAGCCGTGTCAGTATGAGGCAGAGTCAGAGAAGGAGTTTGTCCATCACATTCGGGTTCACAGTGCCAAGAGATTCATTGTAGAAGAAAAAGCTGAGAAGCATGGCCAAGTTAAAGAAGCTGCCTCCAGTGCCACAGATGAAGTTGATTTCTCCAAGGGGCCCATTAGATGTGATCGCTGTGGCTACAACACTAACAGGTATGATCACTATCTGGCTCATTTGAAGCACCACAACAAAGCTGGAGAAAATGAGAGGGTCTACAAATGCACCATCTGCACATACACAACTGTCAGTGAATATCACTGGAAGAAGCATTTAAGAAACCATTTCCCACGGAAAGTGTACACATGCTCACAATGCTCCTACTTCTCGGACCGGAAGAACAACTATGTGCAACATATTCGCACTCATACAGGTGAGTGTTGTATCTGTTTCTTAGGTTTGGCTGTTTGCAATGGACTTGGGTGTGCTGGATTTGAGTACATTTGCACTTGTTTGCCATCATGTTATAAATTGTGCTATAAACTAGCACTTTCTGATTTTAAACGATTGGCTTATGTGTACCAGAAGTATTGTGTTTTACATTAGAGCTAATGGGTAAAACAATAAAGCTAAACACAGTTCATTACATCTGTGTGTGGCAGGGGAGGTGATATTTGCTGATTCTCACTGATAGGTTTTAAGGAGAATGAGTGTATTTTGAGAATTACAATTTTCTCCAATCAAATTTTAAATAATCACCAATAAAATAGATGTTTATATACTGAAAATTAGCTCTAGTAAGGGAACAATGGTGGTTTTTGCTTTTGAAAATACTTTGCCACAGTCAGCTGATTTGTTTTTCTCTGCTCAACGTTTCTGGTTTGTTTGTATAAAACCCTCACAAAACATTTGTGTCCAAGTTATTTTTTTGAAGAAATGCAGAACAGGAAAATAACAAAATAGCCAGAAATCACTAAAAGTAGACTTGGCTTTTGAAGTTAATTTTAAAATGAAGTCAGAAACAATTTGTTTGAGTTAAAAGTGACAGTGGTAGTTGAGCTATTTAAGCTTGTAGCTGCTCTTAGGGCAGTGCTTAAGGGACCTAGTGGTAGTGGAAGAACAGTGCAGTTCCAAAATGACGAGCATCCCTCAAACCTCATATTTTTCTATGAATTCTTTGGCCTAATCCTCATCCCAAGCCAATCATTGGGACCAGATACTGGTTGGGGCAGGCCTAGTTTTGCTCACAGAGGTGGCATGTTGGATCCTTCCAGCTGCCTCAATATTTTTGCAACTCCGTGCTTCTCCCCCGCCCGCCCCCCCCCCGCCCCCGCCCCTGGGTTCAGAAAGTTCTGTTTGGCAAGTAAGGAAGCTTTGTGGCTGTGCTTCTCCTGCCAAGCAGAGGATCATGCTTTAGCAACTATGAGACTTGATGTGACACAGGAATTTAAGTGCACTTCTAGAATCAGGATATAGCAGTTGAATATATATATATAAAAGTGTGGATAGGGATTTCAATCCAGTATTGGATGTAATTATGTTCTACAGATGAAGAGAATTCAAGCCAGCACAAGTAGCCAGGCTTTGGAATTTCAGCTTCATTATATGTAGTGTGCAGTGGTGGACTGCATTCTTTTGCCACTTTTGCTCAGATTTTGCATTAATAGAGCAGAAACAACCGTCATGATTCAGGCTTGAATTCTTTTCAAGGTGGCAGACTTCTTTCTTTTTTTCTTTTACAGAAGGAGTTGTGAGGCTGTAGTGGATTACTTAATATGTTCAGAAACTGAGACCATCTTCCTGTTCCTTTGCAATGTTGCAGATTCATTGGGTGCTGCAGGAAAGCATTCTTCCTCCCCTAACTGTACTCTGCTTGGAATGGAGAGTGTAGTTGATCACTTTTGAATCCTATCCTCGCCCATTTATTGCAGAAATTGCCAGGTGATACTGTTGCCTTGAATATCTTCACCTATAGATTTCTGCGTATAAAACCATTGTTAAAGGGCAGAAAAACAGACTGGTCATAATTAGCGGAGACAAAACCTGCAGCGGTGCCAGGAGTGAAAGCCAGACATGTGCATGCTTGAATTATTAGGCAAAAGGAAGTGCTTGAGGTTCAGTAGCATATTCTAGTGATCTTAGACTCACGTGGTGTATAGCCCCTGTTCTCCCATCTAAAAGACTTCAGAATTTTGCTCTAGCTTAGATACATATCCGCTCCAGTAATGCTATGTAGAATGTAACCTTGTACCAGACATAATGTGATAAATAGTTGAGTTATGGATATATGTGCAGAATTCTGTTCCTCATTGTGATCTCTTTTCCTTGTGCTGGCCAGTTTCTGCTAAATGAAAAAAAAGTAAGTTGTATTTTTTAAATCATTTGATGCTGTCCCCAAATAAGTGGTAATACTAGATTTGCAACTAAAAGAGTGAAGGGGAGAAGAAAGACACCCCAATACAACTTTGTATACTTAGAGTGTGGCACTCACAGGCACTATGGTGCCCCCAGGCACTCCCCTTTTGTGCCCATACAGTTCCCCTTTCCCTCCTACATGATTTTTGATTTTTTAATTTGAGTTTTGTCTGTTTGTTGTGCTTTTGGGGGGGATTGTTTCATTTTGACTTGCCTGCTATTGTTTCTGGTCATACTTGTTTTGTGTATGTGTACGTGTTTTTTATGGGGAGAAATCTGAACATCAATCCCTTTCCTCTGCCATCCACCCATGAAATCAGTATTTTGTTTTGGACTCAACAGTTTCTTTAGGTTTACAGCTGAGACTCCAGGTCCTAAAAGGTTAAAGACCCCTAGTATAAACAATAGGGACAGTCAGTCAGTTTCATTGCGACTGTGTCAAAAACGTATGTTAGCAAAAGTCTGATAGAAACTTGAGTTTTTAGGAGAAATTTTATTAGGCTACCACCTGGTAGTGGGTCCCATAACACCTTTTAGAGGTCATTGAGTTAGAACATAATCCAGCCAAACTTCAGCACAGTGCATTTTAATGTGAAGTACTTGTTTAAGTGTCTCCCATTGAAAATGAGATTTACAGGTGTTTGGCCAAGGTGCCTGGATAGCCTTGGTCAAGAAGGGCAAACTACTGGCCTCTGACACACGAAAGACAAATGGGGAGGAGGGTTGCATGGCTCTGCCAGAAGGTGCTTGACGCTCCTTGAAGCAGTTGTGCCCAAGGGAAAACATTTGGGGAAATGGGGGTGGGGTTACCTGAATATGAGAGACTGTTGTAGCTACAATTTTTGATTTCTTCACCAAGGTCAGACAGTTTCCCTCAAAAAATTGTTCATCCCTATCATTTACCTTTTCTCGGACCTCAGGACAAGTGTGAGAGAGCACAGTCCCTCTCCCATCCCCTCTGACCTTGCAAAAGGAGTTGAGGGAGAACTGGAATTTTCTGTAATTTGAGCAGCAGTGTTGGAAATGGTGGGAGAGAATTTTGCTGCTGCTTATTTTGTGTAAGAGTATGTGGGAGCTTGCAGAGTGTCCTTGTGAGTTCAGGGGCGCTTGCACTTGCTGAGGATTGCATTTGTAGATGTTTAGCTAAGAATGGGAGGCAGGAATTCCCTGGTTTAAATCTTGCTTCAGCCAAGAATTACAAGGCAGGTTTAGACAAGCAGCTATTTTTCAGCAACAATATCTGCAATATGGGAATAAAAAAAACCCTAGATTGTTTCTAGAGTTGTTGTAAAATTTACAAATATCATGGATAGAAACCACTTCAACCCAAATGCAAACTATAAAATAGTTCACACACACGCACCTCTTCAAGAGAGGCTTTAAAAAACAGTTAACCTTGGTTTCATTTAGTGTTTATATCCTATTTCTAGAGCAGGTGAATTACTTTTTAGGTGAAGGATGCTAGTTATTTTAGGGATAATTTATATTTGAGGTGTTTGCCAGGTATATTAGACCAGGAAGGAAGATGTTTAAACCAAAATCTTAGTCCGGTTTCAAGATGAAACAACATTTTTATGCCACTTTTCTCTCACCAAATTGTCCAGCTCAGTTATTTTGTGTTCTCGTGTGTGTGTGTGTGTGTGTGTGTGTGTGTGTGTGTGTTTGTGCAGTTCAATCCTCTATGAGCATTTTAAGGATTTTTAATTTGTGTTTATTTTATCTGTTTTAATAGGAGAGCGTCCCTATCGGTGTTCCATGTGTCCTTATTCAAGTTCTCAGAAGACTCATTTAACCAGGCACATGCGCACGCATTCAGGTTGGTAAAAAGGCAATTCAAGAGAGCCGTGGTGGTTAAGGTTGTGGCTATATTCGTTAAATGTCTGATATGTCAGTTCAGGGATTGGCAGAATGAAATTCGTAGTCTGTTTATGACCGCCAAAGGTTTAAGCCTAAAACAGCCTGTAGGTGAGTTGTTAATTGTGTGCTTACATTGGCTGTGGAAACAGCCATGGCTAGCTGGATGCTTTGCACTTGTAATCCCTGCTATTTATTTTTTCACTCTGGGCAGTCTCCTGGCTGATAAGAAAGAGCTTTGAAAGCCCCCCCTCCCCAATATACAGAGTGAACTTCCTTCCCCACTTGTTAAGCTATGTTTCCAGTATTCATCAAAGCAGCATCCATGCAGAAGAGGAAAATAAATCAGCAGTTCTCGGGGAAATGCAAAGCTTTGCAGTACTATTAAAAAAACTTCGATACTCCCCCAAAGGTGGGGAACCCAAATGCATGCCATTGAGAACTGAACAATGCTCATTTGAATCACAGAATGCTGATGTTCTAGGAGTGTTAAACAAAAAAAGTGGGGGTTGGGGCAGATTAGAAGAGGGCATTGCTGAATTGGAGCATTCACATTGCAAAACTTTCTTGTGATTGTCACTTATCTACATGACTTTTAATGTGTTTCCTGCATTCGTGACCACTTTTGAAACAGCCATTGAATTTTAACCCCTCCATGCATGTAATTTGTGAAGTTGATTGCTGCTGTACATATTAATGACTGATTTCTGTTTTTATTGTTAGTATACACTCACATTTAATGTTCAAGTAAGAGTTGCTGATCACCCAGTCAGTTTGTATTTTTCTCCTGGACCTATGTATTATGTCTGGGTTGGGGGGTGGAGTGGTAGCACTGCAGAAACATTTTACCTTTTTGAGGAAATAATTGCTTCTGGGTTATATGGGTGTGGTGTAATATTTGTGTAAGCCTACTATTCATCTGTAATTTCCATTTTTCTACACTGCCTTCAGTGGACCAGTTTGGTTTGGATTCCAATTGCTAGTATTACTGTAGACTGATCTTTCCTGGTATGTATTTATCATAGATGGAATATGTGGATTAGTTGGTGCTTGCATGTTTTTTTTAGTTTCTTTTGGTTTGTTGCTGTCTTTTGTGAATGTGTTAACTGTAAAATCTTTTTTTTTTTAAGTTGAGAAATGCAAAAGCATGTGCAACTGTATAAATCTGTAGCTGTGCAAATGAGTTGCTGTTTGTAATTTAATCACTGGTAATTTCCCTCTTGATTGCTTCAGGTGAGAAGCCGTTTAAATGTGAGCAGTGCAGCTATGTGGCATCAAACCAGCATGAAGTGACTCGGCATGCAAGGCAGGTTCATGATGGGCCCAAACCGCTGGCCTGCCCACATTGTGACTACAAAACTGCTGACCGAAGCAACTTCAAGAAGCATGTTGAACTCCATGTCAGCCCACGGCAGTTCCTTTGCCCAGTCTGCGAGTATGCTGCATCCAAGAAGTGTAATTTGCAGTATCACATCAAATCCAGGCACCCTGACTGTTGTGACATCACAATGGATGTCTCAAAAGTAAGACTACGAACTAAAAAGAATGAAGTGAATACTTCTGAAAACGTGGGTGGTGATAATAAGGGCGTGGAACAAGAACAGGCAAAGAAAGAGATGACTGAAAAGAAAAGTGAGAGAACTGTAAAAGAAGAGAACCTGTCAAAAGAAAAGAAACCAACTAGCAGTGTTGGTATAGGCCATGTAACAACTCGAAGTCGCAAAACCGTTGCTGAAAGCAAAGAGGCAAATGTGAAAACTGAGAAAATGACAGAGAAATCTGGCAAAGCAAAGAAAGCAAAGAGAAAAGCAGATGCCACCCCTGTTCCTTTGACAAAAGATTTTGCAGCAGACACTGATGTTATAGTGAAGAAGAAAAAGAAAACTGAAAAAATGTCCCCTAAATGTCAGGACTCTCAAAAGAGTGAAAACAAATTAGAAGTCACCAAAAAGCAAAATTCTTGCCTGAAGAAAAACAAGAAAAAGAAATATCTGAGGAGTAAGCCTGGTAAGAACAACAGAAAGCTTGATTGTGAGAAGGTCACAGATGAGGAGTCATTCTCTAAAGAATCTGTTGCTATACAAGAGGAGGAAAGTAAGGTAACTGATAATGCTTGCAATGAACTCCAGCCTACTGTTATCCTTGATGTTAGAGAGAGCCAGTGTGTTCCTGTGGAGAACATGCAAGATCATGAGTCACTGGCGGCGCAGCACAAGGCTATGGATATAGAACTAGAGGTGAAAGAGCAAGAAATGCCCGTGGCAGAAGAGGAGACAATTAAAGCAGTTTCTCAGAATGAAATTGAGCTGACAGTCATTCCTTGTATCAGGTCTGAGGACTCCAATACCACCTTTGAAAAAGAGACAGGCGTACTAAAAGATGCTTTACCTGATTTGTCCCAAAATAGGGAAACCACAGAAACTTGTGAGATGCAGATTGTGACTGATCCTGATCCAATACAAGAAACTGAAGAGATACAACAAATGTGTGAGAGAGAAACTGTGAGTAACCCACATCCAGAAGATGTCAGTTCTACAAAAGAATTGCAGGCTGAAGACTCAGCAGAAGCTCCTCCACCACTGTCGCCGGAAAAACTGGAGAAGAGCACTAAAGCAGACCTGGTTTCAGCATCGTCCAGTGGCACAGTAGTAAATGAAAATCAGGAAATGGAAGAGGATGAAGGCATCCACAGTCACGAGGGCAGTGATATAAGTGACAACATATCAGAAGGCAGTGATGATTCTGGGTTAAATGGTGCTCGGACAGCACAGGAGAAAGATCAGAAACCATCCCAAGAAGTGGCAGAAGCCAAGGCCACAAAGGAGAACTATGTGTGCATATTCTGCGATCGTTCATTTAAAAAGGAAGGCGAATACAGTAAGCACCTGAATCGCCATTTAGTAAATGTGTACTATCTTGAGAAAGCAACAAAGGGGCAAGATTAACCAAACTGCAGTTTCATGACAGTTTATTCTAGAGCTTAGGTACCAGTTCTTGTAGAATCTTTGCTTAAGCTCAGTTTGCTTATACTTTTTAAAGTTGGTTGTGTTTTTCTGACCTTTGATGAAATGTTGAACTAATTAATTACTTGTATCTCTTTGATTAGAGAGGGCAAATAGGGTATGCATACTGTGGCTTGTTAAATTGGCAGAACTCCTTGGGATAGAGCCCTGGAATCTCTTGAGTATTTCTGTTGACTTGAAGCAGAACTATTCACAAGTTAGTAGGTTTAGAAATGTAGCCTTGGGGAACAATCCACCAAGAGTGTCTCCTGCACAGACTCTAAAAAAATAATAGAAGTGTGCAAGAGCACTGTTGTGATGTTGCAGAGTCCTGTTTGTTTCCATAGGACTTGAGCGGGAGATATTAACACAGTTGACTGAGCCCACAGTCTGGGCCTGTCCAGTCATTACATTCCAGGAAGATATTTCAGCCTGGTATGAGACATGTGCTCCTTCTCTCTTTCCCCTTTACTGCTAGGAGAAAGTCAAAGGTGAATCAGCATTTATTTGAACGTGGTATCTTCCTGATCACCCATTCAAAAACCCCTTATTTGATCCTGTTTTATATACACTTGCTACAATGTGGAACTGCTTCCCCATATTCCATTTCTACACCATTGCAGTGTAGGTAAGGCCAAGTGTGTGAGTTTTCCCATCCCCTAATGGGAAGAAAACAGTAACTGGTCCTGTCCCTGTGGTTCTGATATTCAGAATACTTAGCTGTATGTGAATGGGGGTTTTCTGAAGACAGACTGGGTGGTTAGGGAGATAATGTCTTCAGTAAACGGCACAGCCTGGTTCACTCTTGTCCTTCTCCTTGTTCGGAAGGATGAGAGTCTTGGGTGTGAGACCATCAGGCTCATCCCTGGTTAATAATTCCTTGCAATGTGACAAGTGCACAGGCCATCTGTGCTTGTTGAACAAAGTGTTATAGAAATAAACTCCTAGAAATTGAAATATTGCTCCAATTGTTTCTAGAAAAATCTGCCTTTTTTATTTTCACCTGTTGGTATGATGAATGCTTAAAGAACTCACTGTGGCAGATTATTTGTAAAAAGAGCACTTTCAGAAAAATGTTGAGGTTGGCTAACAGAAAACATAATTGCATGATCATATATTTAATTTGCATATACGTTTCAGGTCCCCCAATCATGATCAGCAAGCCAAAATCTTGGGAGTTCTTTCTACCTTTCTGTTGATTAGTGAATCCATTATTTGTTAAATACTACTTTTCGACAAGGTTCTTATTTCTTCTTGTGCTTTAAGAGATGAAAAAATGTTGCACATAATTGTTTTTATTTTTACCTATGCAGTTTAAGCCTTTAGGAGTTTAGTTATTTCTGTGTATATGAACACTTTATATATGCATGTTTGGTTTTTGTTAATGGGTTTCCTTCCCGTAATGTTGATTTTCAGGTTTGTTGCGTATTGTGGCCAGTGTTGTTTATCTTGACCACATTTTCTGGTTCTGAGTTTGTGCAGTGTTGTAGCTTTAATTATTTGATTTTGGAACAAATGATACTAAAGGAATGTCATCCCACAGACCACACTAAGAACCAATTACTGCTCATGGATAGCTCCCATTGTGAAAGGGGAACTTCTCAGTAGATTGTGCCCCCAAGAAGGTTGTTCATACATATCTCTGTATATAAGGTTGGATAATATATTCATATAGTATGCATTTTTATGCAGACAGTACTTTCTGCTGTTTTAGTGCATTTATTATTGCTGGGAGAAACTTTTCATTGCCCTCCATTAAAATTAATAGGGGCATGCATGTGAAATTTCATGGGAAACTTAATTTGTTAATGGATGGTGCTTGTCGAGTTCTAAGCATGGAATAGTCAAATGAGAGCAAATAATCCATTAAAAGTACACGTGAATTTTAAAATTTGCAAGTACTCTTGCCCAGCTCATACTCATTTCAGAGGGTCCTGTGCAGGAGAATTTCGAGATAGATTGTGCTCCTTATCTGCTTGACAAAGACAAATGTTGGCAATTACATAATACATGGAATTTGAAATGATCAACACTATCAGGAAGATCTTGGAAAGCAACAAATAAGGGAAGATGTAGAAATTCCTGATCCTTGTTCCATCAAGTTCTAACTTAAATTAATTACCCTGATACTTTTATACTTGACATAAAAAAGAGCTGAAATGATTGGATATATGATGAATTTGCAAACACTGGGAGAAAAGTCACAAGTAAAGCAAGTCTGTTATCAGTAAGGTTTGAGGCATTTGGAATGTGTGAGCAGTGAGAAAACCGCAGGTCTTTTGAATCTATCCCCCTTCAGATTTATGTTTTTCCTGAATTTGTAGATATAAATGCCACCTGCAGTCCTGCAAAGCAACATCTATGGAAGCTATAGGGCACATTCTATCCCAGCAGCTTTTGCCAATCTGATGCCTTCCATGCCATGTACTACGACTCCCACCTGGAGGGCACGAGGTAGGCGAAGACTGATCTGTGAGGATGTTTCTCCAGGACAAACCCCATGAGTGTATTCTGGCATGGCTCTTGTTTACTTCTTGGGGCTTGCGCAGAAGAACATCCTGCTAAACTGGGCCTCAGGATGGCTATCACGATAGTTTTTGGACCTGCTGCAGAAATATTAAAGCAAACTCTTTTATTCTTTTGTCTTGGAGACTGCTAACGCTTGCATTAGTTTAAGCTGTATTCGGTCTCTTTTCCTCCTCCTTTCTGCTAGAACCTTTTGTGGTTCTTTTTCAATATAACTTGACTGAATACAGGAACCTAATACTTCTGTGTAGTGGGTGGGTGGGTGGAGTTTTCTAATAGGAGGCCAAAGATCTGAGGGAGAAAAATCCCTTTAGGGCAGAAATAAATTGTGTAACATTGGTTATTTGTGTGTGAATAGCTTGTGTTGAAAACTTACTTTGGCTGTGACAATCATTGTCAACTGAGAATCAAGTTGCAACTATATTTATGTTGAACCATTAAACACTGCTGAATTGTCTTCCTAACCAATTAGTTGGAATAGTATTAAACACAACTTTATTGTTGGATGTAAAATATTGTCATTTTGTAAAATATTGTTTTGTAAAAGGTTTGGACAGAGGTTGGAAACTCCAGTACAATGTAGAGTTTTTTTTTCTCTCTCTGCCTTTTTAAAAAGAGATGTTTCCACTTTGTAAAAGCCTTTGTGGCCTTAAGCTACATTTTTTGTGATTTTTTAAAAAAACAAAGTTGGTTGAAAAGGTAGAGGCAAAGAGGTGTCACTAGCAGTAATGACATTAGATGACTTCACATTACAAGAAAATGTTGTCATGTTACTCAGAAGATCTTACTAGCAAATGATCAGGAGTAAAACTTTCACGCTAGAAAAGACAGTAGAAGTTGGTACCTGTGTTGGGTAGTGTTTCTGAGCTTGAGAGGGCAAAACTGTTAAGTATTAAAATAATATCTTCCAGCGATGTAATTGTTGTGTCTTGAGATATATTGGATATTGTGATTGACTTGAAATTCCTGTATGTTTCCCCTTATTTTGTTAGGATAGAAGGAGGTACCTATAGTGATCAAACAGTTTAAAAATAAAACTGGTAAAAGATGGAATGTCACTCCTGTCTTAATGTTAGATGTTGCAAGCGGATTAGTGAAATTAGGGTTAAACTACAGATGAGTTACTGTGTTTCTGCCTAAAGTAGATATTTCATAAATTGAATTTTGAGATTGTCACAGGAATTTTGGATACACCTTTCCAGCGTCTTCCTTTATTAAAGGGCTTCTCTCAGCAGCAATGCCTGTCATAACACCCCAACCTGATACATCCTGCATTATCTCATGTTGTTTGACAGTGTGGCTAGTTAGTAGAATCTATAGTGTTTTTGGAAAAGTAGCCTAAAGAATGGATTACTAGGAACTTGGCAACACATCTTAATATTGCTGCTATTTAGGGATTGATTGACCTAAGGGCTGGAACTTTAAATCTTTTCTACAGAACAAACTGACAGGTCAGTTAATACTCAAGATGCCTTTGATTTCAGTATGTTGTTTTGCTGATGTATTGTAAGCCCAGGTTCAGTTAGGTTTATTGAATCTTGATTGTGTAGCTAACAAGCTGAAATACAATATTAATTACATCCAGGTAGTTTAAGAAATTGTTTCACACATGTGTATATATACCTTTTCCTCCCCTAAAAAGCAAATCACACTAGCTAAAGAACTTTTTGTAAGCTGGCACTGAAACATTTTATGTTTGGTTGCACCGTGTTTGAAGCTTTTTACAGTGCAATACTTGTATTATTCTGTCAATTTAAACCAAAGGTAATTTTTTTTCATGCTTTCTCTCTACTGTAGTGCATGAAGAGCTTTTATATGTTTGTAATAGATGTAAAATCAGAAAAGATCACATATCCTGGGTTTTTTATTTACCTAAACTATGTACAAGCCTTTGTCCAAAATGTAAGGTGTTAAACTAAATTACGTATTAACCCATGAGTGTATTTTCCTAAGCATAGTTATGTCAATAAACTTTATTAAGGAGTATGTGTATCTTTCATCTGTCTTTTCTGAATATTCATCAAATAATACCATTAGCTATGGAAGGGGTGGATAGAAGTTAAGAGCAGCATATATTGGTTGATCTCTGGGTGATTTGAAATGGATTGACAAGGCTTTCTTGCTCCCAGTTGCTTAACGGTGGCAAGAAAATAACTCCCTAAATTGGTGAGAGGCAGAGATATGTGGAGGGACTGTGATAACCTGAGTTCAGTTCAAATACTTGAAACAAATTCCTGGAATATGAATTAACCAGACCCCAATTGTTGCCTCCTAGAGTTTTAGTAAAAAATTAAGTGGCTCCAGAAGCTTCACAGTTGGTCCTCTCCTGCGCTAAAGGGCCACAAGATGCATGCATAAAAATCTATATTGGCGAGGTGACGGGACCATGGTCATCTTTGGGGCTCTTCCACCCTCTTTGATATTCGACCTGTCAGATAATCAACATTATTGAAGTAGGAGATAATTTCTGTAGCAGAAATTGTTTCTTGCTACCTGTGAAGCAGTAAACTGAATGACAGCTGTGCTAGAGCAATAAAAGATGTAATTTCCCCAGCATCTTGGATACTTGAATTATATTTAATTCTATTTTTATTACTGATATGTTTGCCATCCTGAGCTCCTTGGTGAAGAAGGGGGATGGGAAATGAATTCAGTAGATACATAAATAAGGGGATATTTCCACACACCCCTATCCTTGAAGGCATTTCTTGATAGACAGCTGGCAGTGGACAAGAGTATAGAATGCATATTTAAGAACTTTGCAGTCCCGTGAAGGTTAAAATAACACCAGTTATAAAGCAGTGGCTGCCAATGTCAGCAGTTGCCTGGCTAAATGCCCCAGTTCAAAATACAATAAAGTTTTACTAAAATCTGTAAGACTTTTCTTCATTAAAATATTTTGGGTCAGTGCTTCAGGAGCTCTGAAGGTGGTGCCAGATACCTGCAAACACAATCATTTGGTATTCTGTTCAGGTTATATCAAGATTAAAGCTTGTCTCGTTTAGCAAATGAAGCTACGGTATACTTGGTTCTCCTTGTTGTCTCCAGCAAGTTGGTGCCCACAAATGAAGAAACAAAAGTTTTTGTCTTAAGAAATCTCATCTTACATGGCAATTCTGCCTTCTGATTTTTCAGCAGGCACTACCCGCAGTCTTCCAAGCAGATATTCACAAACATAATAACGATAAACATACACATATATTTTTTTAAAGGGTGAGATTTGCTGAATTCTGTTCCTGTGGAATTACATTATGAGTCCTCTTGGTGTCCTAACATTGTGCAATGTTGAGGTCTGAAAAATCGCAGTACATCCAGTTCAATTACTGCCTTGTCAGACAGAACATACATCCAGTCAGCAGAAAAATATCATGACTAAATGCATGTCTCAATAATACTGTTGTTCCCTTTCCTACAGTCTTCATGGTAAGGTGTTAGTTTGGATTATGTTATCAACAACCTTCTCATTTACTGTCATACATACTTCAAAATAATTCAGTGAGTGACGTCCTGACGGGTTTAGCTTTTTTTTGCTGTCAATGCTTCACTGCATTAGGACAATGAACCACTATGTAAATGCTTCGATACATACCACTGCAGACCCAGCAACAGCAGTCTGTCCCTTCCTGGTTAAAACCATATTACTTCTCCGCCCTTGCTATTTTTTTTACGTCTAACAACACTCAACCTGTTCCCATAAGTCATTGAGAAAGATCTGGTGGGAAGTATTTTTTAATGATCCCAGGAGACTGAATTAAACTGACACTTGTATCTGCTATCAACAAAATGCCCATAAATTCATGCTGCAAAGGCAGTTTTGCAGTAGCAAATTGCATCCCCTGTGCATCAAAGTGGAGAGTAAGATCTGCCCCTTTCAAGTGTCCTCAACCATTTTTTTAGGGGGGAAAGTAATGGTAGCACCAGTCTCAGTAAATAAGGACGTTGATTTTAAAAATATTTTAATGCTGTAGCCCCCTTTATTTGCTGTTGTGCAGGCTTCATTTACTGAGTGATGCCTAGACTTCCTGGCCTCAAGACATCACCATTGACACAAGGGTCAGCAAGGCCAGAGTTACAGGCACAAAGGCTTTACTCACAGTGCCCCTTTCCATGCATAACAGCAAGGTGCCACTGCAACAGTTTATGGAGCTCAAACATGGACAGGGTTTTGAATCCTTTGAATGTACAGATGCCCTTGATTTTCTCTTATCTTGCCAAGTTTCATAAAGGCGCTAGTTCCTTAGGAACGGGAAAACTTGGAACAGGAGTTTAAGAGCTAATGTGAAAAGTGGACAACCACAGCTTCCATTCTTTCTCCTGCTTCGTTCATCTATCCATCCTCAAGGGCTCTTGCCCACACACATACTGCACTTCATCATTTCAGGAATGGAGAGCAACAGAGCCCTCCCACACTCTGCTTGCTGCCATCTTCCCTCTGGGAGTACAAGACACTGCTTAACCCTAGTCAGGGAGCCTCCCTCCTGGTGGGAGACCCAGCCTGCTCTGCTGTTCCATTTCTTTCACCATCAGAGAACAGAGAGATCTACAGGCAATTAGGTGCACGTGAGATAGCTGGGAAGCCAAGCCCAGAGCTTGACACCTAGAACACTGTTTTGCAGTACCGCTGTGCTCTGGTTTGGGTCTCTACTAGCGGCAGGAAAATGTGTATTGGCCACAAAGAAGGGTGGGGATTCATATACAACACGTTTAGAACTTCAAATCCTTATTTATTTTTTTACAAAACTTGTTTTACAACAAACAATCTGAAAAGAAAGGTATGTTCTGTGCAAATAGCACTGTGTCATCCTTGGGTAAATGACCTGTTGGGAGATTTCATTATCTACAGTTTCTTAGATTTTCCCCAGCCTTGTTTTCTTATTTACATCTCTCTTTAAGTTTGCCACAAGGGGAGGTGGTTTTTTAGTCTCATATGCTGCACTTCGTTGCAGACGACGTCCTTTGATGTGAACGATGTATGGCAACAGAGGTGGTTTACGTACTGTCAGTGCTGTTCCTTCAGGAGTATAGCATTTGAGATGTACTTTGTCATTCAGATGAGCTGTTACTGCAACCCAGCCTGTGTAGAAGAAATACCAGAACATGTATATAATCTAAACAAAATGAAATCGGAACATTGGATTTGCTGGGTGAACAACTCCTTGAACAAAGCAGGACTATGTCAAATTTCATTTTTCAGTATTAAGACAAAATATATATTTAGATACTCTTTGTTTTTTTTTAGGGCCTGTCCAAAAATCTTTACACTCAGTAAAATCCAAAGAACTTGATAAGATTGAGAAATTGGGAACCTCCCCCCCCCCCCCCAAGTCTATTACACTACACTAGTGCTCTGGTTATATTCATCATCAGGACAAAACAAGAAGTACCAGGGTACGTAGCTACCCTGCCCAACACAAGAAAACATTTGCAGAAGTTACCAGCAGATGAAAGCTTTATATCAGCCACTGCCTCGGTACTGCCAATTCCTTCCAAAATCACATTCTGATGGACAAGTGGCGGAAATTCTTTCATTCGTTCTTCACCTCCCATAGGAACCTTATATTACAAGCCAGGGATTAAACAGTAAAAAAAATGAATAACTCTTCATTTACATAGTAATGTAATTAGCAAATTATAAAATAAGTGGCAGGTCAAGTCGGGGAGATAAAGCCCAATGGTTGGGGACAAGTTAACCGAGAATAAAGTAGGCTGGCAGCCAACCAAGCAACAACAATTGTATTTTGGGATTTTATTTTCATTGTTTTTTAAACCACTTTGATTCGTGAGAAAACTGTTACAAATGAAAAAGGAAAGAGAAGACAGGATTGAACAAGAAGAACAGATCAAACAGAACAAAGGTGTAGAAAGGAAATCAGTGGGGCTTACTTTTAAGTAGACATTTACAGAACTGCTCTGTTAGAAAAAGATAAGGAAAATGAAAATGGAGAAAGAAGTGAGATGTTGTTGAAACAGTGACAGAAAACCGCAAGCTGAATGGCAGAAAAGAGAAACAAGGAGTTGAAGATAAAAAGCCAGTGAAAAGAACACTGCAATACGCCAGATATAAAATAAGACTGATAATCCAAGCAGGACCTGTCAAGTATTGGAGGAAAGGGTTGCTTTAAGAGACTTTTCAGGTTTAGGGCTGCATTCTCTCATGGACAAGCTTCTGTGGCACACATGCCAATGGTGGGATTATAAATCCTGAAGGATAGCAGCATTTGGCCCCCAAACCAGAGGTTCCTCACTCTTGATTTAAAGTGGTGTCTTGTCAAAATGGGGACATTGCCTGGACTCTGATCCTCAGTGCACTTTAAAGTGTTGATCACAACACAGTTTTTTAAAGTAAAAAACCAGAATGCGTGGTCACACATAAGCCTCAATTTCTATGGATATTCTGGAATGAAATGATGTGTTCAACTCCATGCAACTGCAGGATTCAGTAGACTTAAAACGACATCGGATGGATTCACTCATTCTATTTACAGTGGTGCCCCGCAAGACGAATGCCTCGCAAGACAAAAGGGTTTTCCGTTTTCAATGCGCTTCGCAGGACAAATTTCCCTATGGGCTTGCTTCGCAAGACGAAAATGTCTTGCGAGTCTTGAGATTTTTTTTGGCCCCCCCCTTTTTCTAAGCCGCTAAGCCTTTAATAGCCTTTTAGCAGCTAAGCCGCTAAGCCTTTAATAGCCGCTAAACCGCTAATAGCGCTAATCCGTTAAGCCGCTAATAGGGTTGCTTCGCAAGACGAAAAAACCGCTAGATGAAGATACTCGCAGAACGGATTAATTTCGTCTTGCGAGGCACCACTGTAATAATCTTTTTATCCCGGTGGGGTCCTCCCCAGTTCCAATATTGTCTCTTCCCTTAGGAATCGTGGACTAATCTTACTGACTACTGTAAACTAAGATGTGTGAAATGCACTTTCTCTTGATTGCAATCAAGCTTCTGTTTGAACTCTTCAAGATGTCTGATGGTGCTTATAAGATTCAGGGTGAACAAAAGGAAGTAACTTCACACAGCTTTGGCTATATTCCAGTTTCTTAGCACTACTTTAGGTATTTCCACCCCAAGTAAGGCCTAGATTGTAAAGCACCTTGTTAGAAATTTATATACATTAACAGCAGTAAAATTAAAATCTAAGATATATCCGGCTGCTGAGATAGCACATCTTGCAATGAGGCTACCCTATAGTGTGGCTTTAACAGGGAATAATCTTTTTGCAGTAGTGCTCACAGAATGCTATTTAATTCTATTATCTTCTTTGCTGAGATTGGATAGAAGCAAAACAATGTGAAGTATTATTTCTTTCTTGCATAAAGTGGAAGACCACCAAGATACAGAGAACTCATCTGAGACAATGCAGTCATGGTGCTGGCTAAGAGCAGAACAAAGCCTGCCTTGTACTAGACCTAAGAGGCACAATAATGAATGGCTGTGGAAGGAGAGAGATCACAAGGCATTAGCCCTCATAGATTCTCCAATGGTAGAGACAGTACTGGCTTACCTTCAGTAATGTTTGACCTGCATGTTTTTGATAGACAGCATCTGCTTTTTCTACTGTAGTGATGTGCACAGGCAACAAACTAGAGGCCACAACAGAAAACCAGCAGGACTGGTCTCCCTAAAGAGTAATAAAGCTGAAAATTAATTGTCTGAAATAAATTCTATTAAGTTTAAAAGACCAGTTTCATCAATAAGCTTAAAGCCATCTTTGCTAACAAGAATTCTCCATTCTCTATAGTTGACTGATTTAGTGATTGAAGGCTGGACAGACCTGCATTCTTATAAACATTTCCAGATCCACAGTTACTAACAAGGGACTGGAGAAACAGGATTTTCAGTCTGATAATACTCTTTCTATAGCTATTCCACCCTTGCCTTTTAATTTAATATCCAAAGAAAAAACATAAAGCCCTTAATATAATGTTTCCAGTTTGGGAAGAGATATCTTAAGATTCAGCAAACAAGAAACACAATGTATTTAATGAACAATTTAGCTTAGCTGTGTTATTTTGGCTTTCTTACAACATGATACTCCAAAACTCTGGAAACATGCACATATACACTTTTTCATACAAAACAGCTGCAGCTTGTTTTCCTTTTGCTCAGTGAAGATGCAGGCAACTTACTCTGTTTCAGACATACAGAGCTTGAAAATAATTGCTGAAGAACTGAACAACAGACATCACCTTATTGAATATTCATCCTCATAACTTTTCAATAACAGAGTAACAGTAAATCTTGAGGATATAAACAATGGAAAATCAATCCTTTTGTTAGCCCAGAGGTACTGTCAGAAACTGGATCTCTACCCAAAGGAAAACGTTTTTGGTGGTGGTGGTGGGGAGTGAAGAGAAGGATCAGAGAGAATACCAGAGGCAGATACTTGAATGGCCCTGAAGAAGGGAGTGGCTATATGACTTGAGGCATTTAGTAAGTAGCTCCCTATCAACCTCTGGTGGTGATGTCTATGAAGCACAAGTTATTTATCACTACTGAGGGAAGAGAAGGAAAAATGCTCATTCAAGTTGCCAGCTCTCAATCTGGAACATACCTCACACAGCCTATTCTACTACACTCTATATAACACACATTACAAATGAGAACTTTAAATCAAATTCAGAAGAGCCTGTGTCTCCTTTACCTGCAAATAATCTATGCGTCCCAAAGCACCTAGAAACAACGTCATCCCAGGCTTAAGCACAAAGGACCTTGGAACAATTGCACAGGTTGGCAAGACCAGCTTGACTTCTTTCTCCTTCAGCAAGTTTAAAACCTAAAACCAAAACAGAGTCCATTATATAGATGAAAGACACTTTCATTTTTCATTTCTCTTACTTTGAGATTTATAGGACAGCTTAAAGTTATTTCATATGCAGTTGACAGGAAAAGTGATTATATAAATCATGTTTCCCAGGCCATTGATAGCAAGACGGCACTTGTCATCTAAATGCTATTCAGGTGCAGGAATGCATAGCTACTTAAGGCAGAATTAATTAAAAACGTAATACACAATGGCCTTAATCCAAAGAAGCCATGTATATGCATGCTACGGTGATGTAGCTCTCTCTAAATACTCTGCTGGTAGTTCAGTATGTTCAATAAACCTTTAGATTTCATTTATTGAACAGCAGCTTCCAAGAATACCTGGCCAACTGTTTAAACGGGTGGAGTGTCAGAAATAGCGGGGGGAATGCTAAAATTCAGGCCAAGTCCCTGAATTTATGTCAAACAGCTCTTTGGATATCTACTTGCTCAATTTATTTCACGAGCTTGAGTAAATTCTGCAAAGGATCACCAGCAACATATTTTGCAGATACCCCAGCTCTCCAGCTAAAAACAGCAACGCAAAGCACAGAATCACAGAACTGCAGAGTTGGAAGGGGTCCCCAGGGGCATCCAGCCCATCTCCCTGCAATGCAGGAATCACATTAGTTGTACATACTAATTATCATCAAAGGACATATCCAGCCAATTCAACTAGATGAGCCCCATAATGTGTATTTCATCATCAGGGCAATTCAGCTGCCCTGTAAGGCTCTCCCTTGCTGGAACAGAGGGCTATTTTTTCACATGGGAGAATATGGGTAGCATAATAGAATTTGTACATTGGTTCATGATGCAACAGCATATCATTGCTGCTCCACTCAACACACATTCCAAATTTAATCATACATGGGCAGTTATTGGAAACTGAAACAAAACCCATCCACTATACACATTCAACCAACTCCTGGCCCCCTGTGAATGAAGGCTTCAAAGCTGTGTGTGTAATCAACAGCTACTCCCAGCAAACTAGATCAAAGACAACAATTTATTTTATAGAGGATCAAACAAAAATCAATCATTCATTACCAGGTCTGACAGAGAGCTGTGGGAAGCTTTTGCTAAATACTGTGGTATTCTTTTAAAGTTGCCCAGCTTTTAACCAAGCAGATGTGCTTTGTACTAAATAAGCAGTTCATTAAGTAGTCTTAATTAAATTTTTTTTACTCTATTATTTCAGACCTTCCCTCCACCCAAATTTTCTTGTGCCAGGTTGGTTTCCAAAGTGACTTCTGTTTTAGCATTTTTGAGCTGTATGCACACAGGCACATACATACACAAAGTCACTAATACAGGATTACTGTCCAGAGCTGCTTCTACCTTCATCCAGCTCTGGGTTTCTTTCATCCACTTTTTTTTAACCTTAGAAGAGTGAGTTATAGGATTAATTTTACAATGCAGGGGACTCCCCACTTACGAAGGGAGAGTCTAAGTGAAATCATATAAAGTGGGGAGCACTTTCTAAACACCCTTTAACCGCCCTCTCTGCCACTCTCTCTTCAATCCATAACAAAAATACTCTATCCAAAAATATCCACAACTAGCATGGAAGCTCTGGGGCTGTCTGGAGGCTATGTGGGAAAGCAGCTGCTCCTGCTGCGCTACCCCATACACCAGCTGTTAGGCAGGAGGGCAGAGCAGCCTCAACAAAGTCCCACTACACCTCAGATCTCTTTGGGGTTTTCTCTACCCTCACTGACATCCTCTTTGGACTCTGGGGAGGGTGTCCTTGCAAGTCACCAGGATTCTCCAGCTTTCTCCCACCATTTTCTAGTATGATTCAATTTAATTATTTCCTGGTGCAGCACACAAGTAGAATGCGCATTAGTGGCGGGATGCCTGTAATCAAGGGAAGTCTCTCAGCCACTTAAAACTGGACATGAAATTCACTCAAATGTTTTTTCTTTAAAAAAGACCGCATCCAAAGCATAAGGAAAGTTGCACTTTTCAGAAAACGCTTCTGCAGCGCTTGAACAAGAGCTCACACAATACAATAATGAAGTTCTACAGCAGTTCTGCTTCAACTAACACAAAAGGTTGTGCATGCTCCTGCTCAAGATTTTATACAACAGGGTTAACATTGTTTGATTTAGTGTCACTTTTTCACATAATATTCTAGTGGAAGACTCTTTTCGATCCAAGCCAATGCCTTTCCTCTTCTCAGTCCTACGTAACAAACTTCTTAAAAGTAGAAGCGTTAACTTACACAACCATCTTTGACAATCCCTGGAGTGTCATAAAACCAGCGAGCGTCTTTCACTTCATTGTATGTGAGTTCAACTTTCTTAGTAGCAGTTACAGGTGGAACAGAAGGTTCTTCCTCCATACCAAAAGACAATGCTTCAGCATCAAACTCAATTTCACAATTTTTCTTCAGCTTTTTTGGCATTTGAAATGTTCTCCCAATTCTTCCTACATCAAAAGAAAAAAAAAACCAAATTATATTGCTTTTCTTCAGTTAGTGGTTTTTGTCCCTTACAAACTTCTCATGATCCAGCTTTCTGGAGGCAGCAGCATCTTAACTGAGCTTCAACATATGGAGCTAAGGCCACTATTTCAGATTAAATTCTGGAATGATATGCTGATATGAACTATGTATTTGACCACTGTACATAACCACTTCTCTGCATCCCCTCTGCATTTACAATTTTTCAAAAGGTCATGGGATCATACAATTTGTATCCTGATTTTCTAGCACGTGCTTAATTATATTTATATGATTGTTTCATTTATTCAATTCTGTAATTTTCTGGGAATACAATCAAAGCATTTATTACAAAAGAAAACATTTGTGGGCCACTCCGAGTAAGACTGATGTTGGCTATCACCTTTAGAGTTAAGATCTCACTCTGAAAATACTACAGTGGACAATCATCTTTTAGCCTGTCCTCTGGTGATTAAACTAAAAAAAATGAGCCAGTCTTCTTACTGTATCCTCTTTTAAAGTGTAAATTCTCTCTCTCACTTGACTAATCTGTCCTCTACTATAGAATTACAATCTTAGTCCTAGATATTATATAAATTAAAACAAGTACAGTTGGGGTGATAGGCAACATTAATCATACTTAGGACTCATGCACATTTCCCCTTGTCCCATTGCTTTCCTCCAGGGAAAACTGCTCTTTAGAACTCAAATCAGCTACATAGTTCTCAGAAGGTACTCACCTATTAAGTACCCTTGCTTTTTGAGGATCGCAAGCTGCTTTTGCTCATCTTCACTGAGGTCTTCTTCCATTTTCTCTGCATCTGCCTTTAGTCTTGCTTCCCTCTGGAATATTCTGTAAGGTGTAGGATTAATAATTGGAAATTTCAGGAGATTCAAGGTTGTTCCTAGAAAAACAACAACAGAGGATTAAGATTTTAGGTAAGTATAAGCAATTCTAACATGGCCCCCAAACTATTATGGGACATCCAAAGCTCTTGCAGGCAACCAGAAAGTTGGAGAGGAGCTTTAAATATAGTAATAAGAAATGCAGAAAACAGCTGGCAAAAACTTGTTCTGCCTATTTCTTACATTTTGACAACCCATCTTCTCTAGACCTTGTGTTTTTATGTTGTGAACCACCCTGTGATCTTAGAATGAAGGGCGGTATACAAATTTAATAAATAATACTAGTAAATAACAGAACTGGCGTAATGACTAACCCTCATCTCAATTCATGCCCTTATGAAGTGGCCTGGCTTTAGGCATATTATTGTTATCTCAGACTCATTCCCCAATACGTGTATGAAATTGGCTTGCTACTATTATTTTTTTTTAATCTATACTGTTTCTCACATTAAGTCTTGTGGTAGTGTATCTCAATATTAAATTCAAAACATTAAAATACTAGAAGAAAATACAACCGAAAAACTAGGGAAGAATTTAGATACTGAGATCAAGCACCAGAAAAGGCCTCAAAGCACAAATGTTTACCAAAGATGCCTAAGCATCATAAGATGGCATGCTCATACAGTCTTGCTAAGTCAAGGTTTGGCTTAAGAGTGTCAGGCAAATACAGATCTCAAGTGCTATATAAAAATATTCAATGTTATCTAATTTGTTCATGTCAGATCCTCATAGCCCATGTACTCCAGTGCTTCAGTCTTCCTCCTGTCCACATGATAGTTGACTTATGTGTGACTGGTTTCAGAAGAGTAGCTGCGTTCCTCATTCTTGCTATAATATGAGTCTTATGACAACTTTTAAAAACTCATAAAAAGTCTAGTGTGGCATGATTTTTTTGTTAATATAAGAGTTTAGTACAGCTCATCAACAACCACTGATTTGCTGGTGTTTAAGGTATCACATGGCTGTGTGGCAAGTGTAACAGGCATGGACAGCTCCCAGCCATATGTGTGTTTGAAACAAGGAACAGGTACTGACTTTTTAATCATCTCCAGTATTTCTGGAAGAGCATCACAGCGTTACATTACACAACCATAAATGATGTTCCTATGTGGGCTTCCTCAGGTTGGCCTAAATAAGTAAAAGCGCTTCCTCTGACCTGACCTGGCCAAGGCGAGATTGTTGCCCTATTGATCACATCAGATGCTCTGGACTTGCAGTAATCCGAGTGCAGGAGGGCATTGAAGAGGGTAGACTTCCCAGTATTGGTGCCTCCCACCAGGTACACATCCCCGTTGAACTTCCAGGAGCGCTGCAACTTGGAGATCAGCTCTTCCACCCCATAGCCGGTCTTGGCACTGATGAGGTGCACATCAACCACACGCTGCTGTTTCTGCGGCGTCGGGCTGGGCTTCGCCAGGTCCACGAGACCAGCGCCAGCGCAGATCTCCAGCAGGCGCTCTCGGAGACGGCTCAGGTACTGGGGCGAGTCGCCGGGCAACAGGTCCACCTTGTTCCCCAGTACGAAGAGGTGCGCCTGGCTGCCCACCAGCTCGGGCAAGTCGGTCGGGATGGAGTCGGGCAGGTCCAGCACATCCACCATGCAGAGCACCAGAGGCGGGCGGCCGTGGCGAGGAGGGCTGCGCAGGGCTGCGCTCACCACGCGGCGGTACTCCTCCCGGGGCATCTGCACCTGCAGCGCTTGCTCGTGATGCACCAGCACCCAGCAGCGCTGGCACACTGCTCCCTCCAGCGCCTGCTGACGGCGGGTCGCCCCTTGCCCATCCTCCCCTTCCCTGTCCTCCTCCTCCTCTCGCAGCAGGCTCCGGTATTTCTCGCTGGGAAGGTACCCGGGCACCGCAGGGTCCCGGCAGTGCAGCTCCGCGCCGCAGCCCGAGCAGCTCACTCCGCTTGACGGCACCGAAGGGTCCGGGTGGCCCCTGGGCCGGTGGGCCTCCCGGGGCGGCTTCGGACGGCGCCGGCTTGCGTCGCCGCCGCTCCCGGGCTGGTCCGGCTCCGGCCTTCCCTCAGGCTCCCGCCAGTTTCCCGCCTTCGGCAGCCGCGGCTCTTCCTCAGGGACGTACTCGAGGAAGACGAACTGCTCTCCCTCCTCCTCCTCCTCGGGCGGAGCAACCGCCGCCGCCGCTCCACAGCGCCTGAGGGGCTCCTCCGAGCTCCGGTAGGCGGGGAAGCCGCCGGTCCCGGCGCGCCGCCGCAGCGCTCCTCCGCCGCCCCATGGAGGCCGCCGCCAAAGCTGAGGGAAAGCCAGCAGCGCGGCTCGCCTCAAGCCGTTCATCGCCCCTTCTGTGGAGGCCGGGGGAAGGCAAGCGGCGCCTGAGGGAAAAGGAAGCGAGCGCGCCGGCCAGAGCGGCTCCCGGCTCGCGGTCCTCCAGGCGCCGCGCCCCCTGTCGGGGGAGAGTGGGCGTTTCAAATTGAGCGCGCGCCGTCGGAGGGGGGGCGGGGTACCGCCCTCTTCCATATACAGTAAAATGGTGTGTTTTTTTACCGCCCTTCATTCGAAGTTCTCACGGCAGCTCACAGCCTATGCATTTATAAAACAAAATGTTAAATAAAAAGGACAGTTTATCTGAGATTCCTGCATTGCGGGGGGAGGGGGTTGGACTAGATGACCCTTGGGGTCCCTTCCAACTCTATGACTTGTAATTTATCTGAAAGGCCGATGGGGCCCTCTGCGCAGGCGCAAAACCTCTTCAGAGATCCCCATCCTCTTAACTATATTGGGGAGGGGCGGAAGAGAGGGTAGGAGGGGCCAGGAAGATCGCGCGCGCAGTGCAGCGCGAGCGGAAGTGACGTTTTGGAGGCCGAAAGGAAGTGGCCGCGCGCCGGCAGGGGGTTGGAATGAGAGCTTGTGCGCAGGCGCAGTCCTAAGCAAGTGCTCCTACTCTTCGGCTGCGTTTCGTTCTTTCTCTCAGAAAGGAGCTCGCGCGCTGTTCGCGTCTCGCCTTCCGTCCCCTCAGTTTCCTGCATTTTGGTTTAGTGACGTTCTGTGAGTCGCCTTCGCCAATATGTATGACGCGGATGAAGGTGAGGTCCCACAAAGGGAAAGCAGACCTGGGGGGGGGGGTCCTTCATCTGTCTATGGGGGGGTTTGGGGTTTCTTGAGGAAGGGCGGGGAGTCTAATGTCTTCCTTAGCTCTGAAAGGTAATCCCAGCTGTGACTCTAGAGGAGAGGAATCAAGGCTTATGACATCTCTTCAGCCTGCTTAATAATAATGTTGTGGGTTTTTTTGAGGGATTATCCGTTAAAAAGACTCAATTTGGATCAGACCAAAAGTTCATATGGACTAGCATCTTGTTCTCGGGGTGGCCAGCCATATGTTTGTGAGAAGCTGGCGAGCAGAACCTGCGTGCCACTTGAAAGTCCCTGCAAGTGGTAGGCAGAGGCCTCTGATAGTGGAAGTAGAACATGCCATGAACCACTTGCAGAATCTCAGGCAGATCTCTGCCACACAGACACACACACACACCTGTTGTGCAGGAGGGATGCCAGAGTAAACCCTTAGATCAGGTTCAGTCTCCCTAAGGCTCACAGAGCAGGACTGGAGTCGGGGTTTATCCGTCAGGGAGTTTGGAAATAAGCACTTTTCATAAATGAGCCATTTGATGAAAACTCTTAAAAGGAACGACATACTATTCCGTGAAAATATTTATTTTGCAGATATGCAATATGATGAGGACGATGATGAAATCACTCCAGATTTGTGGCAGGAAGCATGCTGGATTGTGATCAGGTAACTTTCCAAATGGAAAATACAACGGTTCTGATTTAGCCAAAGTCGAAACACTTTTTATAGTCTCACTGTATTTCAAAAGAAGAATATGGCATACGTGTTTAGAATGATTTTATTCCGTTCTCTGAAAAATCACTTTATTGCTAAACCTAGTGTTAAAGGTTAGACTTTTACTGTACACTTGAAATGGATGCTCCCAAATCTCCTGATTTTGAGCATCTGTCTGATCACTTTTTTCATTCACTTCCTTCAATCTTTATTCTACTATTTTTTTTCCTTCCAAGTGTTTGCTAAGTGCAGCTGTGCCTAAATCTCTTGAGGCTTATCTACAAGTAAGATGCCACTGAATGCTTGCTGCATTATATGAATGGGCAAGAGCCACTTGCCAGACCCACAGATGTTGCTTACTTGTTAGCGTAATTGCCTTCAGGTGGTCCTTTCTGGTCACATTCTCATTCCTTTCATCTTTTGGTTTGTTCTGCCAGAAGCAGCTAAAAAGTAAAAGCTCATTCTTCCCATAGATCAGTAACTGAACATGGAACAAATGCTATTCTTGCAGAAGGTCTCAGGTTCCATCCCTCACTTTTCGGGTAAAAGCAGGATTGGGAAAGACCTATGCTTGAGACCTTGGAACACTGCTGCCAGTCAGAATATACAGTACTTGGCTGGATAATGCAGTATAAGATCACTTTCCCCAGCATAACCTCCTTATGCTACATATTTTTAACGAAGATCCTCCCCTCTTACCTCCAGTCCAAAGGGACATAAAACATTCTGTCCTATAGCGGGTATTCAGCCAGGAAATTTATCTGAGAGTTGTTCTAGGAGAATTAAAGGTAAGAGAACTTGAATTTTCATACAAATGATAATTAAAGATTTAATTTTTTATCAATTAATCATTTGCATTATTTGATTAAAACCCGTCAGCAGATTTTTAAATTAATACCAGTTGTGTAAACATTTTAGATGGTATGATACACGCGGGAATCTAAGAATGAAAGCAATCTGCTTTTTACTTCAGAATTCTTGTTTTTGATCTTATACTAAATAGTTCATTCTCACAAATTATCTTCCAAAGTTCCTATTTTGATGAAAAAGGCCTGGTCCGACAGCAGCTAGATTCTTTTGATGAATTCATTCAGATGTCTGTGCAGAGAATTGTTGAAGATGCGCCACCTATTGATCTGCAAGCAGAAGCTCAACACGCTACAGGAGAAGTGGAAGAGCCAGTAAGAGCCAGTCTTATCATATTAATTTTAATAATAATAATAATAATTCAAAGTAAGGTGTAAGTCAGGCATTCCAAATCCTGTCCTATGAAAGTTGTCACTTCTCATTGTATAGAATTTCTAAATGAAGCCTTGTGTTACTTTCAGCCACGCTACCTTTTGAAATTTGAGCAAATTTATCTCTCCAAGCCTACACATTGGGAAAGAGATGGTGCCCCATCACCTATGATGCCAAATGAAGCCAGGCTGCGAAACCTTACGTAAGCAATATCGACTGCTGTTATTACTGATGATATATGGTGAAACCTCAATTGTAGCAATGTCTGAAATGTAGTAGCAAAAAAATAAAATCCTGGGCTAAATTTGTAGAGCTACTGGTATTTCTAGTTCAAATTCGCAACTACTTGGCAAAAAAACTCATCTTTCTTTAATATTTAATTAATATTTAATTTTTTTCCATTGAAGCATGACAATTTCTCTTTCAAAGGTATTCTGCTCCATTGTATGTGGACATAACTAAGACAGTTATTAAGGAAGGAGAGGACCAGTTGCAGACACAGCATCAGAAAACTTTCATAGGCAAAATTCCTATCATGCTGCGATCCACCTACTGCTTATTAAATGGCTTAACGGACCGTGATCTTTGTGAGCTGAACGAATGCCCTCTTGACCCTGGTGGCTATTTCATTATTAATGGATCAGAAAAGGTAAGAATTAGGAATTCACATGAAAAAATGACTTGCACAGAAAATTCCATGCATTTGGTACACGGTAGCTTCACCCCGTCTTCATCTTTGCTCACCAACCCCATCTACCTCCTGTTGATATTATCCCCATGTTGCACCTCACCAAACCTACCCCTCTCTCCTTAGAGCTGTTCCTTTGTGGTTCACCTGAGCTGCCCACCCCAGATTCCTTCCTCTGCTGCCCTTCTCCTCACCCTCCAACGCTGCTGCAGTGGTCCAGCAGCTTTCAGAAGGCGGTTGTCATGGTGTAGTTCACAGTGCCACCTGTCAGCAGTCAAATGAACTGCTGCATGTCGACAACCTTACCCTTTTATTATATGTAAGAAATGTCAAGAATGAAGTCTCCCATAGACCTCCTTTCTTGTAATCTTAATAGTTGATTGTAATCTAATGGGGTTGATTTTGTTTACCTTTGGTGAATGCTTCATTGCTGAATAGAGAGAGCCCAGGTCTCCTTGAAATAAATAAAAATTAAAAAATTGTCCAGTAGCACCTTAGAGACCAACTAAGTTTGTTCTGGGTATAAGCTTTCGGGTGCATACACACTTCTTCAGATACCTGAAGAAGTGTATCTGAAGAAGTGTGCATACCCACGAAAATTTATACCCAGAACAAATTTAGTTGGTCTCTAAGGTGCTACTGGACAATTTTTTATTTTTTATTTCATCTGCATCAGACCAACACTGCTACCTACCTGAATCCAGGTCTCCTTGGACCAATATCATGTGTTACATTTGCTTTATCATAATTCCTTCCGCTAGTCTCCAGCTCAGAGATCTCTTAAGGCATGCGTATCTTAGATGAAGAACAATGACGGCCAACGTTAATGTTACAAAAGTAGTCTCTTAAAACGAGCTACGTCTTTGTGCTTGCTCATTTCCCAAACAGGTTCTGATTGCTCAAGAGAAGATGGCTACAAATACCGTATATGTGTTTGCAAAGAAAGACTCCAAATATGCCTACACCGGAGAGTGCAGGTCTTGCCTGGAAAATTCTTCTCGGCCCACAAGTACGATATGGGTCAGCATGCTGGCCAGAGGCGGCCAGGTAAGCAATTTGGCTTAAATCTTGGGATTGCAAGAGGGTAAGAAGTCTGCCTAATGGCTGTGGTTCCCAAAGTGGAGCCCCTTAAGAAGACATAAGCAACTGTCAAGCAAACTACAAATGCTCTTATGACTCACTCCTATCCTCTTTTGTATTTGGCAAGACAGTGGGTTTCTCTCCTGTTTCTCCCCCTCCCCTCGCCAGTTAGTTTAATACTAGTAATAGTTTAATACTAGCAACCAGTGGCCATCTGAAACTCTGTTTATTTTTGGCAGCTAAAAGTTCTGACCATCCGTGAATTGTACATATACATCTACAGTCTTGCATTACTCTGTACCTCTTCCGTCCTCTCCCTTCCCACCTTGATGGTGAACTTTTGTTTGCACATTGGGAAGGAGACGAGTGGTGGAGTTCCTCCTCAGAATTAGGGAAACAGGAATGAGAATCTGAGTTTGCATTTTGATCTACAGACCAGTCCCAGTCATGTTTACTTGGAATTAAGCAGCATTTAAATTGCAGGGGTTTGCCAAATAAACATGGTTAGGATCTGAGAGGCCCATTAATTTTAACAAGAAAAAAAATGTTATTGAACTTAATTTGTCCCAAAGTACTTTGTATTTACAGCCCAATGTGTGATAATTTTTTAAAATAATTGTTTTGTAGTCCTTGCACATGCTCAGTGGAATTTTGACTCCTTTCTCTTTTATATATATATAGAGAGAGAGAGACCTTATCATAAACTGCTTTAAAAATCATCCCAAAAGCAGTTTTCTACGCAACATAAGGGTCTGTTCAATAATCATGTCCAAAATCCCATTGGGCTTACAGAACTAGTTGCAGGGTTCTTTAACTGTGGGCTTTTCAAGTTACTGAGTCACCTGTTCATAGTTCTGAAGGATCAATTAGAAATGATGTAAACCTTAGTATTGCAGCAATGGTTTGTACCACTGGAGTAAAGAGGTTTTTGAAATGTATCCTGTTCTGGATCGTATGGGCTTTAACCTTTGCTGAAAACAATATATTTGAAACGAATAAACTAATAAATATTTGCTCTTCAAATACAAATGCCTTGAAAATCTGTTTCTATATCCAGGGTGCAAAGAAGAGTGCCATAGGTCAACGTATTGTGGCAACTTTGCCCTACATCAAGCAGGAAGTCCCCATTATTATCGTTTTCCGTGCGCTTGGTTTTGTGTCTGACAGAGATATACTGGAACATATAATTTATGACTTTGAAGATCCTGAGATGATGGAAATGGTAATATCTTGATTTTTTTATATTGATCTGTGACATAGAGCTACACGTATATTCAGAAACCTTATGTAATGAAACCCAGCATGCAAAATTGGTTGCACTCAGTTTTACTTTTACCACCTAATTCTGTAATGTCTGCTTGCCATTACAGTCTTACCTTGGAAGTAGAATGGAATCCATTCCGGAAGTCCATTTGACTTCCAAAATGTTCGAAAACCAAAGCACGGCTTCTGATTGGCTGCAGGAAGCTCCTGCAGCCAACCGGAAGCTGTGGAAGCCCCGTCAGACATTCGGCCTCCAAAAGAACTTTCGAAAACCAGAACACTCACTTCCGAGTTTCGATCGTTCAGGAGCCGATTTGTTCGGGAGCCAAGGTGTTTGAGATCCAAGGTACAACTGTTTCTAACATCTAACTTTAATGCTGACTTCAGGAAGCTCCTCAACCCTGACAACACCGTCTTTTTAATATATATGATAGGTTAAGCCTTCATTGGATGAAGCGTTCGTCATCCAGGAACAGAATGTCGCGCTGAACTTCATCGGCTCAAGAGGTGCAAAGCCAGGAGTCACCAAGGAGAAAAGAATCAAATATGCAAAAGAAGTTTTGCAGAAAGAGATGCTTCCGCATGTCGGTGTCAGTGACTTCTGTGAAACCAAAAAAGCTTACTTTCTCGGGTATGTAAATATACACAGTCTGCCTGTGGGAACTTACTTGCACATTGTTTAGATGAGGGTTAAAAAATGAAGACAGAAGCCTGTAGCAATATTCTTGATTACAGTAATAAATCAGCATAATAAATAATAATAAATAATAATTATTATAATAAATAATAAAAACAAATATTTTAGGAAATATTTACAAGTTCATTTTTCCCAAACATCTTAGGTATATAATGTGTTGATAACTCCTCAAAGTGATGTAATTTAAAAATAGCTTAATGTCCTCTTTTTGTCCCAGAAATCTGAATGCCCATTTCCTGTTAAATAACCTGCATATTTTGTTAGGTACATGGTTCATAGGCTTCTGCTGGCAGCTTTAGGGAGAAGGGAGCTGGACGACAGAGATCACTATGGCAACAAGCGGCTTGACCTTGCAGGCCCCCTGCTCGCTTTCCTGTTCAGAGGGTGAGTGCAACAAGTTCTTATTGTTATTTATTACTGATAATGTATGTTCAAAGGTTTTTCCAAAATGTTTTATGGGGAAAGCTGGTCCCATCTCCCTACAACTGGTTTTTTTCTGATTTCTTTTTCTACAGAATGTTTAAGAACCTGCTGAAAGAAGTTAGAATATATGCACAAAAATTTATTGACAGAGGCAAAGATTTTAACTTGGAGCTGGCTATTAAAACCAGGATTATATCGGATGGCTTGAAATACTCATTAGCTACAGGGAACTGGGGAGACCAGAAGAAAGCTCACCAGGCCAGAGCTGGAGTATCTCAAGTAAGTGTTCAATGGATCTCATGAGGCTGTGTGTGTTGCAGGTAAACATATCATTCATATCTGAACCCCTCTAACTTGATCAGATTATTTTAGGTGTCTCACTGAAATCTGCCTTGTTTGACTTTTTTTGGTCCTTCTTCGCCTTTGGCCTTAAGGAATCAAAGTGAAACAGTTGGAAGGTCATATGGGGCCTTGACCTGAGAGGAAAAGTTATCTTTTCTGCAAGAGAGCAGTTGTGGGTGGCTATGGGTTGTGAGCAAAGGGAATATGACATTTTGGGCATGAGAGCTAAGAAAAAGGTTGAGGACAGCAAGGGAGCAGATCTCACTCTTCCACTGTGCTCCTTCTAGATCTACACTTGCTTTACTGTAGCGTCAAATGCACCCTGGCTGCTTGCCAGGTCTGAATTGAACTCTTAGTAAATTGCCATGCTGGAGTCACGCTAAATATTGTAATTGAATGTTCATTAACTGTACGATAACTCAGTTGGTTAGAGCATGGTGCTGATAACGCCAAGGTTGCAGGTTTGATCCCCATACAGGACAGCTGCAAGTTTCTGCATTGCAGGGGGTTGGACTAGATAATCCTCAGGGTCCCTTCCAACTCTAGGATTCTATGTAACTTCCAATTTTAGTAACTGGATATTTAGCCCTTGGCAGTATTGATATGTGGTATATTCCTGGATCTTGTGAGGAAGCCTAAAAATGTCCTCTTGTTGCACCTCTGAAGGTATTGAACCGTCTCACCTTTGCATCTACGCTTTCCCACTTACGTCGTTTGAATTCCCCTATTGGCAGAGATGGCAAACTAGCAAAGCCCAGACAACTGCACAACACCTTGTGGGGAATGATTTGTCCTGCTGAAACACCAGAGGTAATGCGGAGATAGGATTGAAAACAAAGCATTCAGTGTGCCCATGAGCTTCAGTGTTTTTCATCTATGTCTTTATTTGGAATGGCAGTTGGTTTCATTTTTAGACTTCATGAAGAAATTTGATAAAAAGCGATTAGTATAGGGAAAAGCGATTTAGGAAACCCTTGTGCTTCTCATAAGCTTATTAGGCTCCCAGCATGTTCCCAAGAACAATTCAAAGTGTTGGTGCTGACCTTTAAAGCTCTTAAACTGCCTCGGCATGAAGGAGCGTCTCCACCCCCATCGTCCAGCCCAGACACCGAGATCCAGCACAGAGGGCCTTCACTGCGAAAAGGGAAGTTGCAAGGGAACCCGGCAGAGGGCCTTCTTGGCAGTGGCACCCACCTTGTGTAATGCCCTCCCATCAGATGTCAAGGAGATAAACAACTGCACGAATTTTAGAAGACCTCTGAAGGCAGCCCTGTATTGGGAAGTTTTTAATGTTTGATGTTTTACAGTATTATGTTTTATATGTGTTGGAAGCCGCCCAGAGTGGCTGGGGAAACCCAGCCAGATAGGCAGGTTACAAATATAACAACAGCACATGCTTTTTCATTCAGAAGGTCTCGGGTCCAGCTTCCGTTATCTCCAGGTAGGGTTGTGAAAGTCCCCTGTCTGAAAACAGGAGAGTCCTATGTTCAATCTTCTCATTTGCACAGTGGAGCACTAGGCAGGGTTGAGACCTATCCTTAGTTTATACATGCCTCAGAATACCGTGGCTCTTTGGGGAGACCTGGGTGCTGCAGAATTTGTCAGTGGAAAGGGTTGATGTGAACATGCCCATAAAGAAAGTTTTCGATTCAGAACTTTTGTGCCTTAGGAATTTCATGAAATCTGCACATGGTCTTAAAGAGATGCCGGTGTAAAAAATAACCGACTCCATGTGTCCTTAGGGTCATGCGGTGGGGCTTGTGAAGAACCTAGCCCTAATGGCATATATCTCTGTGGGGTCTCAGCCATCCCCAATTCTGGAATTTTTAGAAGAATGGAGTATGGAAAACTTAGAAGAAATCTCTCCAGCAGCTATTGCAGAGTAAGTGTGAAAACGATGTTTCAATATTGATAACGTCCGTATGGTTCAATCTAGGACAATGTTCTCAGAACCCCTTTCTTCTTTTCTGAAGCGCTACAAAGATCTTTGTGAACGGCTGTTGGGTTGGGATACACAAGGACCCGGAGCAGCTCATGAACACACTAAGGAAACTGCGGCGTCAGATGGACATCATTGTATCGGAGGTAGATATTGGGTCATAATATTGCTCTACCAAGTGGAACGCAGTAACTGGGATATTCATTGACTTGCTGCTATATTTCAGGTAGAGATTGTTAATAGCGTTGGACCTGGCTTGCTGAATCCATTTAAAATTCAGAATGGCCAGTTCAAGCACTCTTTTGCATGTAATAAATCACTTCTCCACAACCTGCTACCCTCCAGATCTTTTTCTCTTCAGTTCCCATCATCCCTGATCATTGGTTGAGCTGTCTGGGGCTGATGGGAATTGTAGTTTAAAACATCTTGGGAGTATCAGGTTGGCTTAGGCTATGCTAAACATTTGGCATTTAAAAAATGGCATTTGGCCATTCTCCTACCATTGTTTTTGAGCATTATGCTTTCTCATATAGGTGTCCATGATCAGGGATATCAGGGAGCGGGAAATTCGCATTTACACCGACGCTGGCAGGATTTGCCGCCCACTTCTAATCGTGGAAAAGCAAAAGCTGCTGCTGAAGAAGAGGCATATCGACCAGCTGAAAGAGCGTGAATATAACAACTACAGGTGGGAAACTTTGCATGGTGCTTCCATTCCTATCGCATTTCTCTTAAGGGACGGTGTGTATGTCTCGTGGTTCGCCACCAGCATTTGTGAAATGGTGCTGTTCATGGTGGATTAGGCAATATGCTGTAGCACACCAGCTGAAAAGATTATTTGCCAGTGAACATCCATTACCGAATCAGTGCTTCTGGCGGAATCAGTTGTGTGTTACAGCATCCCGTGTAAATGGGCATAAGGGCTTCAAAATTGCATCGACGCTGCTCATCTATTCCAAGTCCTGAAGGTGCTGAAAGATTTGCAGTTGCATTAAATGAAAACTGGATAGCTCTGTTGGGTAGCGTGTGGTGCTAATAATGCCGAGGTTTGCAGGTTTGATCCCCGTATGGGACTGCTGCATATTCCCAACTAGATGAGCCTCAGGGTCTCTTCCAACTCTAGAATTCTAAGTTCACCAGTTGCAAATGAACAACACCTGCTTGATATAAAATCAGATATTTGGACCTAAAATAATCAAGGCCTTTTTTTCTTTCTTTTTTAAAGCTGGCAGGATCTGGTGGCCAGTGGTGTAGTAGAATACATTGACACCCTAGAAGAGGAGACTGTCATGCTGGCCATGACTCCGGATGACTTGCAGGAGAAAGGCGTTGCCTACTGTTCAACCTACACCCACTGTGAGATTCACCCATCCATGATCCTAGGAGTCTGCGCATCGATTATCCCGTTTCCTGATCACAACCAGGTTTGTAGAATTTGTTATAAAGGTAGACAATAAAAAGTTTTATAACTGGACCATGGCAGAATATGTAAGATCTGCTTGTGTGTGCAAATATTTTTTTAAAACCTGCAATGATGTTTTCCATCTTAATTATCTTCTTTTACCTTCATAGTCTCCTAGGAACACGTACCAGTCTGCTATGGGGAAACAGGCTATGGGCGTTTACATTACCAACTTCCATGTCCGTATGGATACCCTTGCCCATGTCCTGTATTATCCTCAGAAACCCCTTGTGACAACCCGCTCTATGGAATACCTGCGATTCAGAGAGTTGCCGGCAGGTATGTTTACAAGGTCCTCTTCTGAAACTTCTTTGCACTGCTTCTGAAATTTAGTACTCGGAACCCTGATCACGGGGAGGGACACTTTGAGAGATAAGACGGCCCCTTGGCCCTTACCTGAGTGGGGCCAAAGCGGTTTGGCAGTGACGGAGCCCGACTGTACAAGCTGTCCCTGGTGCAGCAGGAAGATTTGCCTCGGCTGGTACAAGAGGATAGTCCTTTGCGAACTGTCTCGCTAAGAGGTGGTGGGTTTTCTCCTTCCCAGTTTCTCAACATGTTTCCGATGTTTTCATGTCAATTTGCTCTGACATGAAAACTACGCTTCCACCTACAGTCAGAATGCAATATAAAACAACTTGGGGAGGGGGCTATTCCCTAGGTGTGGGGTGTGCTATACCGAGAACGCATGTTGGGTCAGAGTGCACTTTGGCTATTGCGTAGTCATGAAGCCAACTGATATCAGTGCTCCTTGGGAGCTTTCCTCAAGATAATTTTTCTTGTTCGGGCCCATACTTTTGGGCATTAGTTTTTGCTTCTCCTTGCTTGTACTTTCCTTATTGCATCCCACCAAGGTGGCGGTTTCCCAGCTTTTCAGCAAGCGCAAGGTATTTCTAGAATTCCAACTGTACCCTGCTTAGCCAGACCAGAAATACGGATTATTAGGCTCACAATGGACCACCTCCTAAGAAGAGCACAGGCATAATTGTTCGTTCGCTTGCACTGGATGTAGCGAGCAGAAAGCAGTTGCAGATGGGCAGGAGGAACATTTGAGTGGCCGCTACAAACAAAATACTTTGCTTGAAATGCCTGCACCTCACCAAAGTGAGGTTCCTGTTACATAACAGCATTGCCAGGATTCACCACAAGGAGTCACTAGAGAGGTTTAAGAAATCACTTCCACACAGCTGCCACGTGCTGGTATTTTGTATTGACATTCCTGTTTCTGGGTACACGATAATAGAAATACAGGACGGAGAAGGAATGATGTGTGATAACCGAGTCGTGCTCTTGAATCTCTCCTACAGGCATCAACTCTATTGTGGCCATAGCTTCATATACTGGATATAACCAAGAAGACTCTGTCATCATGAACCGTTCGGCAGTCGATAGGGGCTTCTTCAGGTCTGACCTACTTGACTTTAGACTTCTGTATGAGGCAGTCCTTTAGGATAAATATCTCAAGGATCGCCTCTCCCTATATAAACCGTCCCAGACCCTGAGATCATCTTCTGAGGCCCTCCTTTGTTTGCCTCCGCCTCGAGACGTCCCGAGAGTGGCAGCATGAGAATGGGCCTTCTCTGTAGTGGCTCCCCATTTGTGGAATGCTCTCCCCAGGGAGGTTCGCCTGGCACCTTGATTATACATTCTTAGGTGCCATGTGAAAACGTTCCTCTTCAATCAGGCCTTTGGCTGATTAATATTCTGTAGCCTTTTAAATGTGTCTGTGGGAAGGGGTGTGTGTGTGTGTGTGTGTGTTGTTTATTTGCTCTTGTTTTAATTATTTACTTGTTTGTATACTGAATTTTATCCTGTGAACCACCCTGAGATCATACCATGAAGGGGTGGTATATAAATCTAATTTCAGTCGTACCTCGGAAGTCAAACAGAATCCATTCTGGAAGTCCGTTTGACTTCCAAAACATTCAGAAACCAGGGTGAGGCTTCCGATTGGCTGCAGGAAGCTCCTGCAGACAAATTGGAAGCCGCGTAAGCCGTGTTGGACGTTCGGGTTCCAGAGAACGTTTCCAAACCGGAACACTCACTTCCGGGTTTGCTCCGTTCGGGAGCTAAAACGTTCAACTCGCAAGGCGTTCATCAACCAAGGTACGACTGTGATTAATTCTCAAGTGGTGTTCTACAGTTTCATGCATGGGAAGTGTAATTGCAATAGGACAGTGGCTTTCAGACTTTGCACCTCCAGAGAACAGTTTTTGCATGGATCTGCCAAGGACCATTTGCCAATTGTGTGTACACACATGCTTCCCTGCGCGGCTGATACTGCAGTGGTATATCCTGGTAGGCAGTCTTGGGACATGAGGGATGCTGACCAGATTTGTTAGGTCTCGCTCAGCAGAGGTTAGAGTGTGCCTCAGAAGATAGTGTTCAGCTCTCCCCTAAATCAGCAGTGGCATGCAAGATGTCTATCATGGGCAGTAATCTGCTTCTGCAACTTCCCCCTCATATATACTTAAAAGGAAGCCCAGAATGTTCCAGATCACAGTTCAAAAACCACCGCAGTAGACAGATAACTGATGAGTGAAAACATGTGAAGTTGTCACGTTGACCTTCTTTATGTTTTCATGCAGGCCGTATTGTGTGAGGGCAGATTGCTGGTTGGCTGAATGTTTTTAATGATGAAGGCTTGCATCAAAAATGTGCTTGGTACTTCTTGAGGAGGAGAGTTCATTTTCCCAGTGCCAGGAGGCCTTTGCATTTCTCAGCAGGGAAATGTCTCTTGTGCCATTGCCTTAAATCAATAAGTTCCCCGGAAGTCCCTTGTCGGCAGCTAGTTTTCTTGAAATAACATCTTTGAGAAGGCCGCAAGGGATGGTAGGCTTTTATTGCAACCTCTGCCCCATCCCCCACTGACCTAACAATACATTTTGTTTTCCACACCTTTCACCTCTAATTGACTGTGGGGTGGATTTAGCCAAGGGGCTTCTAGTTGCCGACTCTTAATAGGACTGCTTCAGCTGTTTCCCTCAGTATTGCATCCTATTCTTGACTGAGGCACGCCCTGTACCGTGTCTGTTTGAAACAGAGCCTGAATTGGAAGAGTGGTCTTGGGTTTGGATTTGAGGCCTTTTTCATTTCCCCCCCCTTCAGATCTGTATTCTATCGTTCTTACAAAGAGCAAGAGTCCAAGAAAGGATTTGACCAAGAGGAAGTGTTTGAGAAACCTACTCGTGAAACGTGTCAAGGTAAGAATAAACAAGGATTCTTGAGAACTAGGCTGACAGGTTGCTGCTCAAAACTTGGATTCCCCTGTGCCCTTATAAATCAAAAAGAGCGATGCAACTTCCCCTTATGTTCTCGCACGTTCTCTTGCAGGGAAAGGAACTACTGGGTTGTTGTTTTTTGTATGCTATCCCTTGTAACGACAGATTAGATTTTAAACTTGTTAACCTGGGTTTGTATTGCACTGGTGTGATGGGCAATGCAAATACAGTGGTGCCTCTCAAGACGAAATTAATTCGTTCTGCGAGTTTTTTCGCCTTGCGAATTTTTCGTCTTGCGAAGCATGGTTTTCCATAGGAATGCATTGAAAATCAATTAATGCGTTCCTATCATAAAAAATCATAAAAATGCAGGAAAAAAACCACACAAGCTTCCAGATTCTTGCAAACCCCTCCCCAACACCAAGTCCTTGAATTCCATACACTCCAACCCAAAATCCGAAAAGCCCAAAAAATGTTTTAAAAGTTTAACTTACCAAATGGCTGCAAAAGAAGTTTTGGAAAAGCTTCAAAAATCACCAGTGTCTTCAAAAACCTCAAAAGAGGTTACCACACCGCGTGCTATGAGTTGCTCCTCGAAGTCAAGTCGCAACTGCACCTCTTCAAGCAATGCACCCTGGGTATTAACGGTTTTAAGAAAAAGCAAACAAACTTGCAAGACGTTTTCGTTTTTCGTCTTGCGAAGCAAGCCCATAGGGAAATTCGTCTTGTGAAGCAACTCAAAAAACGAAAAACTCTTTCGTCTTGCGAGTTTTTCGCCTTGCGAGGCATTCGTCTTGCGAGGTACCACTGTACACTTCATACAGATTAAATGCTTCCTAGGGATGGTTTCTTTGAGATCACAAATTTGGGTGAAACAGATGAGTTGCCCCCCCCTTTAGCATAAATGTTAAAAATTTAACTTAGCACAACTTACCCCATTAACCTAGCTGTTCAGCAACAAAACTAAATAACAGTGACAGTGCTGGAAGTGACAGCCCCCCCATTAGTATGTCTGGTTCTTTCCCCTGCATGCATCTGGCTTTGCCGGATCATGGCCTCAAAGGACGAAGCTGAACTCAAAGGCCACCCAATCACCTTAAGAACATGCGGTGGTCTGCAGTACAACCACACTTAGGAATTGCGCTATGGGCTTACTTGAAATTGCAGAGAACCAAGGTCAGCCATGCGCTGTGTGTGATTTAGCCAACCAGCCGTATATTTTTACCATGCAGGAAGCCAAAATTGGGGTGGGGGCAGTTCTTTTTTTCAGGGGGTACTCAAATGTGTGCAGTACTGGCACCTCTTTTTGTTGTTAAAGAGTGTGGCATTTGCTCTAACAACTTCATGGTGAGTACCGGCACCTATTTTTGTGTATATATATAGAAATCACTGGGGTTGGTGGATGATTTTGTAAGCCTTTGATGTGCTGGTATGCTTGTGTTCAGCTAGGTGGGTTGCAAATTGTGCATTTGTTTTCCCCAGGGATGAGGCACGCCATCTATGACAAACTGGACGACGATGGCTTGATTGCACCCGGCGTGCGCGTCTCGGGAGATGACGTCATCATTGGCAAGACTGTAACTTTGCCCGAGAACGAAGACGAGCTGGAGAGCACCAACCGCCGTTACACCAAGAGAGACTGCAGCACTTTCTTACGCACTAGCGAAACGGGCATTGTGGATCAGGTCATGGTTACCTTGAACCAGGAGGGATACAAGTTTTGTAAAATTAGGGTAAGCGTAGGAGTTATGCGTGATTATTTGCTAATGATAAAGCCATAATTCTGGAGTAACCGACTGTCATCTTTATCTCCAGGTGCGCTCTGTGAGAATCCCACAAATTGGAGATAAGTTTGCCAGCAGACATGGGCAGAAAGGTACCTGTGGTATCCAGTACAGACAAGAGGTAAAAGCAGCCTGTTTTTTTGATGCAAGGGAGAAACATGCTTAGAAATCTGTATTTGAAGCTATTGTCGTTATTTTGATTTATTACCTGCCTACTTTATTACCTACACGCTGCAAGCTTCAAAGGCCATGGTGGAGACGTACTGTATTTTTCTGTGTAAGAGACTGTTTTTTGCTTTAAAAAAATTAGGTCAAAATTGGGGGTCATCTTATATACAGAAAAATAAGGTATGTTGAGTGAGCGAGCGATTGGCAACAGCGACCCCCCCAAAAAGAAAAACAATTCAAGGGTGGTCTCCCCCCCAACGTTAACAACCTCCCAAAAAAACCGCCCCAGCTTTTTAAAATTAAGTTTGGGTTCCAAAAAATAGGGGTCATCTTATACATGGGGGTGTCTTATACACGGAAAATACAGTATATCTTCATTGTTCGGAAACTGTTATTAGTGAAGGTGTCAGGCACACCTCTGTACAAAGCGAGTTCTGCAACTTGGGTTTCCTCAGGGTATGCTTTGTCCCAGACCCCCACTACCCCTAGCTTCCCCTAGTGGAACTACCAAGAGGGTCCCTTCTGCTGATCTTAATGTATCATAATTTCAAAATGTTGGTCTTCAACCTGAGAAGGTCACTCATCTAGGAGAAGGAAAACTCTGCTCCTAAATCTCTACTGCCTTCTGTGATATCTTTGGATTTGTGTAGGGTTTACTCCTTAGCTATTTTTTTTCCTCCCAGAGTGGAGTACCTAGGATGGTTGTTTGGCACCTTGTATGCCTCCTTTTTGCAACTCTTGCAGCCAAGCTGGTGCCAAACGTATTGCTCTGCTTTCCTTTGGACCACATCAGTGAGGCCGAGATGGAGGTCTTGTAATCTAGGCAGCCCAGGATCTCCATACACACTGCCCAGACTTGCAACCCAGGGAAGTCACTTTGGTGCTGCTAATGCAGTGGTTTGACATCACCCCCACAGGCACATTCCATTGTCTCGAGATAGACGGATGCCAGCAATTATGGTGTTCAACAAGCAACCATAAGCTTGACCAATCAAGTTCTTTGTGAGCCTCTCTGGGGAAAGCGTTCTGTAACCGTGGCAGTACAGAGAAGGCCCTACACAGATCAAACATTCCTTTGGGGGCAGGAATGTTTGTACGAAAGGAGGCAGTGCACAAGGACATTAGGCCTTGGCCATTTAGGGGCTTTAAAGTGTATGTAACTGGCTCTTAAAAATACACAGGAAGCCTGTGCAGCTGAAAAACGATAATTTAATTTGCTTCCTGTAGCAAGTCACTGTCAAAGGTGTTGGGCAGCAGAATTCTGAGCAAGATAAAAAACTTCTGGATCATGTTCAAGGGCAACCCTATGTAGTGTTACTTAAGATGAAGACTGAGTGTTCATAAAACAGAATTGTCAGTGCACAGCTGGACAGCAGCGGAAATTCAGAGCAGATTGAAAGCCTGGTGGAACAAAACCATTTTTACAGCTTGCCTAAGAATCCTGGTGCACTGTACAAAAAAGCAGTTGATTCACAGCAAGTAAATGTGCATTAATCAGAATTATATACAGTCGTACCTTGGTTCTCAAACAGAATCCATTCTGGAAGCTTGTTCGACTTTTGAAAAACAAGACGCAGCTTCCAATTGGCTGCAGGAGCTTCCTGCACTCAATTGGAAACCGTGGAAGCAGCATCGGACGCTCAACTTCCAAAAAACATTCGCAAACCGGAACACTCACTTCCAGGTTTGCTGCGTTCAGGAACCAAAACGTTAAGAGTCGCAAGGCGTTTGAGATCCAAGGTACGACTGTATACATATATAAAATGTTTGCAGAAAGCAGCTATAAGTGGCATTTTCCTTTCCTGTCTAGGACATGCCTTTCACCTGCGAAGGTATTACCCCCGATATAATCATCAATCCTCATGCCATCCCTTCACGTATGACCATTGGTCACTTGATTGAATGTCTGCAAGGGAAGGTAAGAACTGGGGAACATTGAAGTAACGTGAAAAGTTACAAAAAAGCGGCAGGGCAGGGTGTTTGCAGGCTTTTTCGATGGTGTTTCAAATATGTCAGATTTCACTTAAACAAGCTGTGCCTTGGAGCGTAACCCCTGCATAAATTGGGAGCTGCTCGTACTCTGTTAAACTACCTGCCTCCCCTTTTTAGGTATCAGCAAATAAAGGAGAAATCGGTGACGCCACACCTTTCAATGATGCAGTCAACGTGCAGAAGATTTCTAACTTGCTGTCTGACTATGGCTACCATCTGAGGGGAAATGAGGTACGTCATGGTCTTGAGGGGCAACAGGAGCTCAACCGTGCTGCCACGTTGCCTGTGATTTGGTGTTCATGGAGTCTCGTTCTTTCCCTCCAGGTTTTGTACAATGGCTTCACTGGCCGCAAAATCACATCGCAGATCTTTATTGGCCCTACTTACTACCAGCGGTTAAAACACATGGTAGATGACAAAATCCATTCCCGTGCAAGAGGGCCAATTCAGATCCTTAATAGGCAGCCTATGGAAGGTCGATCCCGGTAAGAAATAGATGTGCGCCTTAATGACATGTTGTCCGGAGCAATGAAGGGTCTGTTTGTAGTCCTTGCCTTTCAAAAACCATCATCTGAGGAGGGAGATGGGCTCAGGTGTCTAGAATGAAATGACAGGCCATTTTCTCAGTTGCCTGTGGTGTAAGCATGAATCCCTCGCAGGTGGCCAGGCGCAGACTCTTGTCTAAAATGTAAGAGGGCTTGTTCTTTCACACAATCAAATGACATTGGTAGAGGTGGGCTTGGAAATTTTTTTGGGTGGGTTAGTCATTTTTGTGGACTGACTTGAAAGTCTTTGGAAAGGGGGTTGCATAGGTGCACCCTGGCTGGTTATTGTCACCTTCTGTGGGCAGGAAACATTTGCAGATAAATCTTAAATTGGTTTGTATGTAAAGCAGCCTATGACCTTGACGTGCTTTGCACTATTTCCCCTCCTACGTGAAAGTTAACACGAACACTGTGTCAAGAAAAGCTGAATTCTGCAACCTTTAAATTAAATATAGTGACGCGACTTACTTAGCATTCTTTTAATTCTTCAGGTTTTGCAGCTTTGCATAATATATTCTACTCGTCACAGGAGAAGCCAATGAGATCCAAAGGGCACAGAAACCCCATCCCTCACCTCTGGAAATCTCATTTAGCAATGTTTTTAGTTTCTGAAATTTCCCCCGAGCTTTGCCCACAGATTTTTCACGCATATATTCACAACATCAGGGCTAGAATATTGCTTTGAAAGCTCAGGGAACTGGGTTGTCTGAACTTCCTACAATCCAGAATCTTATCATTGCTGAATGTCCCTTTGATTTCCCCCTGTGCTGTTTCCTGCATAGACGACATTCATACATAGCACAGATAGCCTGAGAAAATCCCAACAATTTTTTTAGCATCTTCTGTAAAAAAAATAATCCTCATTTCTTAACTTCCTCCAGAAAGTTGGATTTGGTTATTTTTGGCAGTCCCCTTAGATTCTGCTCCAGTAGTTTATTGTGTTTAGGGCAGTGTGGTTATAACTTAGCCTTCTGGCTTAGAAAAATGTGGAATTAAACAAGCTTGTTTCTCTCTTCCCCCTCCCCCCAAAAAAGTGACGGTGGCCTTCGTTTTGGAGAAATGGAGAGAGACTGTCAGATTGCTCACGGCGCAGCACAGTTCTTACGAGAGAGATTGTTTGAGGCATCAGACCCGTATCAGGTTCACGTGTGCAACCTGTGCGGCTTAATGGCAATAGCAAACACCAGGACACACACCTACGAGTGCAGGGGGTGCCGTAATAAGACACAGGTATGTGGAAAGATACCTGTTTCTCTCTCACCCTCCTTAATCTCACCAACCCTGCTTAATCCTTTCTCATCCTTTTGGGTTCCACCTTCAGGCCTTCTGCCATTTCGAAACCCTCTGCAAAATCTGTTGCTTCCGCCAAAACCTTCCCTGTCTGCAAACCCCTTATTCACTACATTGTTCCACACGATTGCCTTACATCTGGGTTTAATAAGGGTCATGGGAAGCCCAGGGCAGCATAGCAGTGCAGAGAATGTCTTGCGATTCCACCGTGTGTAGGATGCTCATCGCCTAAGGTACTAGGTTAGATTTTAGAACTTAACTTGGACCTTTCCTTGTTTTGAGATGCATTCCATCCATTGGGTGGGTTTGCTTAGTGCAGGGGTGGGGAACTTTTGGCCCTCCAGATGTTGGGCTCCTGATTGTAGTTGGGTCCCAACTGGCAGCTGTAGCCCTACATTAGTTGGAGGGTCACAGCTTCCCTATGCTTGACTGCTGGCTCCCAACTCTGCATCACACCAAATTGAAGCAAGGCAATGCAGAAGTTGTATCTGTGTATCAGTAGTGTGCTGAGTGAGGGCCAATCCATTGAAGCTCAGCCGAGATGCGATAGAAATTACGAGAGCAGGATGTGGTGTTCAGCCTCTTCTAGATAAGGTTGCATTCCCCTAAGGCAGGCTATACAGTGGTGCCCCGCAAGACGAATGCCTCGCAAGACGAAAAACTCGCTAGACGAAAGGGTTTTCCGTTTTTGCGTTGCTTCGCTAGACGAATTTCCCTATGGGCTTGCTTCGCAAGACGAAAACGTCTTGCGCTTTTTTTTTAAAGCCGCTTGAAGAGGCGCAGTTGCGACGGACCGTGCTTCGCAAGACGAAAAACATCGCAAGACGAAAAGACTCACGGAACGAATTCTTTTCGTCTTGCGAGGCACCACTGTAGTTTGACTTTTCTCACTTGTTTGTTACTTGTCCATCTAGTAACTGTTTGGATCTGTCATGATGATATCCAAACATAAATACTGTACTGTATATGTCAAAGAGAAAAACTACAACCAGACTTTTAGAAGACATCTGAAGGCAGCCCTGTTTAGGGAAGCTTTTAATGTTTAATAGACTACTGTATTTTAATATTCTGTTGGAAGCCGCCCAGAGTGGCTGGGGAAACCCAGCCAGATGGGCGTGGTATAAATACAACAACAACAACAATTAATTATTATTATTTCTGTGAAATAAAGATCCCTTTATATGTTTATTTCATAACCTTAAATGACTTCAGAGGCATGGGAGAAGGGAAGGCTTCCTGAAGAATGACAATGGGAGGGTGTGGTAGATCACTGCCAGTTTTGGATACTGGATAGTAGCCTATAAGGAATCAGGGCTTGCAACCGGTGGTTGCTGACAGAACCAGCACTCTCTGGTGGTCCAAGTGGAATCTGAAGCATGCATCGCCTTATATCCCCTAAGCCTGGGGTGGTTGCTGTAGCCCTTCCTGGGCAGACAGAACCTGGCCACTGCTCCTTGGTAAGCTCCATATTAGACGCCTACAGCATGTTGCCGTATGTGATCCAGATGCAATTCAAAGGGCTTGGGAGCCTGATATCTGAAGGACTGTCCTCTGCCACATGTGCCTGCCCATCGGAGACATTGCCCCACTCTTGAAGTTAGCTTTCACACCCAGCCACCACCCCGTCTCACAGGTGGCACCATGTACATAGATTGCCTTCCTAAGGGATGCTTGCCTGGTGCTGCTGACTTTGTCATCCCAGCACCAGGCAAACACTTTTTAAAAATTTGCCCATGCTTTCCAGCATGTCGCTGAAGCTGTTTTTTTCAGTTCTTCTGAGGATTTAGCACCCCGTTTCTGTTGCTTTTTTCAGATTTCAACATTGAGTCCTGCTGCATTTGTTCCTTTAATTATTGTGAGAGCTGCCCTGGGAGTTTTAAAGGGGAGGTTGGTGCCTAAATATTGAAAAATACATTTTTTACTAATATTTGTCAACCTTTTTTTCAGATTTCTCTGGTTAGAATGCCGTACGCGTGCAAACTCCTTTTCCAGGAACTGATGTCGATGAGTATCGCACCTCGAATGATGAGTGTGTAGCCTTCAAACAGATCTCCCTTCTCCTTGGCGCCAAGTGATTTTTACCCTTCTGAATTTTTTGAGTCGCATGCTTTCTTTAAATGTTTTTAAAATTCAGAAACCTATTTCATGGCTGAGGATTTTCAGACTGTTCAGTGTGTGAGCTCATTTTTTGTAAATAGAAATAAAAGCTTTTCAGCCATGCACCCATTGTAAAATATTTTATTGATACTTTAGCAAAAATTATACAAGGGATGAATAACTGTAGAGATGGCATGAAAGGGAAATAAACACAGCAGTTTTCCGGGAGATTAACATAAACCTGGCATGGATGAGATAGCCTCTACTTCTTCATGTGCAATATAGAATCTTCAGATCTCACAATTCAGCACTGTCTCCTGCAAATAAATAAATGCAGTAGGGTTATGTTTTCTTTGAAATGCATGTGAGAGAACTGAGAAACTCTGAATTCCCTTTAAGCAAAAAACACACAACAAAAACCCCAAAACATATTGCTTTAAGAAATATCTGTAAAAGCTCCCTAATAATAACAGGGACTTGAGGCTGCATATACAAAAGCATGATTTCTTGTCCTGACCTGGGACCCATTTGCAAGCAATACTGAATGTTGTGATAGCCAATGCTCAAGCATGCGTCTCCATTCCAGGCTCTTGCCAGCTCCTTTTACAATGTCCTGCAGGACTATAATCACCAAGGCAAGTGGGAACTATGAATCCATCCTCTTGCTTTGCTAAGCTGGCCAGGAAAGAAAAGAAACAGCTCCAGACATGAGTGGGAGCCTGTTTCACCTTCTTGATGACTTTGCATGGTGTCAATTTAAAAACACACCTTATTTTCAGTTGTCTTGACATTTAAGAACACCCATTGAAACTCGAGTCAGATTTCTGAATTCTTGTAGGAAATGTTAAAACATGACTACACGATATGCTACTAAAGTCAACAAGCTCACATTTTTTTATATCCAGTCACATGTTGACTTTTCATATTGGCCCCAATGCAGTAAAGTGCGCTCTCTCACACACACAAAAAAAACTCCCTACCTTTTTTTGTGGGTATTTCCTGTAAAGAATTAACCACAGTAATTCTTGAAGAAGCTGTTGCCTCTCCTTTGGAGTTCAGTGCATGGCACTCGTATTCTCCAGCATCATCCTTGCTCAAAGGGGATATCTGTTGAAACAGAACCATGATAATTGGCTGCATCCTGGAAACTTGGTTAACCCGAGCCCCAAATCCACTGCAAGACAGTTTTCCAGATGAACAACTGGAACAACTTCAGTTTTTGTTGCAATTACAGTTGTACCTCGGGTTACAGATGCTTCAGGTTACAGACTCCGCTAACCCAGAAATAGTACCTCAGGTTAAGAACTTGGCTTCAGGATGAGAACAGAAATCACGCAGCGGCGGCAGCGGGAGGCCCCATTAGCTAAAGCGGTACCTCAGGTTAAGAACAGTTTCAGGTTAAGAACGGACCTCCAGAATGAATTAAGTTCTTAACCCGAGGTACCACTGTAGTGGAAAGCGTTTGGATATGAATATATCTATCCCTCTCTCTCTCACACACACACAAGTAAATAACGAGCAATTGTGGGCATGGGAATGTTTTAAAATGAGGGGATCTGCATTTGTCTCCTATCTTTCTTAAAAAGATGTCTAGCAAGACCCTGGAAATTGTTCTGAAGGCTGTTCATCTCTAGATGGAAAACGTGTGTTCTCAAATTTATTTTTTATGGTCTGGATCCAAAAGTTCCCCATGGGGGCATGCTGGGTATTTCTCCTTGTGCAAGGGTGATTCTCCCACCCACCCCCACCCCACCAAGCGTACCGCACCATCCTGACTCTCACACAGCTTTGGCAAGAAAGCATGGAGGGGTGTGTGAGTCTCAGTGGATGCGTGCCTATTGTTCTTTGGATCCAAGCCATAACTTGTGACCCAGCTTTCTGCTCTCCAGGCTTTTAATGCAATCACAGTATATAATGCACATTGAATCTGTAATCAGCAGCAAATTATTTACTTGGAACAGCAGGCATCCCAAATAAATGGCAAGTTCTACCTTCTGAAAGCCCCTAGCAGAGCTGGCTTAATGGGTCTCTCAGTGAAGTAAATTCCAATAGTGCCACCATACAAAGGAACACCCTGCTCCTAACCTAAAAGTTGTCAGACCCACCTAGGAAGGGAAATACACCCAGTTAGGCCTCATCTGAAATATCTCTCACACACGCACACACTTACACTTTATTCATCTTATTTAACAAATTTTATGCCGTTCAATCGTAAAAAACTCAAGTGGTTTCTCCATTTGAATGAAGTTGAGCAAGATGTCAGAGGCCAAGCTCCACTCAAAATTATTATTATTATTATTATTATTATTATTATTATTCCCCTCTGGGTTGCCCCAGCCACTCTGGACAGCTCCCAGCAAAAAAACACACCACAAAACGGTAAAAACACAGCACAACATCACACAATAAAAACCTCCCTGAAGAGGACTGCCTTCGGGCGTCTTCTAAAAGTTTTGTGTTCTTTATTTCCTTGACATCTGATGGGAGGGCGTTCCACAGGGCGGGTGCCACTACAGAGAAGGCCCTTTGCCTGGTTCCCTGTAACCTCCCTTCTTGCAGTGAGGGAACTGTCAGAAAACCCCTGGAGGAAGACCTCAGTGTCCAGGCTGAACAATGGAGGTGGAGACGCTTCTTCAGGTATACTGAGCCAAAGCCGTTTAGGGCTTTAAAGGTCAAAACCAAGACTTTGAATTGTTCTTGGAAATGTACTGGGAGCAAATGTAGATCTTTTAGAACCAGTGTTATATGGCGCCTGCGGCCGCTCCCAGTCACCGATCTAGCTGCCACATTCTGGATTAGTTGCAATTTCCGAGTCACCTTCAAAGGTAGCCCCACATAGAGCGCATTGCTATAGTCTAAGTGGGAGATAACTAGAAAATGTATCTTCCAAGGTTCACATTCATGCTGTATACCAGATGTTCAGAACCTTTTTCAGCCAGAGAGCTCTGCTCCCTTGTGGTAGGTGAGGGCCAGAGGCAAAGGCGGATGGAGCAGTGGGAACCTGCCCTTGTATGTTCAAAAGTCAGAGGTTTGTTATACAATGGTACTTGGCTGTCAAACTTAATCCATTCTGGGAGTCCTTTCAACTCCCAGAACCGTTTGAAAACCAAGGCATGGCTTCAGATTGGCTACAGGAGCTTCCAGCATTCAAATTGGAAGCCGCGTCAGAAGTTCGGCTTCCAAGAAACATTCACAAACCGGAATACTTACTTCCGGGTTTGTAGCATTTGGAAGCCAATTTGTTCAGGAGCCAAGCTGTTTGACAACCAAGGTACCACTGTATCTGGGGGTGGCGAACCTGTGGCTTCCTATATGTTGCTGGACTACAACTCCCCTGTCTCTTTTGATGACCGGAGTAAAATAACTGTTGGATGGCCCCAGATTAGCAACCCCTGTGCTACAAGCAAGGAGGCGAATGTTCCATGGTCACGTGGACTTTTAGCAGGCCTAGAAAGGCACAAACTCACCCACTCACTAGACACAGCCCCAAGGTGCCACGATCTGTCCCAGCCCTCAGTCTGAACTGCCTCTTTCTTCCCTGAAAGACGCTGCCACTCTGTTAAAATGCTAGTAATAATCACAGGGAGACCCCCTTAAAATTAATGGACCTAAGTTAGTCATGTCTAGTAATGTAAGTGGGGGACTAACGATGGATACAACCCACTCTGATTATTTCAACTGAAATGAGAACAGGAACTTACCAATACCCAACCAGTCACTTCATGTTTCTCAGGACCACCACGAGTCTGGATGGCTAAGTTGTCCCGATCTCCTGGAAGAAGCTCCATTCTTTGGACGCCATATTGGCCTTTTATTATCTGGCAGATGAGGGGAAAGTCTTAGTGTTAAAGTTCCCCCGCTCCAATTGCCTCTGGATTGTCCCAATACCTTAATTTCCCAGAGTTTAAGATAGTTGGAAGTTTTAAGCATTTGGAGGAAATATAATTCTATGGGAAGAATTCAGCATTGCAATTAAGGCCACTGCTCTGCCAGGCCATGCATATCGCCTTGCCAAATGGAAAAATCCCTCCCTCTCCTCCTCTGTGCGCTGTTCCAGGGGTGCACTTGACCCCCAATTTCGGCAGGGAGGCCCATTGTGCAAGTGGAAGATCTTGTGAGGGGCTTCTGCTGGCAGGACCAGTTACCATATTTTTTGCTCTATAAGACTCAATTTTTTCCCTCCTAAAAAGTAAGGGGAAACGTATGGAGCGAATGCAGGCTGCGCAGCTATCTCAGAAGCCAGAACAGCAATAGGGATTGCTGCTTTCGCTGCGCAGCGATCCCTCTTGCTGTTCTGGCTTCTGAGATTCAGAATATTTTTTTTCTTGTTTTCCTCCTGCAAAAACTAGGTGCGTCTTGTGGTCTGGTGCGTCTTATAGAGCGAAAAATACGGTAGTTGATTCCCACCCGTGGCTAGGAGCCATGATGAACGGGGTGCAGCTACTAGGCAAAAGCACTCCTGGCCATGGAGATGACCTGAGCATTCAGGAGCACAGCTGGACCCCAGCAAGTTCCCAGGGTGTAAACCTGGTTCTTCAAGGGCTACTGCTGCTGCCCCATCCCAAAGGGACAGAATCCCTAATCATGCCTAAAGATATCTCAGAAACCTGGGAGGTTGGATAGGAATTGGGAACCGAGAGCCTCCAAACACAACGTGCAGACTCTTAGCCACCTCAAAGAAACCAAGAACGCTTTTGTTATCTAGTTTGAGCTCTCCTGTCTTCCTCTCTAACACCCGCATGGCTGCAGACCGCAGCATGGGCAGAAGATTGCGAGAGCACTTGCAATGTATCTCCGTGTTTCCAAAGCGCTCAGAATATGCTTGAGCTCAGAAGGAGGCATTCCTTAATACTTGTGCCTCTTCCCTACAGAGGCCCTAATATGGTAAAGTGCAACAGAGCTGGTTTTAGAAGGATAAACAGGAACGAAACCCAGAAAAGGCGCTGGAAAGCAAGGCACGGGGGGCGGGGGGATCTTTTCTACTTATCCACAAACAGCACAATCTCTTTTGGTCACAGAGTCGGTAGCTTTGTTTTTGCAAGTAACTGTTGTTAAAAAACCTCCCCCTCAAATATTTTTATCAGTTTTCATTATAGCAAAGTACAAATAAAAAAAGCGCTCCCCTTTCAGTAATCTCAATTATGCTTGCAGAGCTCCGAGGGAGTGTTTGACTTGGCAACGCGTTTAGATTTCCTCTCCTCCAAGCCTCATTCTTGTTTTGTCATGTTCCATCCTAATCCCTTCTGTTTATGCATCTGGAATGCCTTTATGGTCACCTTTCTCAGTGGTTAATTGCTCAAAACAATACCTTTCCAATTGTCTAAATTCCCCTGTCCTCCTCCTGTATCCCTCCATGTGTCAAAATTACCTGTCAAGGTTAGCACACAAAGTGCTCTTGCAGAGGACACAATCCACCAGGGCTTTCCATGCAACGGCACCCAATGGAATGAATCAATGGGAGCTGGGGGCAGGACATATTGGTGGTGCTCTTCTGCAGATCTTGGGAGAACTTGGCAGTGCTCTGGTGAAGCACTGCATTGATTTCAGCGGATCATTTCCAAAATTAACATCAAACGTCACTGACCTTGTTCCAAGTAAGCACTGGGGTTGGGATGCCAATGACCTCACAGCTCAGGAAAATCTGGGCCCCAGTCACATTCCAGACGTCTTTTGGGGGTGTCACAATGGATGGTCCTTGAAACAAGAGGAAGTCAGAGAGTCAGGCAACGCAGGCAGGAATTAATAGGATGAAGTACAGCCGTACCTTGGAAGTTGAACGGAATCCGTTCCAGAAGTCCATTCAGCTTCCAAAACGCTGGAAACCAAAAAGCAGCTTCTGATTGGCTGCAGGAAGCTCCCACCCACCCCACTCACACATGAAAACAAAGATCACCACAGCCAATTACAAACAAACAACCACACCATAGGCCAACCCCAACCTCTCTCACCACCAAAGGAACACAAGTGAACAGTAGAGAACCAGCACAAGTAACGCTGACACCAAACCCTACATACATTAAGCATAATAGAAACATCGCCACCTGACCCCCCCACCCCTTTTTTTTCTCCCCCTAATGTCTCAACAAATGAAACAGATTTGTAAAAATGTTACATGGAAAAAATACGAGAGACATTACACATACTTCTGTAACTCAAGAAGATCTTTAATAATAATTTTTTAAAAAGCTATAGGATTTCAGCAGGGAGCGGCAGGAAATGAAGCAGTAGGACAACCCCAAAACCTTTGCAAGTGTAAACAGTATTGAATGTGGGATCAGAAAAGAACCATCAGCCCAGAATGCACAAGAAAATGGATATCTGGAGGGGCCCACTGGCTTACAATAAAAATAAGGCACACACATCTAGGCAAAGAGGGGAGGGGGGGAGAAGGTAGAGGAGGAGGTCCTTTGCATAGACCAAAATTAAGAGGAGCACCAGAGTCATAGAGTAGCAGAGCTGGAAGGGACCAAGAGGATCATCTAGTCCAGCGGTTCTCAAACTGTGGGTCCCTAGATGTTGTTGGACTATAACTCCCATCATCCCCGAGCTCTGGCCTTGCTAGCTAGGGGTGATGGGAGTTGTAGTTCAACAACATCTGGTTACCCACAGGTTGAGAAAGGCTGATCTAGTCCAACCCTCTCTCAGGTGGCTAATTGCCATGGGTTGGCCGGACAGTATCCAGCTTCTTGAAGGAACTATTGCTTGTCCAGCTTCAAGGGTCAACCTCATCCAAACAGCAGAGATGGGAGAGCAAAGAGGGACAGCTGTTTCCTGTTTGCGAGCACCGCTGCGTCACTGATGTAATCAGCAGTACAGTCTTGCCTCTGCACGATCACTCTTTGTACAAGGGAACGGCCTCCGGTGGCTTCCAGAAATGTCAACAAGACATAGAAGTTGCTTTCCCTTCCCCCCAAATAAATAAATAAATAAATAAAAATTATATGAAATTCAAAGACTATTTAGCTAAATATGCTAAGACAATTTAAATAGAAATACTTGCAAATACCAGATAGGCTTAGGGTTTAAATATGTGATGTTACAGAATAATATGTTTAAAGTTAAAATGAAATGGTTTAAAGTTTAAAGTTAAAATTAAAAGAAAGAAAGATGTTAAGTGGTTACCATATTTTCTGCTCTATAAGACGCACCTAGTTTTTGGAGGAGGAAAACAAGAAAAAAATATTCTGAATCCCAGAAGCCAGAACAGCAAGAGGGATCGCTGCAAAGTGAAAGCAGCAATCCCTCTTGCTGTTCTGGCTTCTGGGATAGCTGCGCAGCCTGCACTCGCTCCATAAGACGCACACACATTTCCCCTTACTTTTTAGGAGGGAAAAAGTGAGTCTTATAGAGCAAAAAATACGGTAAGTTAATTTTATGAAAAATCTGTTTTGGAAAACTATTATAATGATATACATTGAAACTCAGCCAGAGGGATTCGAGGAAGTCACTTAACAATGTTACTAAGATTGGATTATGTACAGTTAGGATTTATGTTAGTTAGTTTGTTTATAAATTTTGGAAAATCAATAAAAAAAATTTGAAAAATAAATAAATAAATGGCAATATCTCCCTAAAAAACAATTACTTAGCTTTTAAGGTCTCCCCCTGGGGTAAGGGAGATTATTTCTCCCTCCTAAGCTACGGTGTTACTCCTAATGGATGAACATTGCCCATGGATTTCGAGTGAAAAATGTAACTGAGTCCTAGGAGAAGGAAAGGGGTGGTGGTGGAAGCTTTTCGCAGCGCTCCAAAGTTTTATTTAGCATGAGAGGCCCTGCTGGATTTTAGATCGCAGGCTAGAATTGCGAGCTTCTTTCTTTGGCTAGGCAGAGTTGGCTGGGTTGTGACCCTTTGTTCTATTTCCCTCGGATCTGCTTCGGCGTTGGAGAGGAAGTGAGTCCCTGGGGGGCCGTAAGTGCCATGGGAAGAGACAGACCTTCGGACTCAAGTCAGCTACAGCAATCTTCGCGAGGAAGAGCTGCCAATCCAAGGCATCCCAAAACCATGATGTCAAGACAGCCCAGGGCTGAACAGCTGAGTGAAAGGTATTGTTATACATTTGTGGGGTGTGTGTGTGTGTGTGTGTGTGTGTGCAGACCTCCTAAACCAGGCATGGCCAAACTTGGCCCTCCAGCTGTTTTGGAACTACAACTCCCATCATCCCTAGCTAACAAGGATGATGGGAATTGTAGTCCCAGAACAGCTGGAGGGCCAAGTTTCGCCATGCCTGTCCTAAACCCTAGGAATTAATAAATGGTAGAATATTGATGATTTGGAACGTGAAGGGAGAGATACAAGCTGCAGAGGAGTTCCTGGGCTAGCCTATGCAAAAAACAACACACGACCTGGCCAAGCTAGTGCCATTAATAATAATAATAATAATAATAATAATAATTTATTATTTATACCCTGCCCATCTGGCTGAGTTTCCCCAGCCACTCTGGGCAGCTCCCAATCAAGTGTTAAAAACAGTACAGCATTAAATATTAAAATTTAATATTTAAATATTAAGAAACAAAACAGGGCCATTGGTAAAGCAAGAGAATTGAATTCCCCTCTTGTCCTCAGGTGTGAACAGAGACTGGGGATTGGGAAGGCTGCCAGGGTAACTGGGTGTGAGGTGACAGGAAAAGAGAGTTTTGAGCAAGGGTTGCTGGGAAGAAGAAGAAGAAGGAAGGAGGACTGGGATCCATCTTGGGCAGGCTGGCTGAAGGCTGGCTGGGAGAGATGCCTTGGACTCCAGTGCTGTACTGCTGTGGGGGAACAAGCCCCACTTGAGATGACCATGCTGTAAGATCTGGACTCCCTCTATGCAGACTGAAGGTGTCAATAGGTGAATAAACCATATTTCTTAAAGCTACAATGGTCCCCCACTGTGTCTCGATTATCCAAAGGAACACACCCCCTGGGTAAGTGCCTGGAACCCCACGGGCTCTTGCCCCCGCTCGGCAGAGAGAGGGGGAGGCACCCAACTTTGGTAACAAGACATTTATCTCTGTTGCCTTGTATGATCACAAGGAAAGCCCACGATCCACTGGACAGCCTTCCCATGGCAGAAAGGAATTTAGACCTGAAGGGACCCTCTGGGAAATACAAATATGCAATCACAAGTCTGGGAAACACAGAAATTCTCATGATTCTGCAATGGAAATAAGTGGCTTTTGCACAATGAACACTGAATCTTCTCTCCCTCCCTTCACCCCCACCCCAATTTCGTGTGTTCTTTCTAACCATCCTGTAATCAACAATTCAGCCATTGATCTTCATGCAACACATACTTGGAGCTAAATTTTTTTGCTGCTGATACTGCTGATGACGACGATGGACAAATATCAGTGTGATAGTCTGCTAAACTGGGCCTGCAGCTATGAAGGCCAATGCTAGCATGAGCCAAGACACAAACAGGTAGCCCATGAAGATGTTGTGAGCTAAAAGTTTGAGCCTGACAAAAGTCTGTTTATGTTTTTCTATTTTCTATGTTATTGGTAAAATAATTAATAGAGGGGAACCCCTTAGTCAGTTCCTGCACTGCCTTGGGCAACATGGGATGTATAGATTAGCATTCCTTTCTACAGAATTGCAATTAAATATACAGACTTTGGAGAAGGCAACATATGAACGGCAGCAAAAATCAGTGCTGGATTTACGTATAAGCTAAACAAGCTATAGCTTAGGGCCCCACTCTTTTGGGGCCCCCAAAAAAATTTAAAGGGAAAAAACCTGAATGTACATTTCCAAAATATGATAAAAAACAAAATAAAAGCTACATACAGCAACAGTGTTTTGTGTTGTGTAGGCTCCTATGATGTAAGTAATGGGCCCCGCCTGCTAGCCTGCTCCCTAAAATATCACTGGTTTGCTCATTTCTATATACAGTGGTACCTTGGGTCTCAAACTTAATCTGCTCTGCAAGTCTGTTCCAAAACCAAAGCGTTCCAAAACCGAGGTGCACTTTCCCATAGAAAGCAACGCAAAATGGATTAATCCGTTCCAGACTTTTAGGGCCCCATTACCTTCAGTAGCTTAGGGCCTCATCAAACCTAAATCCGGCCCTGGCCAAAATGAACAGTGTGTAATGAAGGCTGGATACTTTAAAATTGTTTTTTAACAATGCAAACACCATTACGTGTGGGCCCATCATCCCATGCATTAAAAAGCAATGTTGTCATCTCCATGGGACAGGAAATGCCAATTATAGTTTGTGTTTCTATGGAACAGTTTCATACACTGCAGGATGTCAGTGGCACACTTGCATCCTGTTGTACGCAGTGTCACAACTTTTGAAAGGCTGCACTGTTCTACAGACGCGGACCACTCCCTTGCAGGACACAAGAAACGCAGACAGAAACTCATTGGCTCCTCTGACATCTGGCTTGTAAGTCTGGCTGCCTGTGTCTGACAAGTTAGCATCTCACGTCAATGTTTCTTCATCTGGATTGCACCGTCTAGGAGAGCTATAGTCTGTCTTTTAGTAAGGTAAAAGGGACTCCTGACCTTTGGGTCCAGTCGTGGCCGACTCTGGGTTGCGGCACTCATCTCGCTTTATTGGCTGAGGGAGCCGGCGTACAGCTTCCGGGTCATGTGGCCAGCATGACTAAGCCGCTTCTGGCGAACCAGAGCAGCGCACGGAAATGCCGTTTACCTTCCTGCCAGAGCGGTACCTATTTATCTACTTGCACTTTGAGGTGCTTTCGAACTGCTAGGTTGGCAGGAGCAGGGACCAAGCAATGGGAGCTCACCCCATTGCGGGGATTCGAACCGCCGACCTTCTGATCAGCAAGTCCTAGGCTCTGTGGTTTAACCCACAGCACCACAATTCTCTCAAACACAGCTTCCATTTGGGACAATGCCACCTGAAACAGGTCAATACCAGCAAGCAAATGCTCAGCCAACTCTGGTCCCCATTGCAATCCTACGGTCATACCAACTGCACTGTTTTAAAACTCATTAATTTCCCTCTTTTCAACTCTGATGCTAACAGCTACCCCAGATAATATTCAGCATCTACCGTTTCTGCTTCCAGAGGCTGAAACAGCCCACCAAATATCCACTTTCTCTTTTAATGGTTCCCTTAATGCCAAGACAAAAGAGCACACAACTGCCCTGTGTTCTTCCTTCTCCCATTGTTCCCTTCATTATTGTTTAAAATTAGTCCCAGGTTGTAAATCTCAGTGGGAAGACATATGCAAATAAATTTGGAATCTTCACGAATTGAAAGCTAGTTGTGAAAGACTGATCCAAAATTATTTTCTTGGTTGTTTTCTTTAAATGTCTTTATGGTCAAAAACTGTCTTCCACTTTGGAGGATTTTTGTTGCTCATTGCAAAAAAATTAGCTTGTTTAAATTTTCCTCACAACAGAGTTCAGTAATAGCAAATGTGATAAGTCCGCCACCAGGTGAGTTTTCCCATGTGATTAATTCAGGAAGGGAACAGTAGAAAAAGGAGGAAAGTCATTGAAAGACACAGTAGTCAAGAGAATCAATTGTGCCGATTAGGTTTTTTGAAACGGTGGCAATTTGCACATTCTAAACATTTTATTGTGGGACACGGGTGGTGCTGTGGGTTAAACCACAGAGCCTAGGACTTGCCAATCAGAAGGTCGGCGGTTCGAATCCTTGCGACGGGGTGAGCGCCCATTGCTCGGTTGTGGGGGTGCAATAGAAAAATAAGCACCCTTGTGCAAGATTGTGCAAGAGGAAACATCTGCTGACTTGTTCCCCCCACACGCCTGGGTCACTGTCGCTGCCTAACCGCACGGCTGTCATGCTGTCTGGAGTTATGTCCTGGTAGAGAATAGTTATTCTAAGAAATGCAAACCCTAGCTGTTTTCCACCCGAGTGCTACACGTGTATATGCAACATGATGTAATGTGCGCAAGGCTAATAAACATGCAAGGCTGCTGGGGGACAGAGCTCACTCCTTGCTTAAACCTTCACCCATGACTCTTCGTCAATTTTCCTCCGCACCTGGTGGGCTGGTTCCCCGACAAATGGTGCCTCGTGTGATTGCCTGAACGGCTTCCAGGACGCGTGCTGTCAAAGACGGTCCTCCCTGCTACTCACCCGCCAGGCTGTGGCTCAAGGCGCCTTATCATCTTCGGATCCCCGGTGAGTAGCTATTTTTCTATTTTTATCATGGGTTCTGCGCTCTCCAACCCTCAGAAACAATTTTTAAAAGACATGCAGCACCTCCTTCGGGAAAATAAACAGCAAGTACCTGAAGGTGATCTAATTGCATTGATTCTGGCAATAGATGAACATTGTCCATGGTTCCCTGAGGACGGGACATGGGAAATTCCAGCATGGAACAAAATTGGCGACCACTTTCATGGCCATGGCCGCATAAATCTTCACGTCCTCAGTGCCTGGGCTAAAGTCCGTGGCTGCATGGCAACTCTTACGCCCAAAAACATCCTCTTGGCTTCGTTGCAACCACAACAAGAAACAGTCCTGAATATGCCTTTCATATATCCGGCTGCACCGCTTCAACCACCACCTTTTACTCCGCCACGACCACCAGATTATCAGCCTCCGCCGACGCCACTGGGGACTGCAATTAAACAAGCAGCCCCCCTCTTAGGTCTTTCATCTGGCACGCCAGTGGCTAAAGTCATACTGCTCCCTGCGGATGCCACAACTCCTACAGATACCCCCTTAATTGCTGCTGCAATGCCTCTCACAGCTCAGCGCCCTACATTAAAAATGACACTGGGTGGACGTGAGGTAGAGGGGGTTCTGGATACAGGGGCAGATGTTACTGTGATTGCTAAACAAGACTGGCCTCCCGAATGGCCCACAAAGGCAGCTGCGCAGGTTTTGGGTGTTGGGGAGAAGCACCAGCCTGTCAAAGCCTCCACCCAATTGATATCCTTGTGGCTGCGAAGCACATATCAGTGGAATTATTAAGAGACCTTACATCTGCCCTGACAGATTTTGGACTGTGTATTGCCCCAGATAAGGTTCAGCAAACTTTGCCTATGTTATATCTTGGACATAAATTGACACAACAAGCTGCCATTCCGGTTGTTCCCCAATTGTCTTTTCCTGCCTGCCTACGGCTGGTTGACCTTCAACAACTCTTGGGACACCTGAATTGGATAAAGAATTACCTTAATCTGCCTACTAGCACCTTGTCACCATTGTTTTCTGCCTTACAAGGACACAAACTACCCGGAGAAGTCATCCCAGTTACAGAAGAAATGCTACAAGCCTTACAACAGGTTAATGCTTTATTAAGAGACCGAATGGTGGATCGCATAGACACTCTGCACAATGTGCAGTTATCCTTGGCAATTTTTTCCACACCTTTGCTGCCTACAGCCATTCTCTACTCACAGAAATCGGCTGCCCCCTCGGGTGTCAACATTGTGGAATGGATCCACCTTCCGCATACTCCACCGCGTAACATTTATTCCTCTCCAGCGGCTGTAATGGATTTGGTAATTAAAGGCGCGCTCGAGCAAAAGCCCTCTCTGGACTGGACGTTGAAAAATTTACTTGCCTTTTCACTCACAGAAACACAACACCTGATTTCCACCTCCGTGGCTACTCAAGTAGCACTTGTGGATTTTTGGGAACCATCACGCATAATCCCCCCTCTGATCCACGCTTGGCTTTCCTTTCTCAAACTGTCTATACTTTAAAAAATGCTCTTTCTCCGACCCCCATCCCCTCTGCCCTTACCCTTTTCACTGATGGGTCAAAAACGCGGGGGGTGGTGGCATGGGAGGAGGGTGGAAAATGGAAAACTGAATTTACTGAGCAACAGAGGTCCGCCCAGCGGGCTGAACTTGCTGCTGTAATCCTTGCCTTTCAACTCTTTCCTGACAAACCTTTTAATTTGCTTGTTGATACACAATATGTGTATCGCCTTCTGTCTTCCCTGCCTGTTTCTTATATCACGCCTGCGTTAGATGCTGATTTGTTTGTTCTTTTTTCTACCTTGCAGTATCTTATTCAAGAACGCCGTCATCCTTTTTATGTTGCACACCTTCGTTCCCACACCAATCACCCAGGGTTTTTGGCTCAGGGAAATGCCGTGGCAGACGCTGCACTGCGATCTGAAGTGTTTTCCTTGTTTTCTGACCCTATTCTCTCTCATTCTACCTTTCACCAGCCTGCTAAAGTTTTGGCAAAAATGTTTAAAATCCCTATTGCACAGGCACGAGACATTGTCTCTCAATGTCCTACCTGTTCTAAGGCTCCAACCATGATTCCCTTTGATGCGGTGAACCCTAGGGGTACGTCCCCTCTTGCGGTTTGGCAGATGGATGTCACTCACACCCCTCTGCTCGCCCCATTTTCAAAAGTTCACTTGACAGTGGACACCTCATCTGGATTTATCTGGGCCACCCCATTGAAGGGTGAGACCGCTCGTCACGTCATTCAGCACACCCTGCGCTGTTTTGCTGTGATGGGTAAGCCACAAAGCATTAAAACGGATAATGGCCCAGCCTATATTTCCTCTCAGTTCTCATCCTTTTGTGATTTATGGAATGTGAAATTAATCCATGGTTTGCCTTTTAATTCAACAGGACAGGCGATTGTGGAGAGGGCGCACTTGACCTTCAAGACACTGCTGTCCAAACAACTTGGAGGTCGAAATGCCCCCTCCGCCGAGATTCCTTCAATCGTGCATACTGTTTTATTCACTCTTAACCATCTTTTGTATCCCCATAATAGGGAATATACACCGGCTGAGATTCATTTTCGAAAAGCAGAGCCTTTGGCTCGACCTCTTGTATCTTACAGACAGCTACCTGATCCAACATGGCATGGTCCTGTGCCACTCATCTCCTGGGGACGCGGCTACGCGGCAGTGGACCTGGATGGACGGCCTACCTGGTTACCAGCGCGCTGTGTGCGACCCTGGCGAGCTTCTGCCTCGGAATGAAATTTATGACTCTGATTAAATAATAAAAAAGGAGGGCATGTGGGGGTGCAATAGAAAAATAAGCACCCTTGTGCAAGATTGTGCAAGAGGAAACATCTGCTGACTTGTTCCCCCCACACGCCTGGGTCACTGTCGCTGCCTAACCGCAAGGCTGTCATGCTGTCTGGAGTTATGTCCTGGTAGAGAATAGTTATTCTAAGAAATGCAAACCCTAGCTGTTTTCCACCCGAGTGCTACACGTGTATATGCAACATGATGTAATGTGCGCAAGGCTAATAAACATGCAAGGCTGCTGGGGGACAGAGCTCACTCCTTGCTTAAACCTTCACCCATGACTCTTCGTCAATTTTCCTCCGCACCTGGTGGGCTGGTTTCCCGACACTCGGTCCCTGCTCCTGCCAACCTAGCAGTTCGAAAGCATGTCAAAGTGCAAGTATATAAATAGGTACCGCTCCAGCGGGCAGGTAAACGGCGTTTCCGTGTGCTGCTCTGGTTCACCAGAAGTAGCTTAGTCATTCTGGCACATGACCTGGAAGCTGTACGCCGGCTTCCTCAGCCAATAAAGCGAGATGAGTGCTGCAACCCCAGAGTCGGTCACGACTGGACCTAATGGTCAGGGGTCCCTTTACCTTTACCTAAACATTTTATTAAGTGAAGCTTCTACCATATCAAAATCCCCAATATCAATTTAGAAATCAAATTTATTGAATAGCTAGTAGAGTCCTAGCGCCCAGTGTGCAAGCAATAACACGTGATAATGAAAAGGATGTGCATCTTGAACAAAGTTTTGCAGCTATAATTAGCCCAGTGCAAAACCAAAGTTTCTGTGCTTGCAAATTTGCCACATCTAGGATGTTGAATGGACGTTGCTAGGAATCACTAGCAGGTGCTGCAAACCTTCTTATTTAGTTCTAGGAACTTCTTTCTAGGAGTCTTTCACTGCAGATTTCCAGGAGGAGTGGTAAGACGCATTTGATCGAGCACCTCTGACGGCTGAAGTCAGAGAGACTGTTCCCAGCTTGCTTATTCTACAAGCGATCCAATCCGTGGGAACCCTTCATAGTTTTCATTCCAGAATCACAGCCGCCTACTGCAGCACGCACAGCTATCATGTGAGCCACGAATAAGAAGCAGCGGGATTAATATGCAGGGCCTCGTTGCTGTCAAGTTGTGTTATGGCACCTGGGAGGTCCAGGCAATCAAAAACGCCCTTCTCATGTTAGGCGTTTCCCAGGGGGAGAAATCTCTTCATCTGCAACTGATTATAAAGTAGTTTGTCTGAAAACAATGTCAGCTGGATTTACAGAGACTTGACAGGAGTTCTTCCTCGTATACCTTTTTTTTTTAATACTCTGCCGGATGTTTCGTCTCAACAAAAATGCATTAAATGAGTAAAAGAAAGAATCATAACTCCCACAAGAAGCCTGTGTAACGGGCAGCGTTCCAAAGGACTTGGTTCAGCAAAGGTCACATGCAGGCTTTCCAGAAAATATTTGGAATTAAAGCACATGTTTATTCGGAATTAAAGCCCATGTTTAGAGGATTACTGGAACTGAAGCCCTGTTGCCCTGAGTGACCAGACATTCGCAGCATTGTGAAACATGGGGGGGGGGTGTCTTCTCAAAGGTTATATCCTTTCTCCACCCCTCCATCACAGAGTTTCATGTGAGAAGTTAGGGAAGAAGTAGATGGAGTTGGGGGGGGGGGAACGACCAGAAAAGGGCAACCAAGATGCAGTGTCTCCCCTATGAAGAAAAATAGCAGTGTTTGGGATTTTATAGTTTAGAGAAAAGGTGAGTTAGAGGTGAGGTGATAGAAGTTTAAAAAATTATGCATGGCATGATGAAAGTACAGTGGCACCTCGGGTTAAGTACTTAATTTGTTCCGGAGGTCCGTTCTTAACCTGAAACTGTTCTTAACCTGAAGCAACATTTTAGCTAATGGGGCCTCCCGGTGCTACCACGCGATTTCTGTTCTCATCCTGAGGTAAAGTTCTTAACCCGAGGTACTACTTCTGGGTTAGCGGAGTCTGTAACCTGAAGTGTCTGTAACCTGAGGTACCACTGTAGATAAGAGATACATTTTTCTCCCTCTCTCATAAGATTTCTAAGGCCAATTTCTACTTCTTCCCTTCCACCTCCAGAGCCCCACCCTACCCCAGGGGCGTAGGAAGGGGGGAAAGACTGCCATGACTGCCCCCACTGAGGGGGGTGACATTCAGCGCACCGCCTGCCCGCGACTCCCAAGCCTACCCCAAATCGTCGGGGTAAGGGGTGGAGATGTGCTGCTTTGCCGGTGGCATTCACATCAACTGATAGGAAGCGCCTACACAGGGTGGTGAATACAGCACAAGACATTATGGGCTGTCCCGTGAATCCGCTGGATGAAATAGTGGAAGAACGTTGCCTCAGGAGAGTGAGGGAAATTCTCAGGGATGATTCACACCCTGGCCGGCACTTTCTTGATCTCCTGCCCTCGGGCAGAAGATATAGAAGCAGGATTAGTCACACCAACAGGGTAGAGAACAGCTTCTATCCGTGGACTGTTAGGCTGCTGAATGAAAAGATAACAACAGGGCAACTGACTTTTGGGTTTGGTGGGTGTGCGTCAGTAAACGAGGGGAATTAAGACTAAGAGAGCTGAGTGGGGGGTGCTCGTGTAATCTCACTGTATACAAGTTGTACAAGTGACAATAAAGTATTTCAGTTTCCCCCTTCCCCCTTTGTTTTGACAGCTTTGGGGAGGCTTGGGAGAGGTGGGAGGGCGGCACACCGAATGTCTGCCATGGGCGGCTCGCTCCGTCCCCGGTTGCAGGGCACCTGCACCACTCCGGGCACCCAAATGGCTATCCTGTGCCTGGGAGGGCACCCTCCGTGCCACCCCCCCCTCGGGAGCACACCCGCCCTGGGCAGCGCAGGCATATGCTCCTCCGCTGCCCTACCCCATTCCTGATATCCTAGAAGCTCCCAGGTCCAGGCCATCGTTTTGGATTTTTAGATTTTCCTGCTTATCACAGTTTAGGAAGTGAAAACCGGGCCACCCAAAAATGAAGCGGTAGTTTCTGCATCCTTAATCAAGTCCCAAGGAACGCATAAAGCACTATCTTGTTTTTGGGTGGCCCAGTATGTCTTCCAAATTGATAAACACTTGATCACTTGCGTTCGCTATTAGTATATGTTATGTTTATATGTGTGTATGGGGGAAAAGTAAACAGAGAGAGGTGCTGTGATACAGACTTCTTGGGTAAAAGTATACACTGAAGCTCAGTGGTCCAACCGGTGCTATAAAAACCGTATCTAGAAACAGCTGTGTAGTTAAAATGTTTAGCTATGCTTCCCTCAAAGTCATTGCATTTTTATCGCCTCAGGAAAAAAAATAGGTGCAGCTCTTCACACTAACATTCCTAGCCGCTATTTGGGAGGTAGCTAGAAGTTGCTTGGATGTTTCTGGCTAGGAGTTCACTATTTCTGAGTGCTCTGCAGATTCTTCTTGGGTCAGTTAGCACTGACTATAGATGCTTACCGGTACTTGCGTCCCACATTCTCACCCTATAAAAGCAGGTATTCCAAAAACTCTAAGAAGTCTCTCATAGTCACTAGGAAGCTGACCCAGGAGTTCGGATTACCAAGGGAAACAGTCTTTCGTAAGGTCCCTTGACACATACCTAGAAAAATCTCAAGCACCTGATCTCATAAGCCCCAGACAATCAAAATGTTCTGCTGCCAGCACCGTACTGGTGTTTCTTCAACAGGCCCTAACAAATAACAGGTCTTCATGTTCAAACAACAGTACAGGACTGATATCAGGGGATAAAATGTGCAACTTCTCTGCTTACAACCTATTTTGCTTCCTCTGAGCCCAGGGGTAGGCAACCTAAGGCCCGGGGGCCGGATGCGGCCCAATCGCCTTCTCAGTCCAGCCCGCAGATGGTCCAGGAATCAGTGTGTTTTTACATGAATAGAATGTGCCCTTTTATTTAAAATGCATCTCTGGGTTATTTGTGGGGCATAGGAATTCATTCATTTCCCCCCCAAAATATAGTCCGGCCCACCACATGGTCTGAGGGACGGTGGACCGGCCCACGGCTGAAAAAGGTTGCTGACCCCTGCTCTGAGCCCTCTCCTCCAAGCCTTACAGGACATCTCTAGTCTGTGTGGTCCTGCCTCCCTACATTACTTTGATCTGAATGTTCCCAGGCCAGGCATGAGACTGAGCACAGCAAAACAACCAGCAAGCCTTTAATTTCAATTAGCTGCAATTGGAACAGCTTAAATTTCATTTTCCAGAATAATAGTGGGTCACTGGGACGAGGATACTCAAAGCCCCCCAAATGGACCCATCTTCAAAGATGAGAGAGGGAGAAGAAGTCATGCCCTAAGGAGGGCAAGCCTGGTACATTCCCAGACTTATTAACCATAAAAAGTGGCACAGTTCCATTGTCATGACAGCAGCGTAAAGAATAAAATCTCCCCAATGGAAATAACAAGGATATTATGCAAGGGTGGGTACACTTTAAGCCAGCGTGAAAATATTCACCTTCCAGCTTCAGAAACAGCTTGCCTCAAGCAGAATGTGGATTATGGTAATGCCCCCTGTTAAATGACAGTAACTGCCCAAGGGGAATCAACCAGTCTAGCGAGTCACAAGTTCCTCAAACCTGGACTAAACATTCTTTAACATGTGGCCATTCCTGGTAAAAGCATCTTCCTCAAGGACTTGTTTCTGAGAGCTCAGTGACATATTCACAGAGTGAAAGTTGCTTTTTTTCAAATTCATAGTCTGACAAGCAACTTATAAAGCAAGCAAGCAATCTCTCACAAAAAGAGGGCCTGTGCAGTCCCATTTGCCACACTTCCTGTGGAAAATATGCACAGCGACAGAAGTTCCAAAATATCTTTTTAACTGGACCCTTGAAAGGAGAACTTTGCCTGACCCTCTGGGCTTTCACTGCACACAAATGTCTAACCTGCCATGAACTGTAGATAGTTCTTTCCACTGCAGAGATCAGAATAAATGGTCATTGAGATAAATTCTATCCTTCCAAGGATGAAATATCCACATGCACACTATTTTTTGTGTATTAGGCAAATGTGGGGGGAAAGGATAATCAACCAAAGTTGCCTAAAACAGAAAAACAAAACAAAAACAAAACAGGCTTGGGAATAAACTGCTAGAACAGTGAAGAACAATGTGTCTTGGGTACACATTGCATGGGTTGGCTGGCAACCCTGAGCAACGTGCAACTGCACATCACTCACACATGGTTTGAGAATTATTGCGATAACATCTCACACGAATGGCTGGATTCTGTATCGCAAGTTGATGTGCTCTTCTGCTCTGAACCAAAGGCAGGCCTGAGTGAGTGGTTTGATGCAGGGATACCAAAGAAAGATGTCAAAAACACCAGAATGGGCACTTCTAGTGCTTTATTAAAGAAAGCAGGGCCTTGCTGCCTTTGCATACCCTGCGCATACACTGCAACAGTGAAAGGCTGGCGTGACTTGTCTGCGCCCAGTCAAACGCTCATACATCCTTTATGCACAAAGCAGCCTGTCCCACTGCCCAGAACCTCCCATCACAACTGGCTGGTGAGCAGTGTTAGAAACTGAGATATGAAAGATAGGAGCTAAATGGCACCTTAAACCTAGGTTATGGGCGCAACAACAGAATGTCTAGGTGCGCTTTTTTAATAACAAAAATACAAAGCCAAAAATGAATGAACTGCCTCTAAAATATTAGGTTCATTTCTCACACTGTCTAGTCCTTCCCCTGCCCACCCCCTAATATTCTTAAGAGGGTCTCTTCTCCAGTCTTCAGAGAGTAGATGGAAGTGGAGAGGCAGAAAAAGGTCCTCCTTTCCTTCCACTCTGCAGTTTTAATCTGAAATCTTAAGCGCAGTACTGTGCCCAGAGCTCAGAAACTGCTCGCACTAATGAAAATCCCTGTCACAAAATGGGAGTTTTGAACACTGTTGGTGAGGTCACAAGTGGTAGCTATCCAAAACTTCTTCCCTTCCTGGGCCAAGAGCCCAGCATCCTACGGTCCACAGATAAGCACAACCTCAAAGCAAGCCCATTAGCATATATCAAAGCAAGGAAACATAAACATCTCTGAGCTCCTTCTTGCAATCAACAACCAATTATTTTGGGGGTTATCTTAACTACCAACATCGCGTCTGCAGGCCTTCCAGAACATTTCACTTCAACACAGCTTCCTCAGCTATGAAGACCAAAGAGAAGTCTATAGCGGTGACCAGAGAATAAATGACCACTAGGAGGAGAGCGGAGAGAAGAAACACCATGGCAACAACACCACCGGATGTCTTCATCTGCCCCAGGTGCAAAACATCTCTGTCCTGCACTAGTCTCCACAACAAGAGCAGGTGTTGCAACCTTCCAACAGCTTGACCTCACCCCAAAGGCACACTCCTCCATTGTCTCCTGTGACAGATGGATGCCAACAAGCTCCCGCCGTCGTGCCCTGTTTTCTATAGACAGCTTCCCCACAAATTAATGGTCCTCTCCGAACAACTGCATTTAAGTCCCATTCCTAAGCAAACTTTCTTGGAGGGAAACAATGCCATTCTTTTACACAGATGAAAGCACCTCTAATTTCAAGGCAGCTCATTTGCCAATAAGTATATTTATGACTATGGGACGCGGGTGGCGCTTTGGGTTAAACCACAGAGCCTAGGACTTGCCGATCAGAAGGTCGGCGGTTTGAATCCCCGCGATGGGGTGAGCTCCCGTTGCTCGGTCCCTGCTCCTGCCCATTTAGCAGTTTGAAAGAACGTCAAAGTGCAAGTAGATAAATAGGTACTGCTCTGGCAGGAAGGTAAACAGCGTTTCCGTGCGCTGCTCTGGTTCGCCAGAAGAGTCTTAGTCATGCTGGCCACATGACCCGGAAGCTGTACGCCGGCTCCCTCGGCCAATAAAGCAAGATGAGCACCGCAACCCCAGAGTCGGCCACGACTGGACCTAATGGTCAGGGGTCCCTTTACCTTTACCTTTATATTTATGATGACAAACGAAGAGCCAGGATTCATGTCACAACTTGTAAGAGTGTTGCTTAGGATTGCAACCACTGAAATACCCCCCCTCCCATGGTGCATGGGGCTGAGAAGGCTAACTAGATTAATAGAAGGTATGGGGAAATCGGAAGACATCACCAAGGAGAAACGATGAAAGGTCTCTAGATCCACAAATTAATCAGCAGTTTATTTATTTAGCAAGATTTATATACCAAAAATATATCTAAAGCATCTTACATAAAAAGGTAAAGGTACCCCCTAACCGTTAGGTCCAGTCGCGGACGACTCTGGGGTTGCACGCTCATCTCGCTCTACAGGCCGAGGAAGCCAGTGTTTGTCCGCAGACAGCTTCCGGGTCATGTGGCCAGCATGACTAAGCCGCTTCTGGCGAACCAGAGCAGCGCACAGAAGCGCACTTTGACGTGCTTTTGAATTGCTTGGTGGGCAGGAGCAGGGACCGAGCAACGGGAACTCACCCCGTCACAGGGATTCAAACCGCCGACCTTCTGGTCTTACATAATATCTTACATAATAGAGTGTAAAATATTAGAAAGAATAAAAACTAACTTTAAAACAGTGGACATTTATCAAAATATAGATAAAGTCAACAGTTTTAAGAACAAACATACAAAACGAAATTACACGCTTGGGTAAGGCTTGCCTAAACAAAGAAGGTTTTAGCAGGCGTATAAAGCAGTAAGTACAACATAGGTACTTGCCTAATATTAATCAGGGGGGAGTGCCGGAGATCTTCATATTCTGCCACACTAAAAATATCGATTTCTGGCAAGTGTGGAATTAATGTTATACAGCACTTGTAAAAGTGCTGGATCCCCAGATCTAATTGATCAAGTGGCCACATGTGAGACGAGCCTTCAGTAAATCAGTTCCAGTAAATTGGTTTGGTGCTGATGATATTCGCCCAAGGAGTCTAAAAAGAACTCAACTGTTAAAATAAGTGAACTTGGTGACTTTTGTACAAATTCTGCCTCCTTAATCTGCCTCCAGAAATGGATAAATGGAACATCAGACATTTTAAAGACTCCCAAACAAGTCCTGGGAACAGCAAGGCAGGTAGGGTGAACTCAGGAGGGGGAAACAGAAAAGACTATATATATATATATATATATATATATATATATATATATATATATGAAGATAAACCAGAGGTGTCAAATCAGGTTCTGCCTAGGGAAAGAGCGCAACTTACCGTAATTCAGGCTGGTTTGTATTCCCGCAGGCTCTATTATCTTTCCATTCTGAAAATTTGGCAGTGCTTAACCTCCAGATATTATGAATGTTTTGCTAGCAGAACTGCTTTCCCTTTGCTGTTAGCCTCATTAGCACCAAGTCATGGGAAGAACATCAGCTATTTTGGCATTTTAAAACTAGGACAGCTGGACAGCTGGAATTCAAGGATGGACAAAAAGAAGTGCTCTTTCACACAACACATAATTCAGTCAGGGAATTTACTGCCACACAACGTGGCGAAGGCCACAAGCTTAAAGGGCTTTGAAAAAGGATTAGATAAAATTATGGTGAATGGGCCTGTCCACGACCATTAATCACAACAGCTGAATCAAACGTCCATGTTCAAAGGCAGTATATCTCCAACTCAGCAGGGGAAATGTTGCAAGAATTAGTCATGCAATAATTTCTACACAACACATTCTAATGCATGTGCCTTGCTCATGGTGGCTTCCAACGGTTAAGAGTAACATAATCAAACAACAATGCCAAATATAGTAGAGACAAGTAAAACATTCTCCCATTTTTAATTGACTGTCTTGTTTTAATGGCACTGTTTTAGTGGGTATTTTAATTATGGATATTTATATTTTAATGGTTTGTGCAATTTGGTTTTTATACTTTGTAAACTGCTTAGAAGCCTATTTTGGCATTAAGCAGTATATAAGTTAATAAATACATCAGCAACACCACCACCACGTGATGATTTAAATCCATCAACTACCAGGCCAGGCAAAAAAGCCTGCTGGAATGAAAACGTCTTCGCTCACAGGCGGAAGACCATCAGACAGTGGGTCACCTGAATCTTGTGAGGCATGATCTTCTACAATATCGGTGCAGCCACTGACAAAGCCCTGTCTCTCGTCAGTACCACTGGTGGGGAGAGACAGCAAAGGCCTTTCCTCCCCTTTTCAAAGGATCAAAGAGGAGGAGGGCAGTTTATGACCCTCCAGGGGTCTCAATAGGGCCCTCCAGGTCTGTCTATCTGGCCCTTGATACTTTCTGCAGGCCACACACCCCTCGAGTTGTTTTTGCCTGTCTCGAATGTGCTCTTCAGCTCTCATAATGACTCTCCCTTGCCTGGACGGAGAAGGGTGTACAAGTGTGTAGAAACTAGCCTACTATACAAAGGTAAAACTTAATATCCTATGCTCCACCCACTTTTCCATCTAGCTCCGCCCACTACTAGAATGGAAGATTGACCAGAACGGAAAGAGGTGGATTTGCCCTGCCAGACCTCAAACTTTATTATGAATCAGCAGCTTTTTGCTGGTTGAAAGAATGGCTGCTTCTTGAAAACACTGACATTTTGGATTTGGAAGGTTTTAACAATGTATTTGGATGGCATGCATATCTGTGGTACGATAAGGTCAAAGCACATAAAGCATTTAAAAACCATATTGTCAGGAAAGCATTGTTTAATGTTTGGATAAGATATAAGGATTTATTGGAAAATAAAACCCCAAGGTGGCTGTCACCGATGGAAGCGAAAGCCTTGAAAAAGCTCAATATGGAGGTCAAATGGCCGAAATATTGGGAAATTTTGGAACAAGATGGAGATAGATTGAAACTGCAGAGTTTTGAAAAACTAAAAACAAAGTGCGAGACTGGCTTCATTATTATCAGATAATGGAGGCATACAATTTGGACAAGAAAATCGGCTTCCAGGTGGAAAAATCAAAATTAGAAACAGAATTGTTAGAACCCAAAACTAAAATTTTGTCAAAGATGTATAACTTGCTGTTGAAATGGAATACTCAGGATGAAACGGTGAAATCTGCTATGATTAAATGGGCACAAGATGTTGGACATAATATTATGTTTGCTGACTGGGAACAGTTGTGGACCACAGGTATGAAATTTACGGCATGTAATGCCTTAAGAGAAAATATTATGACCCCAGTCAAGCTTGCAAAAATCTATCATGCGCCTGATAATAAATGTTGGAAATGTAAAGAAACTGAAGGTACATTTTTTCACCTTTGGTGGACGTGCCCAAAGATTAAGGCTTTCTGGGAGATGATATATAATGAACTAAAAAGGTATTTAAATATACCTTCTTGAAGAAACCAGAGGCCTTTCTCCTGGGCATAGTCGGCCAATCGGTGTTAAAAAGGACAGAACTTTCTTTATGTATGCTACAACAGCAGCAAGAATACTCATTGCAAAGCATTGGAAGACACAAGATTTACCCACACTGGAGGAATGGCAGATGAAATTAATGGACTATATGGAATTGGCAGAAATGACTGGCAGAATCCGTGACCAGGGAGAAGAGTCGGTGGAAGAAGATTGGAAGAAATTTAAAGACTATTTACAGAAATACTGCAAAATTAATGAATGTTAGAATGATGTTGGATTGAAGTTAAGTGGTTTCTAGCTGTATAGGTACAAAAGAACATGGAAAAATTGGCTTTTAATATGTAAAAATCTAACGTTACAATATATCAAGACTAAGGATTAGGATTAAAAAGGAGGGAAAGGAATTGTTGGATTAACAAATTGAATTGGAATACAAAAGAGGGAGGTATGAGGAGGTCTGGGAAACAAGTAAACGTAAAAGAAGTGAGGAAAAGATGGAATTGTTTTTAACTGTTTTTTCTATTTTGTATTTTTCCTTTTTATTGTTAATTTTTTTATTAATGTGATATATATTTTTTTTCCTTTGAAACTTTAATATTATTTTTTTAAAAAAAGGAAGATTGACCAGAACGTTCCCTGGCATGGCTTTAAAAGGGCCAGTAGTTTGAAGCGTGCCTGGAAGTGACCTGCCAACCCTCCAAGTGCCCCTATTGTCCAGGGACAGTCCTAGATTTACAGAAGCTGTCCCAGCTCCTGATTTGATCCCAGAATGTCTTACTTTTCCTTAGGACGTCTCTATTTTCATCAGAGAAATGTTGGAGGATACAGATGTTATGTGACTTGAACCAAGGAGATAAGTAACTATACAACCTTTAGAAGACATCTGTATCATATGTTGTGGGAATGTAGAGAAGTTAAACATTTCTGGGAAATGATATATCATGAATTGAAGAAAATGTTTAAAAGGACAGTTGTTAAAAAACCAGAAGCATTTTTGTTAGGGATTGTAGGGCAAGACCTGCCAAGGAAAACAAAGAATTTATTTATGTATGCAACAACGGCGGCAAGAGTCTTGATAGCACAAGGATGGAAGAATGAGGAAACCCCGCCAAAAGAACAGTGGCAAGAGAAATTGATGAACTATGCAGAATTGGCTAAACTGAAATACAAACTGTGAGACAGGGACAACTGTGACTTTATAAAAGAATGGGAACTTTTCACAAATTACTTAAAAAGACAACAAAATGAATTGGACTCCATGGCAGGTTTTGAATAAACATACACAAATTTATTGATTCATAACATGGTAGACATATGATGTGAGGATCTGTATAATTTTATAACATGCAGAGAATAATATGGGTTGAGAAATCAGAGAGAGGAGCTGAAGGAAGTATCGGGGGGAGGGAGGGTTTGAGGGGGGGAAGGGGAAAAATAATGAATATGATATGTTTTGATATGTTGTTATGTTGAAATTGCTAATAAAAACATTGAAAAAAAGAAGACATCTGAAGGCAGCCCTGTATGTGGAAGGTTTTTTTAAAAAAAATGTTTAATGTTTTATTATGTTTTTATATATGTTGGAAGCTGCCCAGAGTGGCTGGGGCAACCCAGTCAGATAGGCGGGGTATAAGTAGTAGTAGTGATATAATAATAATAATAATAATAATAATAATAATAATAATTTATTTATTTATACCCTGCCCATCTGTCTGGGTTTCCCCAGCCTAATAATAATAATAATAATAATAATAATAATATTGAATAGGATGTCCTATTTTCATTGGAGAAATGTTGGAGGGTATAATATGCTGGACCAATTGAAGCATCTGGTGACTCTGCAAACTTAGCTCCCTGAACAGCGCATGGCAATAAGCCAATCACGATGTAACTGAGGCAACAGCCAGGTTGGTCTTGGAGCCTCCCCACACCCCCCCCACTCTGCCTCCTTTACCCAGATCCATTTATCCCCACTTCCTCCCATCTATGGCCACACTCTGCTTTAAAGAAGCAGACCTGACGTCGCGTTACTTTATAAAGGAAGGGAGCTTGCAGCTTCCTCGCACTGCCAAGCAACTGCAGCCCATCGCTGAGAAACTAAGAACGGGGCTCCTTTCCAAGGCTCCCACACTGGCCTCAGACCGAAAACAAACAAATCGAGTGCTCTCCCCCCCAACAGCGTTCTGGGAAAAACAGCTTGGCAGAGTATGGCGCCTGCACCACCTCTGCTCAGAGGGCTGGAGAAGCAAAGGAGGGCTTAAAGGCAGGCCTGGCCATAGAAAGAGGGGTGGTCCGTTCCTCTACAACAGGGGTGGCCAATTCCCAAGAGACTGCAATCTATTCACAGAGTTAAAAACTGGCTGTGATCTACCCCCTTTTGGGGGGGTTCAGGTCATGCTGAGCTTTTTTTAGGGTGGGGAGCCAGTGATCTACCAGTGATCTACCACAGACGTCCAGTGATTTATCAGTAGATCACAATTTACCTGTTGGACATGCCGGCAGTATACAACATAAATAAAAGGGTGTAGAGGCAAGGAGTACAAAAGCAACACACATAGCATCTCTCTTCACGAGCATCTGTCTGTCTTTGCCTTCTGAATCAGCAACCAGTAAGCCACCCTTCGAATTTCCAATAATAGTAATAATAATAATAAGCACATCACCCTGGGGCATCATGGGAAAATAAACTGGTACCAGCTGGGGCCCAGTGCTGAATGGCAGTCACCGGATTATTTTTAAGGGGAGCCCACAATGGCAGACCTTGCAGAAGTAACAATGAACTTATTCCCAGGTATGTTTATAGGATTACAGCCTGATTCAAAGCCATGAAACTCAGTGGGTGATCCTGGGCAAGTCATTTCCCCTTCCCATTTGCCCGAAGTTCATTGCTGGAAGTGCAATACACAGTCATAATTCAGCTGTGGGTTAAACCAGAGCCTAGGACTTGCCAATCAGAAGGTTGGCAGTTTGAATCCCCGCGACGGGGTGAGCTCCCGTTGCTCGGTCTCTGCTCCTGCCAACCTAGCAGTTTGAAAGAACGTCAAAGTGCAAGTAGATAAATAGGTACCGCTCTGGCGGGAAGGTAAACGGCGTTTCCGTGCGCTGCTCTGGTTCGCCAGAAGCGGCTTAATCATGCTGGCCACATGACCCGGAAGCTGTACGCCGGCTCCCTCGGCCAATAAAGAGAGATGAGCGCTGCAACCCCAGAGTCGGCCATGACTGGACCTAATGGTCAGGGGTCCCTTTACCTTTATTCTTACCCAACCCAGCTCAATGGGGCTTATTTGCAGATACGACACTGTAGCTACCATACAGCCCAAACCTATTCATGTTTCTTCAGAAGTAAACCCTACCAAGTTCAGAGGGGCTGAGTTTTAAAATTAAGACTTAACACTTGGGATGTGTGTCTTTCACCCAATGGGACTGCTTTAAAAGAGAACTAGGCAAACTCATGGCTTAAACTTTGTGATTAAAATAACTAAGAAAAAGACACCAAGCGATAAACTAAAACTGGTAAAAGTTAATAAAAAGTTGATAAAACTAGTAAAAACTAATACAAACTAATAAAAACCGCACAACTAACGCGGAGCTCAAATCAATGCTTCCTCTAACGGCGCCATCTTGGCTCCTCCCCCCAAACTCATGGAAGGTACCTGGCTGTCGTCAGGGTTGGAGGCAGTATGCCTGCGATTGCCTGTTAGAATCACAGAATTGTAGAGTCGGAAGGGACCCAAGGGTCATCTAGTCCAACCCCCCTGCGATGCAGGAATCTCAACTAAAGCATCCATGTCAGATGGCCATCCAACCTCTAGTTGTAGCATAGGAGCTAACTCCTAGGGGCTGAGGTCCCTTTGCCCCCCATAAAATATTTGAGGGGGCCACCCCTCCCTCAACTTGATGGAATTAGTAGTACAGTGGTACCTCAGGTTAAGTACTTAATTCGTTCCGGAGGTCTGTTCTTAACCTGAAACTGGTTTCAACCTGAAGCACCACTTTAGCTAATGGGGCCTCCTGCTGCCACCGCACCGCCGGAGCCCAATTTCTGTTCTTATCCTGAAGCAAAGTTCTTAACCTGAAGCATTATTTCTGGGTTAGCGGAGTGTGTAACCTGAAGCGTATGTAACCCCAGGTACCACTGTAGTAGTAGTAGTAGTAGAATTTATACAATGCCCTATACCTGGGCGGTTCACAAATTTTTAGTTATGAGACGTTTTTATTTTTTAAAAATAACAATAAATAAAGTTTAAATTGTCATCCAGCATTACCCAAGCACCTGAAATTTTATTTTGAAAGCCGACTAAGCAACAGGTTCTCTCACCTACCATTTACATGTCCTGGGAGTCTACTGAGCAAACCCTGAGCACCCTCCCCACAGACCCATGTTTAGTTCCATATCATTGGCTGAAGTACAGTGGTACCTCGGTTTACAGACGCTTCAGGTTACAGACTCCACTAACCCAGAAATAGTACCTCGGGTTAAGAACTTTACTTCAGGGTGAGAACAGAAATCACGAGGTGGCAGCGGGAGGCCCCATTAGCTAAAGTGGTGCTTCAGGTTACGAACAGTTTTGGGTTAAGAACGGACCTTCAGAACGAATTAAGTTCTTAACCCGAGGTACCACTGTGGTCATGCCTCTGGGGGATGAAGCCCATCTGTGTGTAAGTGAAAGGGGCATTCCAATGGTTTGTGTGCGTATTTTATGATGATGCGAGGCTGGGCTTACCTGACCCACAATGTTTTATTCAACTCGGGTTGGCACCCTTGATTTGCTGGGAATCACAGGTCCTGCTCGGGGGCTTCTTACAGACATCTGGCTGGCCGGAGGAGCAAGCTTTTGATACGGGACTCAACGGTCCGTTGATGGGATCCACCCAAAGCTGTTCCCCACCCGCTTCCTCCCAAGCCATGGGCGTAGCCGGGGGTGCAGGGGGCAGCTGCCCGCCCCATCGAGTAAATAATAATAAAAAGTAACCAATTGCATTGCAAATAACTGTTCTGCCCCCTAACATAAAGGCTGCCCCCCCCCATAAATCCATGTCCCAAGCTCCCGTCGCAAGCGGCGCCCCCTACCTTGCTCGCAAGGCCCCTTGCTGCGCTGCTCGACGGGGCGCCCGCCGCGGCTCTGGGCGCGCAAGCTGGCCGCCCGCAGCTGGCAGCCGCTGGGGTAGGTGAGCCCGTCGCTGCCGCACACCGGGTAGCGGCTCTTGCAGGCGCACACGCCCGGCTGGCCCTTGCGCCGACGGCGGCACTCCAGGCCGGTGGCGCAGCGGCCCCAGCCCCGGCGGGCCCGGCCGACGGAGACCCGGCGCCGCACGCCTCGCCCTCGCCCCGCGCGCACTGCCAGCAGCAGCCGCAGCCGTCGCGGACCTTGCCCAGAGGGCAGCCCCGGGCCGGCAGCGGCGGGCACTCGGAGGACGGGGCGCACGGCGGGCAGCCGGCGGAGGGCGAGGGCTCGCCCAGGGACGCGGAGCAGCAGCAGGCGGCCAGCAGGAGGAGGCAAGGCGGCGCGGAGGCGAGACGCGACATCGCGGGGAGGACTCGACGGGACGCGGCGGCGGCTGCTGCTGCTATTCCCGCTCGGAGCTGGCGCTGGGAATAAGCGCTGGGAGAAAAAGGCTGACTTGGAAACTCCACCCCCTGATCCCCTTCCGCCCGCCCGCCAGGATTGGTTTGATTTGTGTTATGTTCGGCGTGAGACAGGATGCCAGTAGGTTCTGTTGTTGTTGTTTAGTCGTGTCCGACTCTTCGTGACCCCATGGACCAGAGCACGCCAGGCACTCCTGTCTTCCACTGCCTCCCGCGGTTTGGTCAAACCTGTCCCACCATCTCGTCCTCTGTCGTCCCCTTCTCCTTGTGCCCTCCATCTTTCCCAACATCAGGGTCTTTTCCAGGGAGTCTCTTGTGACAGAGCGTTCCACCAAGTCGGGGCCAGTACTGAAAAGGCCCTGGCCCTAGTTGAGACCAGTCTAACCACCTTGCGACCTGGGACCTCCAAAATGTTGTCATTTGTGGACCTTAAGGTCCTCTGTGGGGCATACCAGGAGAGGCGGTCCCATAAGTACCTGGGTCCTAGGCTTTTATGTCTTTTTTATGTTTGTTGCCTTGGGAAGGCAGCGTATCTGTGCTTTAAATAAGTAGCTAAATAAACGACAGCTAAATAGAGCCTCCATGTTCAGGAACAGCATCTATTTCAGTGTCAGAGGGTAGAGGGCAAGCAACAGGGGCCGGCTGTTGCCTTTGTGGCTTGTTTGCAACCTTTCCAGAGGCATCCAGGTTGCCAGTTGTGGCATAAAAGGGTGTTAAGACTTTCTCCTGAGCCAGTGGAGATCTCCTTGAGCTTTTAAATCCTGCTTGAGGAAAGTTCTGTTCCCCTCTGCAAGCCGGAGCAATACAGAAGTGCCATGGGGCATGTGCAGAGTGCTTCCCCGTCGTCACCGAATGATGATTGCTATCCCATATATTAGGCAGTGTTTTTGTTCCGCTCCTGTAAGAGGAATGAATATATTTATCCTCTCCAGTTTCCTCAGGCAAGGAGGCAAGTTTTTTTCAGTGCGGGAAAAGGAGTGATCAAGGGATAGATGAAGAGTAGTCATGAAAAATCAGTGAGATAATGCTCCTGAGCATGTGCAAAGGACCTCAGGCATGCCCAGGGGTGCCAACTTGAATAAAATATGGAGGGGCGTGGTGTAAGTCCCGCCCCACACATTCAATCACAGGACGCGGTGCACGCACACCATTTTAATGGCAATACTTGGGGGGCTCTCCAACCACCTCAAATATTTTATTGGGGGGCAAAGACTCCTCAGTTCATCCAGACACAACTCAAACCCGCAATCTTATTTTTCATTTCATTTCATTTAAACCCTGGCGCCAGACCCTGCAGTCTAATATTGAGGGGGCTGAAGACACCTCCGTCCCCTAGAGTTGGCACACCTGCTTCAGGTGGAAATATTCTGCTAGATATCCGACAAAGACATTTTTCCAGCACGCAAGGCATGCATGTTCATTTCATAGCTGTCAACTTTCAGATTTGAAAATAAGGAATCAGTCCATGGGATATCTAACAATCCGGGATAGCAGCGGGAAACGGCACTGGAATAAGGGAATTTCCCGCAAAAAAGGGAAGGTTGACAGCTATGGTTCCTTTTGGGGTACATGGGGGTCAGCTCCCCACATTTCTTTGGAAATTCTCTCGCTAATCTGTGAACAGTGTTCCTCTCCTGTACTTAAAGCTGTTGCAATGCAATTTGACCCAACAGCGCCGCCTACTGGCCAATGGTCACATCACAGCCTGAAATACAACATTTTGCAATTCCAGAGATGGCAGCCCTGTTAGTCTCTTGCTAAAACCCCCCCCACGAAATTCACGGGCCATCTGAGAGGAATCCTTTGGCCTGGGGAGAAAGACGGTGCCAAGCTGATGGGGTGTGTGTTTGGGGCAGGGCCGGATTTAGGTTTGATGAGGCCCTAAGCTACTAAAGGTAATGGGGCCCTTTAGATGTCCAGCTGTCCTTTGTCAACAACAAATTGTCGCTGTTTCTTGTGTGGAAATATATGCTATATGGTAATTTATGGACCTAAGAGGTATCTAAAGCCATTTGTGCATGTTGCCATGCAACCAGTCCATGCAGAATGTAGGCACCCTATATATATATAGAAAGGAGCAAACCAGTGATATTTAGAAAGGAGCAAACCAGTGATATTTTACGGAGCAGGTGGGGCCCATGACTTACATCGTAGGAGTCTACACAACACAAAACACTGTTGCTGTATGTAGGTTTTATTTTATTTGTTTTTTATCTTATATTTTGGAAATGTACATCCAGGGTTTTCTTCTTTAAAGTTTTTTTTGGGCCCCCAAGAGAGTGGGGCCCTAAGCTATAGCTTGTTTGGCTTATACGTAAATCTGGCACTGGTTTGGGGTGGCAGGGAAGTGTTTTGCAAGGTGTTCTGGGAAGAAGGAGAAAGATTGGGATCCATCTTGTAACAGTATATTATCCCTGAACTTGCATTGGACAATACTATTCCATCTGAGAAAGTCCAGGGAGGAAGCCTATCTTGGTGGCAAAGCACATGTGCACATAAAGTGTGGCAGAGCATACTCTTAGCGCATTGAACCCCTACCCCTAGCATTGAACTATCTACCTTTCCAGGTAGACCAGTTTGGAATCCTGGAGAACAGCTGCATATGAATGCAGAAGTTATTGGGCAAAATCAGGTGTCGGGAACTGTTGACCCTCCAGATCTTGCTGAAAATCCCTCCCAACAGTTTCAATAAATCATTATTAGACTATAAGCCAGTGTTTCCCAGACTTGGGTCTCCAGCTGCTTTTGGACTACAACTCCCAGCATCCCTAGCTAGGAGGATCAGTGGCCAGGAATGATGGGAACTGTAGTTCAAAAACAGCTGGAGACCCAAGTTTGGGAAACACTGCTATACGCAATAAAAATGTGTTGTTATGAGTTTGTAGGTGCTGGACACCTCTAATCCCTGGATACAGCAAGGGTGAAAAGCTAATCAAGCCAAGTTAGCTTCCTGTTGAGGTGATGACCTGGGTATTAAGAGAACAAAGGAAAGGGGAATCTGTGCTAGATGAAAATAAGTGGGGCCCGTACTTCAACTCTTAGTTTGAAGTATAGAGTTGAGTTTTGCTGTGATGTGACCTAGAAACAAGCAGAGAAAGAGACTGTCCCAGGTCTCTGCTTACATCAAAGGCTGTGGCTATGCGAGAAACAATACCCTTTCGGGGTGTCGATGTTGTGAAACCCCTCCATCGTAGGCTCTGGTTGTATATAAGTGCAAATAAACCATACAGTTGGTACCTTGGTTCTCAAACTTAATCCATTCCGGAAGGCCACTCCAAAACCAAAGCGTTCCAAAACCAAGGTGCGCTTTCCCATAAAAAGTAATGCAAAACAAATTAATCCATTCCAGACTTTTAAAAAAAACCCCTAAAACAGCAATTTAACATGAATTTTACTATGTAATGAGACCATCGATCCATAAAATGAAAGCAATAATCAATGTACTGCACTATAAAATAAATAAGACAGTATTGTAGATGATAAAAATTTAAATTAATTTTTTTCTTACCTGCACTGATGATAGTCATTGTTTGGATGGGTGGCTTTTATCCATTTCCACAATAACACAATCAATCAATCAATCAATCAATCAGTAGCTAAACTGGGTTCCACACAGTCACAAAAACAAATTAATCAAAAAAGCCTCAAAAACAAAAACGCAAAATAAATAGCAAAAACAAAAGCGCCAAACTTAATCAGTTCCAGAAGTCCATTTGACTTCCGAAATGTTCAAAAAGCAAGGCGCAGCTTCTCTGCTTGGTGCAGGTGCCCCGGAAACAATAGCCGACAGCCGCATTGGATGTTCAGCTTCCAAAAAACGTTCGAAAACCGGAACACTTACTTCCGGGTTTTCCGAGTTTGAGAACCAAAGCATTTGAGAACCAAGGCACCACTGTATATCATAGACACTATAGCCTCTGCTGTGCCTCATTCCCAAAAGGAAACACAAATCCTGCATGAGCAGTGGAGGGTTATCCCTTTATGTGTGTATCACCCTGAAAGTTTGGCACATCATTTTCTTGCTCTCACTCAAGGCTCCAGCCCATGTCATAGCTGTCAACTTACAGATTTGAAAATAAGGAACCAGCAGCCTTGAAAATAAGGGATCAGCAGCCAAAATAAGGGATTTTAGTCAACCAGCTGAAATACGAAATTAAAAGGGACCAGATAATTTTGGAGAGCAGCGCCGGTTTTTAGCCCTTCATTTCCAGAGGTTGCTGCTGAAGACACCAGCTGATGAAACACTGCAATTAAATAACTACAAGCAGCAACCACTTTTCACGCAAAACGAAGTCCAAGCTACGAAGATGCTGCTGCAGTTCTGTATCTTTTCTCCCGTGCTCCATCTGCAGCTCTCAGTTCCGTCAGGCGGGGCGGGAGGAAGAGGGGTGTGTGTGGATGTCAGTGTTTGTAAAAAGCAAAAAAGGAGGAAAAGGGTTCTGACCTCCCTTTGTCTCCTCAGCCTGGTCCTCGGACCCTTGTCGGCACAAAGAGAGTCCACGAGAATATCCTTGCAGAGTTTTATTCTTAAAAGTCTTTGTGCAAAAACACGACTGAATAACTATACTGTAAACACCAGCACTAACCAACCAACCAACCCAAACACCAGCCTCAGCACAAACTAACATTTCTCACTTTATATATACAACCTGCTGCAGGCCGCTGAGTTATGCTGACCCAGCTTTATTCGCATTAAAGAAACAGCGGCCATTTTAGCCGTGACAGTGGAAATAGCGCCCGAAGTAAACCTGCAGATCAGACCATCTATGCTAGTCTACTACTACAAATCTATGGGAGAAGTGCTTACGGTCCTTCCTCCGTTTTCCTCCTCTATGGTTAGCCCTTGGAACACCTGCCCCCGCCTCTGCCTCCTCTCTCTCAACTGCTTTCTCTATGGTCACTCTCCTCTCAAGGCTCCTCAGTCCCGGCGGGGAGGGGCTCCCGGGGGCCGAGGCCGGAGAGGAGGCTGGAGGGGGGCGGGCCAGGCAGCCAAGCAACACAGTTGGAGCCTCCCTCCTCCCTGGCCTTTGAAACCCGGGAAATTTAAGGGACATCATCAATAAGGGACAGCAGTGGGACACGGCGCTGGGATAAGGGAGTTTCCCGCCAAATAAGGGACGGTTGACAGCTATGGCCCATGTATGTGTTATGACTTTTTGAGGATGTGTGTTCTAATGCCTTGATTATTTTTCTACAGGGAAGCTATAGTCCACTGTTTGTTTGTACATCTGGGGACAGATGCCTTGTTCTTTTGTGGAGAGGAAGTGTTATGCGTTAAGAGGGGGCAGACTGTATGCCTGAGCCGCCCTTCTAATTCCCAGATCCAGCTCGGATTCAATTGCTGGAATAGACGGGCCAGCCTGGTAATGGCCCACTAAGTATGGATCTTTAAGGTAACAAAGGAAGTGGTTCTGTGCCAGAGGGTAAATGGGCACATTTGGTTAGTTGGACACAGTCTGTCTGTTTGTTGGAAAGACTAACAGAGTTTAGTTTTGTGAGCTGGAAACCAGAAGCAGGAAGCAGCAGACTGGGCAGCTGAGAGACAGAGACATGCCTGATTTCTTCTGGAATCCAAGGCTGTGGGTATGGAAGAAATAAGTTATTCTTGAGGTGTTAATGCTGTGAACCCCTCCAAAGTGTTGGTGTTGACCTTTAAAGCCCTAAAAGGCCTCGGCCCAGTATACCTGAAGGAGCGTCTCCACCCCCATCGTTCTGCCCGGACGCTGAGGTCCAGCGCCGAGGGCCTTTTGGTGGTTCCCTCACTGCGAGAAGCCAAGTTACAGGGAACCAGGCAGAGGGCCTTCTCGGTAGTGGCACCCGCCCTGTGGAACACCCTCCCACCAGATGTCAAAGAGAACAACAACTACCAGACTTTCAGAAGACATCTGAAGGCAGCCTTGTTCAGGGAAGTTTTTAATGTGTGACATCTTAGTGTATTTTTGGTCTTTGTGGAAGCCGCCCAGAGTGGCTGGGGAAACCCAGCCAGATGGGCAGGGTACAAATAATAAATTATTATTATTATTATTATTATTATTATTATTATTGGCTCAGGTTGTAAGGTAAAGGTAAAGGGACCCCTGAGCATTAGGTCCAGTCGTGGATGACCCAGGGGTTGCGGTGCTCGTCTCGATTTACTGGCCAAGGGAGCCGGCGTACAGCTTCTGGGTCATGTGGCCAGCATGACTAAGCCACTTCTGGCGAACCAGAGCAGCGCACGTAAATGCCGTTTACCTTCCCACCAGAGTGGTACCTATTTATCTACTTGCACTTTGACGTGCTTTCGAACTGCTAGGTTGGCAGGAGCAGGGACCGAGCAACAGGAGCTCACCCCGTTGCGGGGATTCGAACCGCCGACCTTCTGATTGGCAAGTCCTAGGCTCTGTGGTTTAACCCACAGTGCCAGGTTGTATATATGTGCAAATAAACCATATATCGTACAGACACAAGGCTCCACTGTGCCTTATTCCAAAGGAGACACGAGCCCTGGGTTAAGCTCCTTTCATCTCGCACTGCTCAGAGATCAGAGTGGTGTGCAACATATGGAACCATTGCAGAACTGCCTACCCCACCTATAAACAGGGAAGAGTTAAAACACACGCACCAGTCAAATGAAAATGACCACCCAAGTTACTTAACCTTGGCCACTGAAAGCCAGCTCAGAGCGGAAAGTTTTACAGTTCATCTAAAAGTTTCACAGTTCCTCTAAAAAACGCCATGACGATTACAATGAGTCCATCCTGGCAAATTCCTGACTCCACCCACATCTCCTTTCCTTCTGCTAGCAGGCATCATAAACTCTCATTTTCTGTGACACTCCCAACTTTCTCAATACACAATGCCTGGTTTTTTGTTTTGTTTTTTTATTAAAAAAGTACTGCTTTGATTAGGTTATCAAGATAAAAGTGATCTGTTCACCAGAGCATTAAATCACGTAGCGATGGATTATTTAAAGTATCTCGGTTCATTAGGCATGCATTACCTTTAACATTTGGCAAGACTGAATTGTGGCCAGGTGGTGTCCCTTTGCAAAATGGCAAAGGATCTGGGTACCTGCCCAGCCAAAACGTAAAAGGGTGGTGCAAGGGACATTTTGCGCTAGCAAAAGGAGTCGGAGATATGCACGTTAGTATCTTTTGGGCTGACAGCATTTCGTGAAAATTAAAATGGAGAAACCTGGAAGAACTATGAGCTTCAGGTTGTTGGTAGGAGCCAGGTCCTGTGACAAGAAGCCACATCAACTAACCTCAAGCCAAGTCCACTTATATTCAAGAAGGTATGAAGTTGCCGTAGACCACATGTGGCAAACTACAACCCCCCCCCCCATCTTCTGCAGCCAACATGGCCAATGATTAGGGATAATGGGAGTTGTAGTCCAAAACGAATGCAGGTTAGATTCCCAGTCTGATTGGTGGCAGCTTTTCAGAAGCCAAGGGAGTCTTTTCTAGCCTCACAACAAGGGAGAGGTTGTAGCTCAGAGTGAGAAAGCGAGATAGAGAGCACATGTTTTTGCACATTGTTGTTGTTTAGTCGTTTAGTCGTGACCGACTCTTTGTGACCCCATGGACCAGAGCACGCCAGGCACTCCTGTCTCCCACTGCCTCCCGCAGTTTCCTCAAACTCATGCTGGTAGCTTCGAGAACACTGTCCCACCATCTCGTCCTCTGTCGTCCCCTTCTCCTTGTGCCCTCCATCTTTCCCAGCATCAGGGTCTTTTCCAGGGAGTCTTCTCTTCTCATGAGGTGGCCAAAGTATTGGAGCCTCAGATTCAGGATCTGTCCTTCCAGTGAGCACTCAGGGCTGATTTCCTTCAGAATGGACATGTTTGATCTTCTTGCAGTCCATGGGACTCTCAAGAGTCTCCTCCAGCACCAGAATTCAAAAGCATCCATTCTTCGGCGATCAGCCTTCTTTATGGTCCAGCTCTCACTTCCATACATCACTACTGGGAAAACCATAGCTTTTACTATACGGATTTTTTTTGCACATAGAAGGTCCAAATTTCAGCCCTTAAATCTTAAAAAGAGCTCACGTAGCAGGAATGAGAAAGACCCCGGAGTCAGAAGGGACAAGACTAGGCTTAGGGCAAGTATGGGGAACCTTTGACCATTCAGATGCTCCCATCAGCCCCAGTCAGCATGGCCAATAGTCAGGGATGAGGGGAGCTGTGGTTCAGTAACAGCTGGGGAGCCACAGGGCCCCCACCTCTGACTCAGGGACTAGCAGTGTAGCTTCATATATATATCTTTATACTGGAGATACCAGAGGTATTATGCACACACTCCACCTGCAAGCTACGATTTGTCCCACATCCGCTGGAATCTGGATTTGAACCCATACCCCGAGGTAAGGCAGAAGCCAAGGGCAATTATCGTAATTAAATCACTGTGCCACACATATGGAGCCTAGAACTGGCGTCTGTTAATTACTGTGGCTTGGGGATCCCTTAGCTGTGTGCCAGAGAAACAAGGAATAATTTACCACCTGATCCAAAATAACTGACCTTTGAGCAAGCAGTCCTGCCAGAGGGCCAATGACCCTGCTATGATTTGATTTTAATGAACTGTTTGTACCTTGCCGCAACACCTGAAACCATTGTCCGTCATGCCAGGGAACATCACAGGATTATAGACCCTTTGCCAGGTGAGCAGATGGAAGTAAGACGCAGCGATGCAAAGAGACGACCTTCCAGAAATGACGCAATTAAACAGATGCTTAATGTCAGAGGGTGTTGCTGCAACCATTGCATGTGATGCATATATAAAGAAATGGAACTGATGCAGAGAGCTAGAGAAACTCCTGCTCCCCTTCAAGATGGCCAGGATTCTGTTCCTAGCATCTTTCCTGCTCTTAGTTGCAGGTAAGTCCGTAGAATTAGTGGCACTTCGGGGACCAGAGGGCTGGTTCATGCAGACCTTGTTCAGCACTTGAAGATAACACATGTAGCTGGCACGTTCTTGATTAGTGGCAAGTGATGGTTAACATGTATGAAAGGGCTATCACAGGTCAAAGACCACTGGTCAAAAATCTGTATCTCACCTCAGTCACAAGGCTTTTAAGTAGAGGAGATTTATAGATTCAGCAGATAATTTTCAAGGGATATGGCAATCACAGGTAGAACACATGGGTATGCACATGTGTGTACACAAATGTGAGCGAGATGTGGTTGGCGCTGTGGTCTAAACCACTGAGCCTCTTGGGCTTGCTGATCAGAAGGTCGGCAGTTCAAATCCACACGAAGGGGTGAGCTGCTGTTGCTCTATCCCAGTTTCTGCCAACCTAGCCGTTTGAAAGCATACCAGTGCAAGTAGATAAATAGGTACTGCTGCGGCGGGAAGGTAAACGGCATTTCTGTGCACTCTGGTTTCTGTCATGGTGTTCCGTTGCGCCAGAAGCAGTTTAGTCATGCTGGTCACATGACCTGGAAAGCTGTCTGTGGACAAATGCCAGCTCCCTCGACCTGAAAGCAAGATGAGTGCCGCAACCCCATAGTTGCCTTTGACTGGCCTTAACCATCCAGGGGTCCTTTACCTTTTTTTACACTGATTTGTGTGCAAGGAAGGGGGTGCCAAACTGGGTCCCTGACCCGGATGAAGTAAAGCCGTTTCGCCCTTGCCTAATTATCCTTTTATCTTTGAACTAAGCATGCCACTCAGAGAGAAAGCTTTATTCTTTTTTAAAAAACAAAAATACATTCTGCATCTGGTAGGGCAGGGAAGTAAGAATGACAGCTGCCACCCTGTCCCCCCAAAATTGAGCAGCTGCGTCAATATACAATGACTACATCCAGGCCAGCACAGGAACAGCAGTGGTGAAATAAGATGCTATTTATTCCTTTATTTTGCAGGTGTATATCCTGACTTGCTACCAGAGGATAAGAAAGAAGACCTGGGAGGAGGTAATACAAAATTCTACAATTTACACACAGGGACAGGGACACACACACACACACACACACACACACACACACACACAGAGTCCGCTTACTCCCCTGGCCGATGGATGTGACCAGGAATCTCCCCTTTGAGTTCCATAGGCCCAGGTCAGCTGGCAACTGAAGCAGCTTCTTAGTTGGAAGCAGGGTAGAGAGGGAAACAACCTCCTTTCGGCTGGTAGAAGGTGATAAAAAAGGGAAGAATATTGTGCTGTTCCAATAAGGTGGATGACTTAAAAAGCCCCCAAACAAACCAATTTTAATGATGTTGTCAGCATGATTACCAAAAACAGCAATGGGGGGAAAAGAGAAACAAAAAATCTTTGCACAAAGCTTGTGGAGAGGTTATAGGACCTTGCATCAAGAGATCATTACCCCACACATTCCAGTGTTTTCCCCTTGTTGCAATAAATCCAAATTTGGGAGGATTTTTAAAAATTCTTTTGGATACCTAGATTTTTGGTTCTTAAAATTCTGCGTATGATTTAATTGTCTCCCACTGATAATACTTATTTGGCAGTGTTCAGGCTGCTTTAAATGCAATTTTACTTTTTAGCAGAGGAAGCAGGTAAGCAAAGATGGGAGTCATGGGCTCAAGACCCCCCCCCCAAATATGGATGCTGGAGCAACACTTTCTCCTGCCCACATGCCCATAGCTAGATGTACCTCAAAATCAAACTGGCTAGTACATACATGAAATTTCGGAATTAGGCTGAGCTACACTCTTGACTAGATTACTCTCAGGGTCCCTTCCAACTCTACCCATTTATGACTCTGATTGCACTGGGAAAATCTGAGGACCTTTTACCCTCCTCGATGGGTACGTGGCATTGCTCCTGGGAGATCTGTACCCACCTCTTGCTGAGAATGCTCAAAAGTTTCCCACATTGCATCCCAGATACTAAATGCTCCTACCATCTCCTTAAAGAAAGCAAGGAAGACAAAACATTTCAATGCAGATCTTAAATGCTTTATTGCCGTACAAGATTGTGGCTTCTGTTCTAGTTGACAAGTCAAGTGCTCCATGGATGAGAGAGAGAGGGGAAAAAAAGAGAGGCTGTGACTCTACCGGTGAAATTGGGTAGCTGTGAATTGGGTTCTCAATGCTGCTCAAAAAGGGACTCAAGGTCAGTGGCAAGAATTAGACACAGGTGGAAGTCGCCAGCTAACAGAGGTTGCGGTTATACCTGAGCATGCGCCACAGGCAAACACTCTCGTCTGTGAAACCCTCCTCGACACCTGCTCCACTCAGTACGTCTCCTGGGAGGAAAGGGGACTTGGGCATGCACAGTGGCAGCCAGAGGTACCGTTGGGCCAGGGCGCTCAGGGTGGGGAGCTGCTCAGATTGCGCCTCCCACCACTGAGACAGGGAGACATTTGCAGGAGCCGCCTGCGCCAGCTGCTGGTAGCGGAACCACTCCACCTCTGCCACCTCTGCCAGCCCAGGGACGGCCTGCTCCTGCTGCAGCTGGCTCCAGCCCACAGCGCCCACCTGCTTGGGATCAAGGGCCCGCACGGCCTTCAACGTGGGCACCGCAGGGTGAGAGCTGAGCAAGTGCTCCAGGCGGGTGAGGCTGCAAGCCAGGACCTCGCGGAACTGCGATGCCAGACGAGGCGGGCACAGGGCCAGCTGCCTCCTGGTGTTTGGCCCAAACCCCGTGTCCAGGTGGTAGGAGAAGGCAATGCGCAAGGCCTCCAGCTCGCCATAGGCCCAGTGCGCTAATGGCTCCCCCAACTTGTGCAGGAACTGCGCCGTGCTCAGGAGGACTGCCCCGTGCTCCGCTGCAAAGGCGGCCTCCGCCACCAACTCCTCACTGCCTGACCCAAGAAGCGCCTGCAGTTTGGCCATGGCGGCACCCTCTTCTTCATCAGCTGCCACGAACTCCATCAGGATGGGGAGATGTTCTGCGATGACGGCAGCCTTCTCCAGCCAAGCCTCTGGCCCAGTCCACCTACTGGGAACGGGCAGGGAGAGTGCCAGGCCGCGCTCTCTCAGAAACAGCTCGTAACGGTGGCGCAGGGCAGCCTGCCGCCCGAATGTATCCTCCAGGAGGTGCAGCACAGAAACCAGCTTTTCCAACTTATCTGGCCACAGCTCCATCACCAGCTCCAGCTGGTGCGCCAGGCAGGGGATGTGAAGGGCAGTGGGCAACACCGTGCCCAGAATCCCGTTGGCAGCAAAGGCTTGGATCATGTGGGCATTCCCAGAAGTGACCACAGCCAGCACCCTGTGGGACAAGACGTGCCCTTCGCTCAAAACACCCGTGACGGCCCGGGCCACCGAATGGTGGCTCAGCTGCTCCAAGAACTCCACACCCAGGAGCAGAGGAGACTGCCCAGGCCTGTCAAGAGGCAGGACGGAGACGCCAAGGATGGCCCGCCCGTCCCCTGTCGTCGCCTCATGAAGGAAGACAAAAGTATCGCGGCGGTGGAGAACCTGACGGAGACCGGACTTGTGGCGCCGCCGCAAGGCCGGGAGAACGCTGCGGTGGAGCTGGGCCACGGATGGGAGCGAGCGCCTCACGCCCAGCGGACGCGTGATGAGAGCCTCGAAGAAGCCTGCCTCAGAAAGCGGGATGCCTGTGTGGGCCAAGGCCTGCACCAGAGAGAGCAGGATTGGGTCTGGTTCGGGGACGGATTCTGAGCGGCGGCCCCAAGCTTGTCCCTCAGAGCGGAGGGATGAGGCCGAGGCCTGTTTGCGAAGCTGGGGGCCCCTGGTGGAACCAGCATCCGATCGACGGCGGCTGGGAGGACCGTGGGCCGGCGACGACTCCTCAGAGTTCAGGGAGGAACGCAGGCCAGAGGCCTGGGTGGGCTTCCTCAACGGAGTTGCCATGGCTCAGCTGTGGAAGAAGGTGGACAGAGTGTCAAGAGAGGGAAAAGACGTTTGTTGTACCTGGAGCAAAACTCTAACATTGGGCAGAGACACACCATACACATCACTTCCCTCAAAGAATATTGGGAACAGGGGGGCCAACTTGGACAAAATATTGAGGAGCCCCCCAAGACATGGCACACAAACATCATTCAAATTGCAGTGTCCAACTTTGGGTGCCCCCTCCGGCCCCCTCAAATATTTTATGGGGGGGCAAAAGGACCTTGGCCCCTAGGATAGGGTTACCAGACGTCCCTGGTTCCCGGGGACAGTCCCTGGATTTGCAAATCTGTCCCCAGACAAATTCCGTCCCCGGAATGTCCCCAGATTTGCAATCTGTCCCCGGGAAATGTGCAGTGGCAGCCTCAGCAGCCCGGAGCCAGCCTGGTAGCGCAGTTGGCTCTGGCTGGCTTCAGGAGCTGCTCGCTGCTGTGGCGCCTGCCATTTTTCCTGTGCCATGGCAACGAGCAGCTCCTGAAGCCAGCCAGAGCCAACTGCACTACCAGGCAGGCCCCTCCTGTGCAATGGCCGCCCGCCCGTGATTCCCGAGCCCCCCCGATCTGTCAAAACAAAGGGGGAAGAAGATCGGGGAAGGCTTGGGAGTCACGGACGGGCTGTTGCACAGTTTTTTTAAAAAACTCTGCACATTTATGTTTCACAGGGTGTGAAAAAAGGGCTTTGCACCTTTATAAAATATGCATGTGTGCTTGGGCCCAGGGTCTTTTGCCTCACCATCCCCACTACTGACTCCCTGTTGCTACTCAGCTTCAAAAAAAAAAAAAAAAAGGGGTCCCCGGATTCATTGAAAAAAAAATCTGGTTACCATGTGTTATTTTAAAGACATATTCTTGAAGGAGGAGTAGATGGGAAAAGTGGCCAACCTTCCAATCAGAGACATTGGTGGCTCTTTGCTTAGTCCGCAAGTATCTAAGAAACAGGACTGGGCTCCACTTCACCCACCAACCCCAGACTCGCTTAACTGTACAACACAGCTCCAAACCAAAGGCAAGGCTGTAGAGAAACAAGCATCTACCTTTCTCTTTCCCTATTGGTAAAACCTATTTGGTGTTTCGCAACTTTCTGACTAGTTGCAGGACCTTAGCCAGACCTAGCAGAGTAAACGCAGAATCCACGGAAGCAATTGGCGACTTGGCTGCAGACAGGATAGACAAAGCAGGAACCAGGAACTTGTAGTTAGGTGTTTATTATATACAGTGGACTATTTACAGGAACAGAACACAGATCTTTAGCTAGCTCTCTCTGACACGACTCACAACTCCTACACTGACACACAGAACTCTGAACTCTGAACTAACACATTCCAGTTAGTAGGCCATTAATTATCACTCCCTTGAGAGAGCTTGACCAATCAGGGAGCTGTCTGCATGTCTCTGTTATCACCAGGCAGACTTACTCCTTCAGATTGCCTTCTGGCTGTCTGCCAAACCTTAATTGACTCTGTGTGAGTAGCTACACATACACAGTTTCCCAACACTCCCTTCACAAACCAAGCCCAGAACCTTTATTCCTCATCTACAGTAAACACAGGAAAGCACATAGTTCCCAGGTAGCTACCTACCCACTCCTGTACAACAGCATCCAAGTGAATCTCCCTGAGACACACCCTTGCTGCCTGCCTCTTTTATGACCCCAGCTATGTTTGGCTCCGCCCATCCACTTAGGACTCACCTGTTCCACCTGGGAATGAGGCAGAGCTTTACCTGATCAGCCAAAACAGGCACAGGCAGTGGTGTTGCTAGACTTGTGTGACACACACAAGTGTATTAAAGAGAAAGGCACTAGTAGTTGTTGTGTTGGGGAGTAGCCAGAGATTAATTTCTGCTTCACTCATTCTATGAACCATAACACCAAAATTGGGCTGATTTTTTTGGCCCCCCCCCCCCACAACTGGCAGTGCTGCATCTGACAAGCTGATCTCTGGAGGGTGTTCAGAAAGAGTGTGTGTTTGTGTGTCATCCCTGGAAAGTGTGCATAGGGATTGCTCAGTGTTTTTTTCCTGGGGGGAGGAACGCAGGGGCATGCATACTCCGAAACATTTTGTGAATCTAAGTTTGGCCTCATTGAGGGGCAGTGTTTCAATATGAGTAGGAAAATGAGAGTACCCCTAAACATACTTTTTTTAAAGAAAAAAAGCACTGGGATTATTAACTTCTTTTGGGAAGAGGGTGTGCACCTTTAACAGTAGAAATTTAACAGGTGAAGCATTTCCTGGTATCAAGGTACAGTACAATCATAGGAAAAGCTTTACTGGTGGAAGCTAATCAGGTAGTTGACTTGCCAGGGGAAAACAAAACAAAACTGGAAGCCTTATGCATGGCTAGGAAGGCATTTAGAGTAGAAAACTTTTTTTAAAAATTCAGGGAGACAAGTAAGCATTTTAACAGCTGCACCAAATGTAGACAAGTTACCATCAGTGCATCTCTATACTGGAGAAAACATCACCTGGTGATTTATGCCTCTTTTGCAGCTGTTAACAGGCACACAGCCACTGCTTCTTAAAAAGAAAAGGTGGCCGTTCTCACTGAGAGATAAAATACCGCATTTACTTTACTTTAAGGTGACAACAATGTTTAGAAGCCAAACCAAGCTGGGCTTTCTCTAGTTCCTTGGGATGCTGTGGGAGAATTGAGATTTTTCTGCCATTGAGTATCTCCCTGGTTTGACTTAAATGTTTATTTCACTAATCATTTCCCTCTTTGTTGGGAAGATAGGGACTGTGACAGTGGGACCAAGGCTCTCTGTCAGGAAATTCTCAGTTCCATCACCAAACCACAATGCCCAGGATACGAAGCCATGGCAATTAAACTAATACTAAGACTAGATTGTAGCCCATCAAATGTTAGGTTTTTAGCTATTCCACAGTGCTTTAACTACGTAGAAGTAGATTATTGGAATCCTATTCCTAAGCAACCTCTCTCATCTCAATATGTATGATCTGAAGGCACATTGGTGCCATGACCTTGCTGAAACTGAGGTCTGGGTCTGATCAGTTCCTGAATGGGTGACTAGAAAACCACATGTGTACTGTCTTGGGTTCCAATACAGAAGGTTCCATTCCTGATAAGACCTCTTCTCATACCCTCCAATGTTTCTCTGATGAAAATAGGGGCGCCCTATTCAACAACAATTTTATTATTTATACCCTGACCATCTGACTGGGTTGCCCCAGCCACTATGGGTGGCTTCCAACATATATAAAAATGCAATAAAACATTTTAAAAGCCTTCTCTTTACACGGCTGCCTTCAGATGTCTTCTAAAGGTTGTATAGTTACTTATCTCCTTGGCTCATGGGTTGCATAACTCCCGTACCCTCCAACATTTCTCCGATGAAAATAGGGTCATCCTGGGACGCGGGTGGCGCTGTGGGTTAAACCACAGAGCCTAGGACTTTCTGATCAGAAGGTCAGCGGTTTGAATGGGTGAGCTCCCATTGCTCGGTCCCTGCTCCTGCCAACCTAGCAGTTCGAAAGCGCTCAAAGTGCAAGTAGATAAATAGGTACTGCTCCGGCGGGAAGGTAAACGGCGTTTCCGTGCGCTGCTCTGGTTCTCCAGAAGTGGCTTTGTCATGCTGGCCACATGACCCAGAAGCTGTACGCCAGCTCCCTCGGCCAATAAAGTGAGATGAGCGCCGCAACCCCAGAGTCGGTCATGACTGGACTTAATGGTCAGGGGTCCCTTTACTTTACTATGGAAAAGCAGGACATTCTGAGATCAAATCAGAAATCAGGACAGTTTATGTAAATCCGGGACCGTCCCTGGAAAATAGAGACACTTGGAGGGTCTGTCTTGCTTGCGCCTATCAGAACCACTAACCTAGAAAGGCATACAAATGAGGACGGCCACCATTGTTGATCTGGATGGTGCAAAAGTGACCTCTCAGTGGCTAAAGAACAGAGTTCCCATACAGAATGCTACTAATCTACCTATAAAGGCAATTCAGTGTTTCATGCCCCTGAAAGGACTATTCCAGATTCATCTGCTTAACCTCATAGAATACCATTTCATGTTTTCCTTTCCTCCAGATGTTGATGAGCCTGCAACTACCACACCACCTGTAATTGTAGTTACTGGAGTGATAAGAGGTGAGTCCACACATTTCTTCTACATCATGTAACGGCATTGATAAAAGGAATGGGCAGCAGTGAGAAATGGCTTAGACTTAGATCACTCCTGGGTCACAAACCACCATGAGCCTCATTTTTAGTGGTCCAGGGATTGCCTGTAAAAATACAATAAAAACCGTACAGCATGTTACAGTTGCTGCAACAGGCAGAAAGACAGGAACCCTGTTATCTCTTTGCAGCGTGGCTGCGGAAGGAACTGAGTGTGGGGAGTTTGAGTGGACAAACACCCGGAAGCAAAACTATTAAACAGCCCCTCTCTTGGCCTTTCTCAGCCTCAACTGAAGCTTCCAAGGCTTCTTTTCCTTGTTGTTGTTTTTAAATCGAGAGACTGACTCAAGTAATGCCTAGGTTGGTCCTGACACACAAACTAGACAAGATCTGTGATGGGTGTTCCCATATTTTTCTTCACATTTTGGCAAATAACAGCTGTGGAGGGTGGGAGAAAGGGGCGGCGGCGTGATGAGGACCCCAGGGCTGGAATGGGTTGGGTTGATTCTTCCTCCCAGGACCATTTTCTCAGTAGAAAAATGGCCTCCCCACTCAGCTGCTATTTGCTTTGTTCCTCTAGAGGAGACCACAGTGGGAAAGGTTGAGACCACAACGGCAAAGGTTGAGACCACAACTCCAGCATCAACGCCTGGTGAGCATCTTGTTGACAGTTTCATTTCATTTCCGCTTTCTATACTACTATACCCAAGGCAGTTTACAAGCTGAAGAAACAACAAAATATACAACAAAGATTGCACACCTTATATTACAGGGGTGCCCAAACTTTTTTCAAAGAGGGCCAGATTTGATGAAGTGAACATGCGTGAGGGCCGACCGAAGTTGTTTCTTAGGACTGAGGTTGCTGAGCTTTTTTAAGGATTTTACCCCAGGACATATACTGCCATGGGGGTCAGATTAAATCGACCGGCAGGCCAGATTAGGCCCCCAAAACGGACTTTGGACATGCCTACCTTATAACAATCTGATCCAATACAAAAAAGCCATAATAAAATATATCTGTAAAACAAACAACTGTTATCAAATAAAGCAATATATTCAGTGATCTGTTGGAATTTAATAGTACACAATTGAAATTAAAGGAACCCCTGACCGTTAGGTCCAGTCGTGGACGACTCTAGGGTTGTGGCGCTCATCTCGCTTTATTGGCAGAGGGAGCCTGCGTACAGCTTCCGGGTCATGTGGCCAGCATGACTAAGCCGCTTCTGGCAAACCAGAGCAGCACACGGAAACGCCGTTTACCTTCCCACCAGAGTGGTACCTATTTATCTACTTGCACTTTGACGTGCTTTTGAACTGCTAGGTGGGCAGGAGCTGGGACTGAACAACGGGAGCTCACCCAGTTGTGGGGATTCGAACCGCCGACCTTCTGATTGGCAAGCCCAAGGCTCAGTGGTTTAGACCACAGCGCCACCTGCATCCCGTCTATTGAAATTAAATATCAGCAAATAATAATTAAAGAGAAATCCACTGTTAACAATAACAATAAATGTTTACTAAAGTAGGATCAATAAAAATAACAGCAAGTCACAATGCATGATTTCACCGCTGCTTGAAAACACCCACCCCCATTTATATCCTACAAGGGAATGTCCAGGGTTCTCCTCTCCCCATTATATACTCATGGCAACCCTGGGAGGTGCCGTATTTTTCACTCCATAAGACGCACCTGACCATAAGATGCACCTAGTTTTTAGAGGAGGAAAACAAGGAAAAAAATATTCTGAACGAAACAGTGGATATATGCTTTTTGTGGTTCATGCTGTGGCCACGGACATGTGATCTGATGGTGAATTTGGGGTGACCCAATGCAAAAATCCTGAGGATCCATGTGGATCCGTGCTTTGTAACCATGTTTTTGTGCCATTGCGGCCCCACGCAACAGTGAGTGCGTGATTTTTTTGGTGCAGGCTGTAGCCATGGACATGCTATGTGATCTGATGGTGAATTTTGGGTGACCCAATGTAAAAATCCTGAGGATCCATGGGCTTTTTCCTCCCTCCTCCCAGGCAGCCTCTGCTAGTGTCCCTTATTTCTCTCCCAATCCCACCAATCAGCTGCTTCCATTCAACACTCCCTTCCCTCTTGTTTGCCTTAGTGTCTTTTCCTTAGCTGGAGCAGTTTTTTGCTCCTCCTTTTCTTCCAATTTCTCTCCTTATTGCTTTAGTCTTCCTGTTTCCCCCCTTTGCAAGTTTGCTGTCTTTACCTCCTCTTCCCAGTCAGCCTCCTTTATCTCTTGAGTCCCTTATCTCTCTCCCTGATCGGCAAACGATCAGCAGCTTTGTTTCAACACCCACATCCCTCTTTCTTATTTTATTTTTTATAAAGGATTTTCTTGATTTACAAAAGTGTGTTCAATGTCTCTCTCTCGTATATATATATTTTTTCCATGTAATATTTTTACAAGTCAGTTTCATTTGTTGAGACATTGGGAAGAAAAGGGGGGGAAAGAGGTGATCGGGGGGGAGATGAGTGGGGGTGGGGTAGGGTGGTGATGAAGCATGATCTGCTTTTTGCCCCAAGGCAATTTGGCTCCAGGGACCACACATTCACTCCATAAGACGCACAGACATTTCCCCTTACTTTTTAGGAAGAAAAAAGCATGGAGCGAAAAATACGGTAGATTAGGCTGAGAGACAGTGACTGGCCCAAGGTCACCCAGTGTGCCTCATGGCTGAGGGGTGATGTGAACCCTGGCTTCTTATTTCCCAGTCCAATACACTAACCGTTACACTACACAGGTGTATTTTACCAGTGTATGATTTTATTTCTCTATAGCATTACTCATGCACCACTCTTTTGGATGAAGTTCACCCAAGGGGGTTCGAAACGACATGAAAACAGAGAGAATGCAATTATCTGAAATAACCAAAGCCAACCAAGGCAGCCACTTACACAATGATTTACAATGCCAGTTTATAACAATCTGCGGAGGCGAGGTAAAATATTGAGCAGAGTGCTATATTCTGTAACATTTCTCTGTAGAAAAAGACCTCGACTCAGATTTCCAGATAAAGACACCCTGCATCTCTAGAGTTTTCCATCTTTCAGCTCTCTGCTTGTTATTGTTTTAACAAATAAAACTTCCTTCTTTTATTTCTTCATCCCAATACACACCTTTATCTAGCACCTTCCTCTGAATGGCTTGTCTTTTTCCAAGCTTTGTTGCCTAGCACATAGAAGAAAGATCTTGAGATATGGCTCAGCCATTAGCTCGCCATGAGAAAACACCAACCATCTTTCTTAAGCCATTAGCTGTTCATCTTCTTAACAAAATGAATGACCTTCCAGTTGTTAACACACACATATTTGTTGAACAGGGTGTATTACCCAGGGAGGGAAGCCGGGATCGTGTCCAAACCCAAATTTCCGGCCTCGTCACCATGGGCACCATGACCACGGCCCACGTCCGAAAGGAAAGGGATTCAAGAAGCCAAAGCATGATTCCTCTTCTGAGGAGTCTGTGCTCTCAGAATGGAAACCCAAGTTCCATTCCTCTTCCGAGGAATCTGGCTCCTCAGAACGAAGGCAGAAAAACGGTGGTCACCATCACCATGGAAAGAAGGGACATCGGAATCTCTGCAAGACTCCACCATGTGGGGAAGATGGAGATTGCCCAGATGATCTGAAGTGTTGCCTTATTTCCCGCTGTGGGAGGAGGTGTGTGAGACCCATACCCATGCTGCGAGGAAGCAACCTTGGGGAATAAGTGTCTTAAACTCTGATGCTTGTTCCAAAGCTCCATCTTTGGTAAGTAGCATCTTGCATTGCTCTGCACCAGTTCCATGTCCACCATGTCAAAACTGGCAGCCATGTTGTGCCTAACCTGCTGAAAATAATATCTATTAATACTCTGATATTGTGGTACAGTGGTACCTTGGTTCTCAAACTAAATCCTTTCCTGAAGTCCATTCCAAAACCAAAGCGTTCCAAAACCAAGGCGTGCTTTCCCATAGAAAGTAATGCAAAACGGATCAATCCGCTCCAGACTTTTAAAAACAACCCCCAAAACAGCAATTTAACATGAATTTTATTATCTAACGAGACCATCGATCCATAAAATGAAAGCAATAATCAATGTACTGTACCATAAAATAAATAAGACATTGTAGATGATAAAAATCAAAAATAATTTTTTTTCTTACCTGCACTGTTGATAGTCATTGTTTGGATGGGGGGCTTTTATCCATTTCTGCAGTCACACAATCAATCAATCAATCAATCAATCAGTAGCTGGACTGGGTTCCACACAGTCACAAAAACAAATTAACCGAAAAAGCTACAAAAACAAAAATGCAAAATAAATAGCAAAAACAAAAGCGCCAAACCTAATCCATTCCGAAGTCCATTTGACTTCCAGAATGTTCAAAAACCAAGGCACAACTTCTGATTGGTGCAGGGGCCCCCAGAAACAATAGCCGACAGCCACATCGGATGTTCGGCTTCCGAAAAATGTTCAAAAACCAGAACACTTCCGGGTTTTCAGCGTTTGGGAACCAAGGCGTTTGAGTACCAAGGTACCACTGTATTCTGCATTCCCCCACCTACCCTTCCTGAAACAGTGGAGTGGAAGATGTAGAAGTGTGTTTTGACCATTTGGGCATATAAGCAGTATAGAAGTTAATGATAATTCTTGTTTTGTTGACGAAAAGGTGGGAGACCAGCTTTTGCACCGCTTGCGTCTCCTGCTTGGCCCAGAGAGAGGCTCCATTCTCCAAGAACTTGCTTGCTAGCTCTTTGAACACCAGGTGGAGCCCCCAACCCCATTTAAACAGCCTTTTTCTTTTCTCCCCCGCAGAACTGGAATAGACGTCACAGCAGGACTAAACCACAAGTGGGACCGGCTGAATAAATTCTGCGCCCTTTCAGGTTTAATTGGCTTCCTCAAAAAGCAAAACAAAAAAACAACCAGATTAAAAAAAAAGCATTAGCAACTGACTTTCAAGCCGTGTATGCTCATCTTTTGTGCCCACTGAATTCATTTGATATTTGCGTGAAAGCTCAGGCCATCAGGGCACCTCAATGATATTATAATAATAATAATAATAATAATAATAATTTATTATTATTTGTACCCCGCCCATCTGGCTGGGTTTCCCCACAGCTTCCACAAAGACCAAAAATACACTAAGATGTCACACATTAAAAACTTCCCTGAACAGGGCTGCCTTAAGATGGCTTCTGAATGTCAGGTAGTTGTTTATCTCTTTGACATCTGATGGGAGGGCATTCCACAGGGCGGGCACCACTACCGAGAAGGCCCTCTGCCTGGTTCCTGTAGCTTTGCTTCTTGCAGTGAGGGAACCGCCAGAAGGCCCTCGGCGCTGGACCTCAGTGTCTGGGCTGAACGATGGGGGTGGAGACGCTCCTTCAGGTATACTGGGCTGCGGCCGTTTAGGGCTTTAAAGGTCAACACCAACACTTTGAACTGTGCTCGGAAACGTACTGGGAGCCAATGTAGGTATTTCAAGACCGGTGTTATGTGGTCTCGACGGCCGCCCCCAGTCACTAGTCTAGCTGCCTCATTCTGGATTAGTTGTAGTTTCTGGGTCACCTTCAAAGGTAGCCCCACATAGAGCGCATTGCAGTAGTCCAAGCGGGAGATAACTATGATGCTATGGAAAACATGAATCATAACAAAAGCAGCATGGGAGGGTGGATTGGACACTACCAGAAAGCAATGGTGGAGCATTTCTTGCTGGCGCCCGGGGTGGGTAGGTGTGCCATGGGGGCAGTGCACACTGCTAGAGTGACCCCTGCCCACTGGAGCCAAGTGGGGCCATGCTGTGCCGTTTGCTCGGCCATGCAGTGGGGAGCCTGGCTGGCCAACTCCTTTGAAGGGCACACACAAAAGCGGCTTGGACTGGCAGGGCACAAGCCTGTTGTGTCCTCCTCAAGCCTATGTACACACTAGCAGCTTGAATCACAGAGAGGTTGGTTCTCCTTGCTGCGATTTGAGTCACATTCTTATGTTGCTGTATACACCAGAAAAGTGGGTGGGGATGTCTTCTCCTGATGCTCATTACTCAATTTATTTTCTTGCGCATGCAAACACATACACACACAGCTCCTATTCACCAGAGCTGTCGTCAAGTGTATGTGCAATGACTATCTGAAATGTACACATCTCACCTTAACTGTAGCTTCTGTATTCAAACCGGATGGAAGCTGGTTTGAGGGGGAACACATCAGACAGGAATATTTCTCAAGAAGCTACAAGATACCTATGGATTGTAGCTAATGTCATGTGCCCATGGCTTCAAACACCAGTGGTGGGAGCGCACTGGAGCCAGAGTAAACGGGAATGTGATGTTGTTGCTGGCATGCGTCGGTCTCCAGAGACAATGGAGTGCACTTTTGCGGGTGACATCAAACTGCCACAATAGCGGCACCGAAGCAACCTCCCTGGGGTGCAAATTTGGGCAGCATGTATGGCAGTCATGGGCTACCCAAATGACAAGACCCCTAACTCGGCCTTGCTGATGTGGTCCAAAGGAAAGCAAAGCAATATGGTTGATGTTAAGTTGTGGGTGAACATATCAGATGACACAGCGATTCTCCAAACAGCTCTTGTTTATTCACAGGTCAGAACGGAACTGAACTGAAAGGTTCAGCCAGCCTGCTTATATAGAGCTCCACTACAATGTAACTGTAACAACTTTCTGTAACTATCCAATCACTGAACGTCACTTTCGATCCCTTATTTGCATATGTGGAACTATCTACATTATCCCCCTGCTGGCCCAGGGTGAGAACTTCAATACATAACAGTTGACATCTGCGTGGCTGCAGGAATTGCCAAAAGGAGGCTTACAAAGCGCCGTCCAACCATCTTAGGGACTCTGGTTTTGTGTAGGTTTACTCCTCATAGTTTTATTTCTCCTAGATATGCTACCTTTCCAAACTGATGAGCCCCATCTGCCCTTTACAGCACATGCAAGCACTGCCTTCTTGACCATTGGACCAACTATTGGTCTTTTTCAATGAATCCACTGGAGCCTGCAGGGGAAATCCCTAACTCACTCAGGGTTTGAGACCCATCGGCTACTCTCATCTGATTAGCTGGCCAGTCAAAGCCATTCCCAGGGTGTGCAGGGTGAACTGAGTGCAGGGTGGGGGACCGAATGTACACAGCCAGCTAGATTTGATTAGCATTTGATTTAATCAGGATTAGGCTATGTCACAGTGAACGCCCAACCTCTGGATTGAGGTAGCCTGTTTCAGAGTGTACAATCAAATACAGTGGTACCTCGGGTTACATACGCTTCAGGTTACATACGCTTCAGGTTACAGACTCCGCTAACCCAGAAATAGTGCTTCAGGTTAAGAACTTTGCTTCAGGATGAGAACAGAAATCATGCTCCGGTGGCACGGCAGCGGCATGAGGCCCCATTAGATAAAGTGGTGCTTCAGGTAAAGAACAGTTTCAGGTTAAGAACAGACCTCTGGAACAAATTACGTACTTACCCTGAGGTACCACTGTAAAACGATTGCTTTTCTTTATTCAAAATATTTCTGAAATATACACTGGAGGGTGAGAAGAACTACCCAAAAGTGTTAGTTCCCCAAACTTCCGACCCGCAGCGTTACGCAATTTTGTGAGCCAGCCAAACTTTAGTCTGATTTCCAAAGGTCTCGGTCAGCAGGAAGCCATGAGAGAGAGAGAGAGGAAAAAATGATGTATGTCATAACTGGGATGTTGACACAGAGGAGGAAGAAAAAGAGGTAGAACCGTCGGTCAGGACTTTGGCTTACCAAGAGAGGGAAGGAGAAGAAATATTTCGCCTCTCTCATAGCGGCGAGCTAAAGGCAGGATCACACAGAATATCGACAAAACAAGGAGCGAAAATCAAACGGTCTGAACTGAAGCGGAAAGCTTTCTCATCTTTACAGAGTCCTTCTAATAGGTAACATTTGCTTCTCATCTGGTTTTCTTTTTAAAGAAGAGTGTGAGTATATTCAAATACAACACACACACACACACAAATGCACATACAACATGGTTTGGTCATTTTAAGGGAAAATAGGATCAACTGAAGAAGGATTAGATGAATTAAGAAAAAACGAAAAGGAGATCTCTCTCATACCTTCCAACATTTCTCAGATGAAAATATGGGGATTACAGCCTCTCAGCTCAACCTACCTCACAGGATTGTTGTAAAGAAAAAATGTGTGAGGGAGGGGATTATGTACAACACCTACAGATAAATGGAATGAAATAAAATCTGAAAGCTGCCTTGAGTCCCTGTCAGGGAAAAAGGTGGGGCATAATAATAATAATAATAATAATAATAATAATAATAGAAGAAACTGTGAGAATGATCAGGAACATACAAGAGAGTAAATTCTATTGAACTCAGTGGGACTTAGTTCTGAGTAAAAAATACTTAGTTTGCTGAACAGTCTTTACCCAGTTACCTGGGATAAACTCAACTGAATACAGTGGGACTTACTTCTGAGTAGACAGTCTTAAGGCTCCATTTACAATAAAGGAATAAACACTTTACATGTTTCCTAAGAAATGGCGGGCTTTTGGTGCATTGCAATTAAAGAAGTTAAAATGGATTTGTGACATTTTCCTTCAAAATTATAGGAAGGGCTTTGAATGCCAGTTTAACAATTTCCTTCATTTGGTGCAGGTATTTTACTTTCAGTATAAACAGGACTCTGTTTTTGCACCTACACGTATACCACTTTTAATTGTTCTCTCAGACATGGAGGGGACGAAAATGGAACACGGGGACATTCTGAGATCAAATCAGAATCGGGACGGCTTCTGTAATTCCGGGACTGTCCCAGGAAAATCGGAACACTTGGAGGGTATACTACCCAACAAATAAAGTCATTTGTTTTGATTATAGGTTATAGAAAATAATGAACATTGAAAGAGGGGGGAAATAGCCTTACCTATTGTAGTAGATTGAATATTATATTAAACAGAGGGTTCTTAATTCTACTTGTGGGATATATTGAGCTTTAAAGAAATGTAATCTGAATTCTGAAATACTGTCCATCGGGAGAGGGGGTTAATTTATATTAACACTTCAATCAATATTACTTTTGTAATAAATCTGAAAGAGCTGGTCTGTTGAGGATTCTTTGATCCTATCCAGCTAAAGTTGTGAATGCTTAAGGTAATTGTGTGACTAATAACTCGTTGGCTTCAATGGGGCTTGTTTTAAGCACAACTTATTTTTCATTGGATTGGATGCAACATGGGGTAATAAGCTTGCTATTACATGAGACATAAACCATGATCTTTGGTTGCTAATGAAACACTACTGAACTCTTTCAGATTAGCCAACATGGCTTGGCAGCATATTGTTCCTGGGATAACCCTCTTGTTGCTCAAGCTTACAGGGACATCCCTGTTCCTTGTTTTCAGTAAGTATTGGTCAGGCTTTAGTTTCAAGGCTGCCTTTCTACTTTCATATTTCTTTTCACTTGTCATATCCATCACTTTTATTTTATTCTGTATGTGTCAATGACAATGTCCCCTTAGTGCTGTGAAAAAGTTGAATAGGAGATTACTAGGAAAGAAATAAAAGCTGCCAATATTATAATGCCTTTTTTAGCAAATCTGTGGTGAGCCCCCACCCGGAATACTGTGTACCGTTCTGATCTCGACACCTCAAAAAGGTGTGGAAAGGGTCAAGGAACACGATCAATAGGCTGGAACAAGTCCCCCCATGAGGAACTGTTAAAGCGTGATGGACTTTTTACCTTGCGAAAAGGTAAAGGTGGGGGAGGCATCACAAAGGAAGTAGACAGGGAGAGTTTTTCCTCCCTCTCTCATAATATTGAAGCACTAAGGGAGCTGAATGGTGGGGAATTCAGAACAGGCAAAAGGAAGTCTTTCTTCATGCGGTGCATAGATAAAACCATGGAAATCGTTTTTTGCAAGATGCTATTATGGCCACAAACCTGGACGGCCTTAAAAGAGGTTTAGTCAGCTTCATGTAAGGCAAGGCTAACAATGACTAAAAGCGATATGACGGTTGCTCAGGAACACAAGCGAGGAGTGTGCTATTGCACTTACATCACGCTTGGGACCTCCAATACTCATCTGGTCCCTGTGAGAAAAGGGTGCTGGACCAGATAGGCCTTTGTCTTGATCCTGCAAGCTGAGTGCTTCAAAGTGCCTTTGTACACATCCCTCAGTCATCCCTCAGAGCCATCAAGTGACCATTATTATCCCAATAGTGCAGATAAGGGGCTGACAGAAACAGAGGCTTGCCTAATAAGGCCATTAAGTGACTTATCGTCTGCTCTTAGTGCTTATGATGGACTTGCTCTCCTAGCCGACAAGGAAATATGACTGCATGCATACTGAATTTTAGCAGCCATGTTAAGGAGTGCTCATCAGACGCCATTCCAAATGTTCTTGTTTTCAGTTCCACAGATCTTCCCTAGGGGAAACTTCAGCTTCATTCCTGAGGAGAATTATACAGGTAACACTACAACAGTTCTCTGGGGAATCTCTGAGCTTGTTAAATAATGAAGGGTTTTGCAAACATTCTTGCTGAAAAATGCAATTCTTTTTTTCACCGTTTCTGCAACACTCATCGATCAATGATGAAATAGTCCTGATTTGCTGTCACTCTTATTTGACTTTATTTTGCAGTGAATCAGTAACGCGGTCACATATCCAACCTTGATTGACTACATAATGTTGTGATGTCACACTCTATGCGCACCCTAATTGGCAAGGCCCAGCCATGGTACTACATCAGAAAACATTTTCCTCTTTTGAATATGGTGACATCATAATGTAGCCAAATTTGATTTGCTAACAAATCTGAGACATCATTCTGTTCATGATGCAGTTCTTGATTGGCTGAAATAATCCATGTGGCAGGAAGTAGAGAGAAGCACCAGTCAGTTTGGCGGCGGGGTGGGGGGGAAGTGATGCTGAAACAGTTATAGCCAATAGAAAAAAAATGGTTCTTGACATAGCTGTCAACTTTTCCCTTTTCTTGCGAGGAATCCTATTCGGAATAAGGGAATTTCCCTTAAAAAAAGGGAAAACGTTGACAGCTATGGTTCTTCACCAAACAGGATAGAATAAAAGGAGAATACTTATACAACAGGGAAGGAGAATCTCCAGTACACAGGCCAATCTAGGTTAGTCAGGAGTTCTAATTTGGCCCATGAGGCCATTTCCCCCCAGCCATGTCCGTCTGTCTCATATTATGACATCAAGTGTGGGTCAGGTAAAGTCATGGATGTGTGTGTTTTGAACCTTTTTACATTTGGCACCAAATGAAAGTCGTTCTGGAATTGGTTCTGTTATGTACTGAAGTTCTCACCCTGGGCCAGCAGGGGGATACTGTAGATAGTTTTCACTCAGGTCCACATATGCAAATAAGGGATTGAAAGTGACGTTCATTGATTGGATAGTAACAGAAAGTGTTACAGTTGCGTTGTAGTGGAGCTCTATATAAGCAGGCTGGCTGAACCCTTCAGTTCAGTTCTGTTCTGGCCTGTGAACAAACAAGAGCTTTTTGAAGAATTGCTGTGTCGTCTGATATGTTCACCCACAACTTAACAGGTTCCACTCAGGGGCTTAAAAGTAGTGCTGATCCCTGATGCAAGCAGGGTGTTATGTACTGAGTTGAATAGGATCCAAAAGACAGCAGTCTGATTGGTCCTAGAACAATAGGGTCCAGAATGCAGCAGTCTGATTGGTCCACAGGAACCACCCAATCCAGCTCCAGGGCGAAGCGCATCCGCAACCTGATTGGCCTACAGGAGAATCCCGGAATTAGACAATCACGTGGGGCCCATTGTGTAAATAATGTATATAAAGCAGACATTCTGGGGGAACTTCCATTCCTCCTCACCACTATGAGCTGAATAAAGAGCATGAAATCCACTCTTGACTCCGAGTATATTTCACAGGGCATAAAGATTAGGTGTTGACTGAAAGCGCTCTCTCTCTCTGCAGGGATCTTTGCAGCAATAGCTTGAAGTCATGATTCATTTAGGCTCTACAGTATTGAAATCAATTTTTTAAAAAATAGTTTGAAAAGTTAATCATGACATAAGTCGGGTTGATTTCAGTGGGAACTAATTACAATTATGTACCTTTTATATTTGACTTCACTTGGTGATGCTTTCTTTTGAAATGTTTAAGATTTTTTTTTGGTTAACTTTGCTCTGCTAAACGTGCATTCTGCAGTTGACCTCCTCTACAGTGTTTTTTTAAAAAAAGTTTAGGATAATTTTTTAGTTTCCTGTTAATTATGTTTGAATGAATGTTAAATGTATTTAAATGTATACTTTATATTTGACTTTCTTCAGTAAGGTATTATTTGGAATTTTTTTATTTGCTGTTTTAATGTAGGTTGTAAACTGCTTTGAGATACCCCGGCCCCTTAAAAATATAAAGCAGTATAGAAATGAAATGAAAAATGAATAATTAACTGAGTCCAGATTGAACCCAAAGTGTTTTTGGAAATACCTATCAAAATTACCCCCAAATCTAAATAGAAGAAGACTACAGTTGTACAGCTTTTCAAAGTTGATTAATAGAGGCCAAAAATGTATTCATTTTCAGAACTGCTGACTACTCCGAACCTGCCTGAAGCAAGAGCTACAATTGCAACCACAGGTATCTTGTCATTTGATTATTTGGAAACAGAAACCAGTAGTATTAATTATATTGTGCTGTAAAAAAAAAAAAAGCTGTTATGGATCTGTTTTCTAGTCGGGAGAGAGCATTGGAGACTTTTAATGCTTTTCATAATAAATTGTTTATTTTTAAATGTACAGATTGAGGAGATAGAAAACAGGCAGGCAGGCAGGCACACACAGTCGCAATAATAATCTTGAAGCTGTGTCATTCTGGCACCCTAAATGTTCTGGCAAGTCCCTGTAGGTGGTTCTTTTGTGGCACCAGTAACATATGAAAATCCACATCTCTGGGAATAGTAGTAACTACACAAGCTTTACACTATACAAGCGTCGAGGGACGCGGGTGGCGCTGTGGGTAAAAACCTCAGCGCCTAGGACTTGCTGATTGCATGGTCGGCGGTTCGAATCCCCGCGGCGGGGTGCGCTCCCGTCGTTCGGTCCCAGCGCCTGCCAACCTAGCAGTTCGAAAGCACCCCTGGGTGCAAGTAGATAAATAGGGACCGCTTACCAGCGGGAAGGTAAACGGCGTTTCGTGTGTTGCGCTGCCTCGCCAGATGCAGCTTGTCACGCTGGCCACGTGACCCGGAAGTGTCTGCGGACAGCGCTGGCCCCCGGCCTACAGAGTGAGATGAGCGCACAACCCTAGAGTCTGTCAAGACTGGCCTGTACGGGCAGGGGTACCTTTACCTTTACCCTACACAAGCTTTAGAAGACATCTGAAGGCAGCCCTGCATAGGGAAGTTTTAAAAAAGTGTTTTATTATGATTTTGTATATGCTGGAAGCTACTATGGTTTAAAGTGGGACGATACTGCTTTAATTGTATGATGTGGATGTGGTTTAATTATGAACATGCAGAGGTTGCGAGTGGTTCCAGGGGACACAGTTGTAATAGGGACAACAACAACAACAACAACAACAACAACAACAACTTTATTATTTATACCCCACCCATCTGGCTGGATTTCCCCAGCCACTCTGGGCGGCTTCCAACAAAAGATTAAAAGTACATTAAAATACCAGTCATTAAAAACTTCCCTAAACATGACTGCCTTCGGATGGGACTCCTTGCCAATACATGTTCAGCGAACATACTGGGCGGGCAGGGGCAGAAAGCAAAGGAACACAGTTCTTTGGCAGTTAGATAAATATGTAACTAAACCAATACTCCTAAACTACATTGCCTTTTTTCAATTTAACCTTCCATATATCCAGCTGGAGGCCTAAGAACCTTCTTGTAGATCTTGTCTCCATCCACTCATTGAAGGAAGAGGGACATGCACAAAATTGCCCCACCTGCCCCTCAGTGGAGGCATGCATACAGTTTCAGCAAAATCAAGAATGCCCAGCTAGGGTCTAGGAAAGCAGCAAGCAGGCACCTAAGATGGCATTTGAATGGGGGCAAAGTCCTTTCTGGTGGTGACAGTTTGTGAGTCACCATTCCCTTCTAGAGTTGGAATTTTCATTATTAATATTGAGTCCTTTATGTGTTCATCTCCTTTTATCATGCTGCAGTCCAGATTCCTCAGAAGCCTCCTACATGGGAAAGACACAGAGGGAGTGAATTTTGGTTTACTGAAACCAAGGAGATTTGGTTGCACTGCCGAGTCGATTGCATGCAATGGAGCTCCGACCTAGCGATCATCAGTGATAGAAATGAACTGGTAAGATTGGGCCCACTTTGATGAGAAAAAAAATGTGCCGCTGGAGTTAAATTTCTTTAACCAGGGATAAGGAGAGTTGAGAACATCTTGCACAGAATTCACACCATACCTGTAAAGCACATCCAAGTCACACTTAAAGTACATGAATTTTCCCAAAGAATCATGGGAATTGTAGTTTGTTAAGTGTCCTGGGAACAACCTTTAAGACAATCTTCAGCAGCGCGGTGGCCTCCAGATGCTTTCTGCTGGCTGGAGTTGTAGCCAAAAGCATCTGGAAGCTACTAGAGTGACGAAAAGTGTGGTATCGTTTTCATGTGGTCTGAATGCATCATTGTCCTTGAAGGCACAAATAGATTCTTCTGCCTTAGTGGGAGCTGGCAAATAGCATCCTTTTCATCTGGCTGTCCTTGCCAGTTGTGATTTCCTCTGCCCTGATTTTCCTCATTCATTCATTCTTCTCTTGACAGGAGTTTATTCAGAATAAAACTGCAATGGGTTCCTATTTCATTGGACTGACGTATACAGTGGCTCAAAACAAATGGCTATGGATCGATGGCACAGAACTCAAGAATAACCTGTATGTGTGATATTCTCTTTCACCCTTCTTATGGGGGTGGGTTACATCCTCCATGGGGCATCGTCTTCACTCACTGGCCCTGTTTCTGGAAAGCTCTCTGTTGTATAAAGGGACCCCTGACCATTAGGTCCAGTCGTGACTGACTCTGGGGTTGCGGTGCTCATCTCGCTTTATTGGCCGAGGGAGCCGGCGTACAGCTTCCGGGTCATGTGGCCAGCATGACTAAGCCGCTTCTGGCGGACCAGAGCAGCGCACGGAAACGCCATTTACCTTCCCACCTATTTATCTACTTTGAGGTGCTTTCGAACTGCTAGGTTGGCAGGAGCAGGGACCGAGCAACGGGAGCTCACTCCGTCGCGGGGATTCGAACCGTCGACCTTCTGATCGGCAAGTCCTAGGCTCTGTGGTTTAACCCACAGCGCCACTCCCGTCCCTCTCTGTTGTATATAGTACTGGAATACCTTCAGATAAGATGATGCTCAGGATGACTTGATGCCAAAAAGGGTATCCTGCATATTGAGTTGTTGTCAAGAAGTGGTAATTTCAGCAAACGCAACTTTTCTCATGCCTGCATGGCAAGTTGCATCTGCCAGAATGCCCTCTTCTGCATTACTCTTGAAGATATATTCTTCAACATCTCACAGATGAAAACAAGGACACTACCATAACATCTCTAGGCTCAGTTCACATGTAATGCTAAGTCCCAACAGGGCTTCCTCCCAAGGTGAGAGGAAGTGACCTAGGTGAAGTCTGGCAGGACAGCTTACTCTTTAGAATTAACCCCTTCATGCATTTAGACTTAAGCATATTGGTTATATGAAGCCGGTTACCCCACATGGTCCTGCTTTGAAAAAGACAAACTGTGTGACAGAGTCTGGATCATATACTAATCCAAATGATGGGTTAGCCCACAGCAGTGCCCACATGCTTGTGCAATTGTGCTAAGTCATACTTTGGTTTAACGTTACATATACGGTAAATCGGGTCCTAGTGTCACACCGAGAATCTCTGCCAGAATCCCTCCCCTGTTATTAATAATGGCTGAATTCCGCTCGCCATACGCTGCATTCATTCCCTCTTCCAATCAGCAGTTCGAATCCGTGTTATGGGGTGAGCTCCTGTTGCTCTATTCCAGCTTTTCCCAACCTAGCAGTTCGAAAGCACGCCAGTGCAAGTAGATAAATAGGTACCACTGCGGCGGGAAGGTAAACGGCGTTTCAGTGTACTCTGGCTTCCATCACGGTGTCCTGTTGTGCCAGAAGCAGTTTAGTTGTGACCCACATGACCCAGAAAGCTGTCTGTGGACAAACGCTAATTCCCTCGGCCTGAAAGCAAGATGAGCAATAGTCGCCTTTGACTGGACTTAACCATTCAGGGGTTGTTTACCTATTTTACCTATCGTTCCCTATGACACATCCTGTACTGCACAGGTTTAAAAACTGTGTGTTTCTTCCTTTGCTTAGTGATCAGAACACAAGTGTTTTCTAGTATCTTGTTCCTTGTCTGCACAGTTTATTAAATTATGGTTTGTTTGATTGTCTGGACCTTGTCTGGTGGCTTCACTAATTTGCTGCCATCAAAGCCATGGTTTCATTGGTGGCTTATTCAAATTGGTTTAACTATAAGGAGGCTATTGGTTAGTCAGTTTTCTCAGAAAAGTGAAACTGAAAGCAACTTACAACCTCGCATCATGTTGCAGGTTGGGGGTGAAGGTGGGACCTGAGTCTGAAAAAGCTGAGGACAACACCCCCAGGGAGTTTTTAGACGTTCCTAGGGAGTTTTGAAGCTGAGGGAGTTAACAAGCTGGCCAATAAGGCACCTCTTGTCCATTTACTAGTGCCATCTGGTTCCCCTAAGTACTAGCCTGAGAAGCAAAATGAGCATGGAGGAGCAACCCTGGGAATTGGCCATTTTGGGTGGGCAATGTCTGGGGCTTTGATCCACACAACCCCTTCCTCTGCTTCTTCATCAAAGTTAGGCTTCTCAGGAAAGGAGTTGCTGATCAGGGCCTTAGCCAATGATCAGCCATTATACTTAGTTGTAGCAAACACGGTCAACTTCACAGTTCTGCTGCACTCTGTTTTTACAGCTTTGCAATGAGACCCAAAGCAGTGGACGATGAATGTGCAACTCTTGCAGCAGGAGAACTGAAACCAGTGTCATGCCACGAAGAACACCACTGTATCTGTGAGAAGAATCCTAAGTAGTTCATCTGAAACAGCACCATGCAGTGACGTAACAAGGAAGAAGACAGAACCATGGACTTTTATTCTGGGACATTCTCAGCTCTATCTGGGGGAGCCTTCTCCATGCAGAGAAGATGCTCTAACCCTTCCCTCAGGTTGGACTTCAAAGCAATGAATGGAAATGTTATGTACTGAAGTTCTCACCCTGGGCCAGCAGGGGGATACTGTAGATAGTTATGCAAATAAGGGATCGAAAGTGACATTCAGTGATTGGATAGTTTTAGAAAATTGTTACAGTTACATTGTACTGGAGCTCTATATAAGCAGGCTGACTGAACCCTTCAGTTCAGTTCTGTCCTGGCCTGTGAATAAACAAGAGCTGCTTGAAGAATCGCTGTGTCGTCTGATATGTTCACCCACAACATAACAGGAAAAGCATTATAATTTCCTAATAACTAAAACGTCTTTAAACCTGTCTCCAAGTCCACACACTGATGTGTGCTTTTCTATTTTACAATTTTGAACTGATAATATCAGAAATGTGTAAGCAGAATAAGAATGATTATTTTGAATCTTAGAGGCTTTGGCCTAGTGTTGCGTGCTCTGCAATTCTTCTGAGCCATGAAAACTCCCAAGAGTCCAGCATAGGCCTAACTTTTCTTTCTTTTGGAATGAGGCAACTGGTGGTTTACTAAGCCTTTTGTGTGATATATGGTTTATTTAAACATAGATACAGGTTGGGCATAGATAGCAGGTTCACAGTTTCTGAGGAATGTTGGAGGGCATGTCAGAATTAAACCCTGCTGCCTCATCCGTTTTCTAGTGGTGGGAGACACGAGCGCTGTTAAAATCTCACGTGAAGCAGGTGAGCTCCCTGTGTCTCTTCAATCCATCTAAAACCCAACAACTTGATGACATCCCCAGTGGTGTGCAGTGAAATTTTTCGTAGGGGAACAGTTACGGCCAGAGGCGAGGGAAATCATGCCTTCCTCCCTAAGTAGGGCAGAAGCTTCTCGGGCTTTGGGAAGATGGCACCAGGGGAACATTTAGGGGACTAGCCTCTGGAAGAGGGAAGAATGACAAGCACTCTTGCAGGAAAAGATTTCCAAAGATGCCTGGGTTTCAGTTCCTTAAATGAAAACGTAATGGCATTCCACCCACACCCCTAATTGCAGCTAGATAACACAGGAAAAACACTGTGGGCACAGGAAAGCAACACGCAATGTTTAAAGATTATTATTGTATTAAAAAGGGGTGATTTGTTTATTTAGAATGTATATGTATATGTACATACATATACATACATATGTATATCTATATGTGTATATATATATATATATATGTATATATATAGCTTAATCAGAAAAATCTCCAAGCGATGTACATGATAAAATAATTATCAATAAAACATAGATAAAATCGGCAACACTTTTTTTATTTAACCATATATACATTATTTGTTTATTTTGCTCTGGCCTACATGCATTGCTGCACAGTACTGCATGTGTGTGAAAAGTCATGTATTTCAGCTCTGGGTAGCAAAGCACAGACAGATTTGCAAATTTGTGTGTGTGTGACAAATTCCAGAGGGGCCATCCGGTTAGGTTGCAATAATAGATTGTAATGGATTGCTTTGAAGTCATTTCAGCATCAGGTGGAAATGAAAATCTCCCCAACATCCATCTTGCTCCTGCTTTTATGCCGCCATCCTCTCCTGTATTTTGCCAGAACAAAGGTGGCAACCCTATTCGTGATGGAGAATCTCGTGTCTTATTTTAAGAGGTTATGACGTCAACCGTTATAATGCTGTGATCTAGAGAGATAAACCAAATTGACACACACCCCTGTTCTCACTAATTGTTCCTACCAAGCCATACTGGTTCTACCACTAGGTAGAGTGAGAGTTTGGGTGTTATGAGAGGGTAGCAAACGGTTAGCTATTTACCGTACTTTACTATGATTGCATTTCTTACTGCCAAGCAAGGGGAGATGTGCTAGTAGGATTTTCTGCCTCCGGTGCTTCAGAATTTACAGTGCATTTCTAGACATGTCTAATTTCTATTAAATTGAATGGGGCTTATTCCCAATTCCAAGCCTTCACAATTTTTTTTTGTGGGGGAGGGGGAAGAGTGTATCTGTATAATGTGACCTAGCACTTTGTCTTTAGTGTGCATGAATGTAAATATATTAGTCTTGTCACTTAAGCTGCAATTCTGTACACACTTATCTTAAAGTCAGACCATCTCAGTTCTTCTTTCTAAGTAGACATTTATAGGTATACGCAGCCTGCCAATTGTCCAGGTCACATGCTGCAGCTGGCCAGGTTCACTTTAAATTCTTATTTATATTGTTGTTTTCCACTGAATCTTTCATTTATCCAGAAGGCCAACTTTCCTGTTTGCTTTTGAATCCTCTGCCCAGAATGTAGGTATGTAAAAAGGCATTGATTTTGTTCCTCTTCATATTTGTCATATGCAGTGCTGTTTCCGTTGGACTGCAATTCAGCTTCCCACACAAGTGAGGCTATTTGCCTTGCTGTCAGCTAGGGCGAAATCTGGCGTCATTCATTATCTTGTCATTACATTATCCCACGCCATTCATTTCAATGCAAAGGAGAGGCAAAGAATCCTGGGAAATGTAGTTTACCTCTCACAGAGCTACACCCTTAACAAACTACACTTCCAGTGGTTCTTTAAGGGTAAAGGTAAAGGGACCCCTGACCATTAGGTCCCATCGTGACTGACTCTGGGGTTGTGGCACTCATCTCGCTTTATTGGCCGAGGGAGCCGGCGTACAGCTTCTGGGTCATGTGGCCAGCATGACTAAGCTGCTTCTGGCGAACCAGAACAGCGCACGGAAACGCCGTTTACCTTCCCACCAGTGTGGTACCTATTTATCTACTTGCACTTTGACATGCTTTTGAACTGCTAGGTGGGCAGGAGCAGGGACCGAGCAATGGGAGCTCACCCCGTCGTGGGGATTCGAACCACCGACCTTCTGATCAGAAAGCCCTAGGCTCTATGGTTTAACCCACAGCGCCACCCGCGCCCCTTCTTTAAGGATAGTTGTGTGCTTTAAGTGTATGGTATTCTATGTAGCCTTAGTTCAGGGGGGAGAGATAAGTGTCTGGTTATGTATTGTTATGTATCATTTGTGGACCAGAAACAACACCAGCAAATACGGGTCATATTTGCTGAAGTGATTTTCATTCCGAACATGAGATGAGTCAGTACTGGCATTTCCCACTCCTGTTTCCATTTCCATTGGATTTCTCCGACATCTCTACCAGACAATGACTTAAGGGCGCTTCCAGATGGAGCTGTTCATTCGCACAAAATTAGGTGGTCGTCCTCCACTTTCTGGTGCAATTAGCCCATCGTTTTTCTAAATGCAATTAGTCCGATAAGAAAAATGAAAGAAAGTTGCACCGGAATGTGCAGGTTAATGACCAGTGGCCAACCACATTGTATGCAGAACATCGAGCTGGTGATTGCTCGATGAACAGGTGATGTCATATCACCTCCCTGCGAGTTTTGTGCAAAAATGTAAGCCGGAATCCACAAGGAACAGCTGATCTGGAAGTTCCCTAAGCTGACGCTTTGCCGCCAGCACAAAACACTAGCGTGCTTCTTTTCCTTCTGCAACCACACATATCCTCAGACTGCTTATCCAAGCAGTGTGCATTGTTGGAGATGCTTTAATTAGCACAACCGGAGATTCGGTAGTCATTGACACGCAAACACATGCCAAGCACACAGAAGAGAAAGCAGAACTGCCCCTGCCACTCCATCTCTGTGTGTTTGGCGGAGGGTTTGTCTGCGCAGGGATGGGGGCTGATGGGTGTTCCAACGCGAGGGGCAGGGCCAGAGGGGTACATTCCCACTCACCCCTCCATGTGTTTGATATGCATGTCAGGAGTATGTTTCCATGGTCCTCAGATGTGTTGATTTCAGGTGAATTAGTGATACACTGCTCCCTTAAGGACATCTGCTCTTGAGATCAACGCCCCCACCGTTTCCCACCAGTGGTTCCCAGGGAGGGTGGCATAGCTGTCAACTTATAGATTTGAAAATAAGGGACCAGCAGCCTCAAAAATAAGGGATCAGCAGCCAAAATAAGGGATTTTAGTCAACCAACTGAAATACGAAGTTAAAAGGGACCAGATAATTTTGGAGAGCAGTGCCGGTTTTTAGCCCTTCGTTTCCAGAGGTTGCTGCTCAAGACACCAGCCGATGAAACACTGCAATTAAATAACTACAAGCAGCAACCACTTTTTGCGCAAAACGAAGTCCAAGCTAAGAAGATGCTGCTGCAGTTCTGTATCTTTTTTCTCGTGCTCCATCTGCAGCTTTCAGTTCCATCAGGCGGGGCGGGAGGAAGGGGGGGGAATAGCACCCGAAGTAAACCCGCAGATCAGACCATCTATGCTAGTCTACCACTACAAATCTATGGGAGAAGCGCTTGCAGTCCTTCCTCCGCTTTCCCCCTCTATGGTTAGCCCTTGGAACACCTGCCCGCACCTCCGCCTCCACCTCCTCTCTCTGAACTGCTTTTTCTATGGTTGCCCTCGCTCTCCTCTCAAGGCTCCTCAGCAATTCATAGGCCGTACCAGGCTGCCCATCAGCTGCAGTACGGGCTAGTGGGAGCGGCAGCGGCAGGCAGAGGGGAGGTCCCAGGCAGAGACGCTCAGTTTGGTGGCCATGAGGAGGATGGTGGCGGAAGGGCCCGAGGCTCTCACCAGTCCCAGCAGGAAGGGGCTCCCGGGGGCTGAGGCTGGTGAGAGGAGGCCGGAGGGGGGTGGGCCGAGCAGCCAAGCAACACAGTTGGAACCTCCCTCCTCCCTGGCCGGCAGGGAGGGAGGGAGGGAGGGAGAGGAGCTGCTTCCTTTGAAACCCGGGAAATTTAAGGGACATCATCAATAAGGGACAGCAGCGGGACACAGCGCTGGGATAAGGGACTGTCCTGCCAAATAAGGGACGGTTGACAGCTATGGAGGGTGGCCACAGTTTAAAATTCAACAATAAAAAGAGTTAAAAGAAATTTCAGCCACATGGATAGGATGTTTCTTGTGTGATCAAGATTTCTTTGATATTAATTTCTTAAGTACTGGGGGTTAGGCAGAAGGAGATGGACTCCCATGTCCTATTTAGAAAACGGAAATTTGTCAAGTCTCGCTTGTAATGAAGAGCTGAGTCCATTAAAGGTTGAGTCAGTTTGGGGAAGGGCTGCAGAACATGCTTTGCAAGCAGAGGGTACCAGGGTCAATCCCAACATCTATAAGTTTGGCTGGAAAGGTCCTCTCTCTGAAACCCTTGAAAGCCACTGCCAATCAGTGAAGACAACACTGAGGTAGCTGGACCAATGGCTTGACTCCATATAACACAGCTTCCTAAAGGCCAAAGCCATGTTTCCTCTTTCGCCTCTGATCTCCCTCATTCCAATATAGATAAGAGGCTGAATAAACCAACAATTTATTCTAGCAAGGCCAACCAGCATGGAAAAGATGTGTATGTAGAAAATAATAATAATAATAATAATAATAATAATAATAATAATAATAATTTATTACTTGTACCCTGCCCATCTTACTGGGTTGCCCCAGCCACTGTGGGAAGCTTCCAACAGAATATAAAATAATACAGCAAAGCATCAAACATTAAAAACTTCAGGTGTGTACAGTCATATAAATGTTTAAGTCTTCAGATGCAAGTTGCATTACAATAATTAGCATGTTTTGCTAACACAGGAAGCCATTATTTGGTAATCTTCCAAAACAGTAGTGGTTTTTGGACAAATGAAGGACTCCCCCTCCAACAGCGGAAGAAAATGTTCTGTCTCGAAATATAGGAAGTTCTGCGTTGAGAGGTTAGGAGAAGTGGATATTGAGGTTTTATTGCATGACTGGTCTCAAGAAAGGGATATAGTCTTGTTCTCTAAACTCCCTGAACCCTCTTTTCCGAGTAGAAGAAAGTGTCTTTCACATGTGGCAAGGCAAGAGAGATAATCTGACCAACAAGCAACAGGGGGAATTGTTTGAGACTTCCATTGCGGCAAGAATGGGAAGGAAGATCAAAAGACACAAGCAGATTTACACACTCGCGGCTCATTTATGTCAGTGCAGAAGTGCAACTGGAAGCATACTGTCTGTGCATAAGACAAGCTTTCTTCCATTTAAAATTATGTTTAAAATTGGGGGTCATATTATACATGGAGAGTGCATAGGGGGGACATGGGATTGGCTGCTGCTGTGAGCCGGAGATTGTCAGCGGCTATTGGGCATGTTGGCAAGGGCCGGTGTTGATTGGCTGTCGCTGCGGCAGTTGGGCGGGCAATTGGCGGCTTCTGCTGGCGAGGGGACATACGATCTCCCCCCATTTTCTTAATTTGGAGTCCCTCAAAATAAGGGCCGTCTTATACACGGGGGCATCTTATACACGGAAAAATACGGTATTTGCAGTGTTTATTGGGCCACTCATATATTTGACTGGATAAAAGTCTTCATGTGTGAGAGAACACACTTCCCTTTCCAGGGTTATGCGTAACAAGAACTGAATCAGGTCCAAAGTTCCTTAGCAGAGTGAAGAGTCTTAATTCCACATTGCTGAGAATCTCCCATACAGCGGAGAGCGACTATGCCTTCTCCTCACAAATCCAGCGGTTTACTACGGAGCAAGGTGCTGAAGTGACAAGGTGTAATCCAAGCACAGCACAGTCATAAATTCGACTTCTGATATTCAATCTGTGAAGGGGAGAGAAGTGAAAATTAGCAGGTTCAGACGGTAGAGCATGAGGTTCTGAGTCTCGGGGCTGTGGGTTCAAGCCCCAAGCTGGGCAAAAGATTCCTTCATTGCAGGGTTCTGGACTAGATGACCCTCGTGGTCTCTTCCATCTCTATGATTCTACAATTCTATACTTCTGCAAGTTGTTAGCCTCAGCCGCCGCTTGGGAGACTGCAGCACTCCTGTCTGCGTGGTCCCTTTCACTGTCACCCTGCACAGAACTTGCTGAGCCAAGGAAGGCAGGACAGCTGGTGGCAGATCAACATGGCTGGGGTATAAATATGTTTTTTGTTTTTGTTTTTAAATGTGGGGCCTTTTGCTATCCCGGGCCCACCTAGATGCCAGGATTTTGGAAGTCCAAAACTGGTAACTTTAATACGGTGGCCTACAGAACCTGTATCCTACTGTGTCTGAAAAAAAATTGTTACCACCTGCAGGGCCGACACACTCATGAGGCAAGTTGGTGGTGACTGCCTCAGGCGGCAGGACCCACAGGGGCAGCGGATCTCAATAGAGATCTTTTATTTCTCGCTTGTTCCTGATGCAGATCTTCACTCACCCCTTCTTCCCTGGTGAGGAGGAGGGGAGACACCATTTTGTGGTTTGCCTCAGGTGCCAAAATGTCTTGGGCCGGCCCTGATGAAGACTGGCCATGATATTGTTTGCAGGGACAGGATGTGTTCAGTAGATGCATCCAGCATCTCTTCCAAATGCCTAAGTGCTTAGAAGTGCTCATTACAGTGGTACCTCATGTTACAAACTTAATTCGTCCCAGAGGTCCATTCTTAACCCGAAACCGTTCTTAACCTGAGGCGCGCTTTCACTAATGGGGCCTCCCACTGCTGGCACGCGATTTCCGTTCTCATCCTGGGGCAAAGTTTGCAACCCGGAGCAACTACTTCCGGGTTAGCGGAGTTTGTAATCTGAAGCATTTGTAACCTGAAGCGTTTGTAACCCGAGGTACCACTGTATACTATTAACACTCTGAAAAATGGGCACGATCATTTCCCTGTTGCATACACACATATTGACAGGATCCCCAGAGACTATGTTATGAGATCTATCCTCCACTCTGCTATTTTTTAAAAAAGCTGAAGGTCTCTTGTGCGTCATCGTAATCCTTGTAACAGCCACGTAAGGTGGGTGAGTGTTGCAACAGTGGTACCTCGGTTCTTGAACATCTCCATTGATGAACGTTTCAGAACCTGAATACCAAAAACCCTGAAGTAAACACTTCCGTTTTCAAATGCGCCTTGGAAGTTGAACGGCTTCCACTGCACCCCCCCCCAATTTTCTCAATTCCATTTGCAGACAGCCCTTTGCGCCTCAGTTTTCAAACATTTCAGAACTCGAACTGTCTTCCGGAACGGATTACGTTCAAGAACCGAGGTATCACTATAAGGGGGAAAGAAAGCTGAGTAACAGAGGCTTTCCTCCCCATCACTTTGTGACAAACAACAAATGACCAGAATGATAATAAACATACACGTCAGGGTCATACGCTCTGTTGTCAATCCATCTCCACAATCCCTTGGAACCTTGCTGTGTTAAGCCAATGAAATACTCAAAATGGTTTGTTCTGTTGAACAGGAACATCTGGATAGGAGGCATTTGCAGAATAAGTAAGAGAAAACACAGTGAAATCCAAGAGCTCTGATATGCGAATGCAATGCAGTAATGGGGGGCAGGGCGGTGGTGGTTCTTGTCTTTAGCAAGGATGTCTTCTGGTTTTGGGGTGTGATAGGAATTTTGAGGTCTTAGATATATGGTAATGTTCATAACCGCACGTACATAGATCAGCACAGGAAGACCAACCTGAAGCCATTTTGATTCCTAAACTGAGCAAATGTTTTCTCTGCAAGGTCAAAGTGGAAAAGCCTCCCCATTGTCTTTTCCTTCACAAATCCTGTCTTAAGGGTATGTCTGTGTTTGAATAGGGTGTGAGCCTGTGACCTGGCCCAGGAACTAAGTATTTATCATTACAAAAGATTGGTCAGGCTCCCCAGGCAATCCAATCAAGTAACCTGCCAGACAGGAGATAAACAAGGACAAGAGAAAAACAACATTTAAATTTCTGTTTAGACTGCTTTTTTCTGTGATGTATGTATGATGTTTCTGGGGGTGGTCTTGATCTACAGGGTGGCAATTTCAAAATTCTTTATAAGGCCTTGCACAATATTTTTCTGGGTCCTCCTCCTTTCCTGTGTGTGAGGGGAGCACCCTGTTGCAACAGATCAATAAAGATCAAGCTTACTAGCTGCTTTGCTTCTCAATATTCTCTGGTTGGCCTCTGTAATTTTCTCCTACCCAATAGGGAGCCTATGTTAAGGACTCTATATGGGCTCTTGGATACCCCATAAGGGAAAAGGGCAATTTTTGTTTACAACAGGGGGTCCTTGGGCAAGCAGTGTAGTGTGGTTTTCCACAAGCCACATCCACACCTCAAGTGTCCCTGTTTTCCAGGGACAGTCCCAGATTTACAGAAGCTGTCACAGTTTCTGATTTGAACCCAGAATGTCCTGCTTTTTATTGGAGAAATGTCGGAGGGTATGGAGTTATCTGACCCCTGAGCCGTCTGAAGGCAGCCTTGTAGAAGGAAGGGTTTGGTTTTTTTTAAAAAAAGTTTAATGTTTTATTATGTTTTTATATATCTTAGAAGCAGCCCAGAGTGGCTGGAGTATCCAAGTCAGATGGGTGGGGTTTCAAATAGTAAAATTAATATTATGGAATAGGACATCCCTATTTTCACTGAAAAAATGTTGGACTGTATGCACACCACACATTTAAAGCACCATGATACCACTTTAAACAGTCATGGCTTTCCTCAAAGAATTCTGGGAGCTGTAGTTTCTTAAAGGTGCTGAGTGTTGTTAAAGGTAAAGGGACCCCTGACCATTAAGTCCAGTCACGGATGACTCTGGGGTTGCAGTGCTCATCTCGTTTTACTGGCTGAGGGAGCCGGCGTTTCTCCGCAGACAATTTTTCCAGCTCATGTAGCCAGCATGACTAAGCCGCTTCTGGCGAACCAGAGCAGCGCACGAAAACGCCGTTTAGCTTCCTGCCGGAGTGGTACCTATTTATCTACTTGCACTTGACATGCTTTCAAACTGCTAGGTTGGTAGTAGCTGGGACCGAGCAACGGGAGCTCACCCCATCGCGGGGATTTCAACCGCCAACCTTCTGATTGGCAAGCCCTAGGCTCTGTGGTTTAGACCACGGCACCACTGAGTGTTGTAAGGAGACCCCCTGTGGGTTAAACTACGCCGGCCAATAAAGCGAGATGAGCGCCGCAACCCCAGAGTCAGCCACAACTGGACCTAGTGGTCAGGGGTCCCTTTACCTTTACCTATTCCCCATTCTAAGCCTGGTTTAACAGCCAAACCCTTTTTCTTCACAGGGAACGCCTTTTAAAACAAATCTAAACTATTCATGCCATTCATTCTGGTTGTGCAAATGGTACCATGTCTTGTCTAGCCCTGAAAAGTTAGCAACTGTGAACTATTTTATGAAAGCAGGCCAATAATTCGATCACAGAACACCATGCTTATTTTTTTGTTGCTTTGCAAAGCAGTCCTGTCTTCTCACCAATTCTGCTTTGTTGTTGACAACAGCAAGATGAGCATTTGATTGAGCACAGTCCTCCTGGCTGTCATTCCATGTTTTTTCTTCGGCAGAAAAGAAGTAGCATTTGCCAGCATAAAGTACCCATCTTATGGGGCAGCCTGTAGAAGTTAGGAGAAACAGGAGACGACTGGATTTAATATATACAAAGGAGCAGAAATTCCCATTTCCCCCATGAGCTGTTTTATTACATACCATCTTTTACTCCTGATGGGGTGAGAATGGGGTCTCCTTGGAAGAAGATCTGTGAAGCTGAATGAAAAAGACTCATAAGAACCTGTGAACTCAGCACATTTATTACCCGAACAGAGGGAGTCAACTACATTAGTCAAAAAACAACATTTTAAATGCAACACCAGATGGCACTGTAGAGCACAAAACTTTTCTATGAGATTTTACATAGCGTTTTTTCTTTTAAAGCGATTTAATTTATGACTTATTTATAGTGTTTTTTCTGCTGTGTGTAGATCCACCCAAGGATGTTTCAGAGCAGTACATTTCAGATTTTCTGCTTTAAGTGAATGCTTTCCACCTTGGCCAAAGAACCCCTACAAGTTACAGAGGATGATGGGACATCCTTTAGGGCAAACACTCAGTCATCCAAGGGACTTTCAGGCAGACACACACCATACATTTAAAGCACATGACTACCCTCAAAGCTGAGGCTCCAGTACTTTGGCCACCTCGTGAGAAGAGAAGACTCCCTGAAAAAGACCCTGATGTTGGGAAAGATGGAGGGCACAAGGAGAAGGGGACGACAGAGGACGAGATGGTTGGACAGTGTTCTCGAAGCTACCAGCATGAGTTTGAGGAAACTGCGGGAGGCAGTGGAAGACAGGAGTGCCTGGCGTGCTCTGGTCCATGGGGTCACGAAGAGGCAGACACGACTAAACGACTAAACAACAACAACCCTCAAAGAATCTTGGGAACCTTCGTTTGTTAACGGTACTGGGAATTGTAGCGCTGTGAGGGGGAAACTGCAGTTCCCAGAATACGTGTGTGTGGGGGGGGGAGAAGTCACAGGATTTAAATGTATGTTGGATGTCTGGTGCGAATCTGCTCCATATTTGCTGGTCCTCACCATTGCCCACATGAAATGGGAAAGTACCCTTGAATCAACATTGTATATTTGTCCTGGTCTGGTGCATACAATGCATGTTGTTTTGTAGTTGGGTGATTTGTGCTCATACTGTATCGTGATGGCCATTGTCTATAAACATTGTCTCTGCTGTGTGCTGTTGTCCCCTCCCCTCGTTTACTACTCCCCGCCCCCCAGATGCTCTAGATACCTGAAGCCCACTGTGGGCATGCACAGGTATGTATTTTAAAATAAAATAAAATAAAACATTTCGTCTGTGAAATGGTGTAATAAACAAAGCCATTATTTCCAAGTATGTTTGAAAGTGGGAAAGACAGAGGCAATTTTAAAATTGTGCATGCTTAATTGTGTATTATTCCTGAACTAGGCGGTGGTTTTTATTTCCTTTTCTCTACCCTAAAAGTCAGTTAAATTGTTACACCTCATCTCAGTTGCTGATACTCTGTTGTTTTATTCTTATTGCTTTTACTCATTGGGGTTATTCTTCTTCTAGTGTTTAAATTGTTTTATTAATGATTGGAAAATCACCCTGGGAGCATTTTTTAAAATTTATTTTTCCTGAAGCTGCAGGACAGAAACTTATTTGTTCGTAAGTAAGTATCCTCTGGCAGGGGAGCCGGTTCTCCCTCACAAAGCAACACTCATGAGGCAGAAGTTGGTAGCTCTCTGATCAATCGCATGACAAACCACCAGTGGCAACAGCCTGTCCTGCGCTTCTTTTGGAAACACCAGACATTTGGTTAATGAAGTCATGAAGACTTCCGTTTTTCAGGAAGTAGGACTTTTGCTGCCATAGGTTTGTTGCACAATGTGGGCCAAAGTTAAGAAATAGCTCTGTGCTGTTGATAAAACCGCCTTGCTGCCCTCCCACTCCTCAGAAACAGTGTCTCCACACAAATGAGAACAGGGAAGGCTCAAGAAATTTTGCTGCCTGAGGCAAAGGTCAAAATGGCCACCCCCAGTGCTTTTTTTCTAAAAAAAATATGTTTAGGGGTAATTTCATTTTGACTCAAGAAAACCACCATTTTATAGTTCGAATCGGGGAAAATAAATACAGTAAATGGACAAAAGTACGAAGATTCACAAAATGTTTAGGGGTATGCGCACCCCTGCGTCCCCACAGAAAAAAAGGACTGGCCACCCCCAGTTTCACATACAGAAGCCGACTGACCTGGTAGTTGAGTCTTAGGCAGTGTACACAACATATATTTAAAACACACGGCTTCCGCACTCCCAAGAATCCTGGGAAATGAAGTTTACCTTTCACAAAGCTACACCCTTGACAAACTACACTTCCAGTGGGTAGTAGTGCGCTTTAAGTGTATGGTGTTCTATGCAGCCTTCGTTCAGGGCTAGCAATGGGACAATGGCCTCCATCACGCAACTGAAGCCTAAGTTAGGGTACCCAGGGCAGACCATGTGGAACCCACAGAACCGTCCTCTTAACGCTTGGGCACTGCTCCTCACCCCCAGTGCCCGCTTCCAAAAGAAGTTGCCTCACTCTGTCTAATGGTAGGACTGGCTCTGCCCGAGAATGAGTGCAGCTCTGTGGAGAGTCAAAAGAAGTTCAAGCAGAGGAGAAGTTCAGAGATGATGGGTTCTTTTCAGCCAGAAAATCCTGTCATAAGTCAGATAAATTAAGGATTTATACAATTTGGAGATTGGAACTGAGGGAAGTCAGGGGGTGGGGAGGGGTTGTTTTATGGGGGGAGGGGGAAAATAGGGGGGAATTAAGGATGATATGTTTTAAGATAATATGTTTTGTTTAAATTCGTAATAAAAATATTTAAAATAAAAAAAACAGAAAATCCTGTCATCATTTCTTAATGCAATCTGATGACAGTTTGCATTAATCTCAAATGACAGTTAAGAAGAGCTTATTTTCACTCACCCCTTTTACCATTTTCCAAACTGTTTTGGTACATTTCTTTATCTTTTCCAAAAAGCTGTTTGATCAGAGGCAACCACAAGACAAAACAATTTGGTACAAGCCATCAGAGCTAGGGCAAGGTTTCTTTACAGGACAGCAGAGATAATTCCCCAAGCAGCAGCATATTACAGGATCAAGAGTTGGCCAGAATGTGTTTTCAATTTACTTTTTAATTTAAGTAATTTAAAAATCACATTGCTATGTCCAGGGCTTTTTTCCAGCCAGAAATCACTGGAACTCAGTTCCGGCACCTCTCAGGTGGGTGCCACTGCCATTCTAAGAGAACAAGGGAGGTGTTCACAGTGAGTTCCAGCACCCCCTTTTCTAGAAAAATAGAACTGGCTATGTCCCACATTAGTTTCCTGGGCATCTAATACAGATTAGAACCCCCATTTTATCCATAAGAGAACAAATCTTAAAGTCCAGACACATGGCCCTTGAATATCTTCCCCATGTCAGTTTGAGGAGGGAGGATTTTCACCAGAAAAAAATTATATGGTGGCGGGACTAAAAGGCCAAGCCCTCCTTAATTCTGGATAATGTTATAGTTTAGGCCCTAAAGGGGCTTTCAAACTGCTGTGCTGTGCTTTGAAGTCCCAACAATCAGTACTTCAAAGTGCAGCATCACCTGACGTCATCCCCTGACAGGGGATGGGGAGACAAGGAACTGGACCTGCTGGCCAATAATGATTCTCCACCCCTGTCTTAGGGGTAGCTGATGTGGTGCTCTCCAAATGTTGCTGGACTACAACTCCCATCAGCCTTAGCCAGCATGACCAGTGGACAGAGATCATGGGAGTTGTAGTCCAACAACATATGGAGCGCACAACACCCTTTGTTATAGGTAAACTGCACTATCCTGCGATTCCAATTTTGATTTGCAATGCTGCTTTCAAATTGCAAGCTGTTTATGCTCTTTGTTTTTGATAACTGCTTGATTTTATTTTAAAAATCCTAAACGAAGGTTTGCAATAATAAAAAAGAGCAAACTAACTCTTTGCAAATGGCAGTCAGGTCTGCCAAAGCAGACTCTACTGAAAGTTCACATTCAGCATGATACTCACCATAGAGAAGGAACAGTGAAGTGCCTATTAGCTTAATAACTAAGAGAATCATGAGTGGAACTATGCAATCCCACTTCATTTTCCCCAGCAAGCTGGCCACAACAAACTTAGGAGGAAACCTCTGTGTACGGCACACACGTTGAAACCTTGAGGTATGTCTCCAGCATTGGCTACATCTGAAATGTAAAAATGCCCATGATTAAAATGCCCCAAACTATAGAGGGCTCTGGGTGCCTGAGCACCCACAAAATTTTTGTTGCGGGTGCTCAGCACCCACACCTCAGGGCCCCAACGCAACTTCTGAGCTCTTGCAAGGCCTTGGACAGCATTGCCAGCCATGTCAGGGCACACAAAAAATAAGCTTACCAGAATGAAAACAGGGCTTCTCCCTTTGTTATTCCTGAAGAGGTGGCTGTCCCGAATGGGGCTCAGTTACGCTGTTTCTCACTACTTGGCTTTCACGGGTGTCTTGCGCCTGCTTGGAGAATGATGACTTAAATGTTTCCTGCAGCTTCTGATGATTCGGAGGATGCGTACACCAAGCAGCCTTCTTAGAAATGCCCATGCTGAACTTCCCCTCTTACAGACCAGGGTTTCTGTTGTGCAACTCAATGTGTGTGTATGTTGGCGGGGAAAGTACAGTGCTTGCAGTGGCTTAGTGCTAAAATAGGTTCAAGGCTTTGCCCTACTGAGCTAGTGGTATTAATCAGAAAAGGACATACAGAGAGGTGATGGATGGGTGGGAGACAAATCAGAGAGAATTTTCCTAAGGATGTGAGGCTGAGGGAGGGGGAAGAGTCTTCTGGCGAGAGCTGGGAAGACTCACTGCTTTGTATGTGGATTGAAGATTAAGATACAATTATGACAGAGGGCTAGATATAATTTTGTGTTTTATTAGGATTACAGTGGTACCTCGGGTTACATACGCTTCAGGTTACAGACTCCGCTAATCCAGAAATAGTGCTTCAGGTTAAGAACTTTGCTTCAGAATGAGAACAGAAATCGTGCTCTGGCGGCGCAGCAGCAGCAGGAGGCCTCATTAGCTAAAGTGGTGCTTCAGGTTAAGAACAGTTTCTGGTTAAGTACGGACCTCCGGAACGAATTAAGTACTTAACCCGAGGTACCACTGTACTGTTGTTGTTATTCTTCATGTTCTTTTTCTCTCTGCTTCCTCTTTTCTTCTTTTTACTCTTGATCTTTTTGTGTTCTTTTCTCTTTCCTTTCCTTTTTGTCTTTTTGATTTTATTTGTTCAAGATATTATTTTACTGTATTGTGGAAACCTTAATAAAATCTTGGGGGAGGGGGAGAAAAGGACCTGAGTCAGACCAAAAATAGAAGAAATTTAAATCAAAACAAAACACAAAAATGATGAAAACATAAAAACTCGGCAGTAAGTAGGGTTGCCATATTTCAAAAAGTGAAAATCTGGACACAAATGTTGTTGAGCTTTTTTTTGGGGGGGGGGGCAGTTGGGCACCATTGCCATTCTAAGAGAACAAGGAAGATGTTATGTACTAAGCTTGGATCCTAGAACAATAGGCAAGTAGGTTTGGGGCCAATTCAATCACTGTTTTACAAGCTGCAATTGTTCTTGTTGTTTAGTCGTGTCTGCCTCTTCGTGACCCCATGGATCAGAGCACGCCAGGCACTCCTGTCTTCCACTGCCTCCCGCAGTTTGGTCAAACTCATGCTGGTAGCTTCGAGAACACTGTCCCACCATCTCGTCCTCTGTCGTCCCCTTCTCCTTGTGCCCTCTATCTTTCCCAACATCAGGGTCTTTTCCAGGGAGTCTTCTCTTCTCATGAGGTGGCCAAAGTATTGGAGCCTCAGCTTCAGGATCTGTCCTTCCAGTGAGCACTCAGGGCTGAGTTCCTTAAGAATGGATAGGTTGGATCTTCTTGCAATCCATGGGACTCTCAAGAGTCTCCTCCAGCACCAGAATTCAAAAGCATCCATTCTTCGGTGATCAGCCTTATTTATGATCCAGCTCTCATTTCCATACATCACTATTGGGAAAACAAGCTGCAATAAAGAGCATGAAATCACTACAGGACTCCGAGTATATTTCAGGAGGTATTCAGGGTGAGTTCCAGCACCTCTTTTTCTAGAAAAATAGCACTGCCTATAGGGAGGGGTGATATTTCACACATGTGGTCCCTCTGTCATTTAGGGCTTTCAGTAGTAGCACAATCACCTTCAAGTTGGGTCTGAAAAAGAACTGGCAACCAATGCGGCTGTTTTAAAACTCATATAATATAAATTCCAAGTGGTACCGCAGCCAGTAATCTGCCTGCTGTGTTTTGGATCAGTTGGACTTGCTTGTCAAAGGGGTGATCAAAGGTTTTCCCTATTAGGGCAGAAACAACACTACCATGAAGCAGTGTGTGGTGTCCATGCTCATGTGGTGGATATAGGATATAGGATGGGAGTGGGAGACAACCAGATCTAACCCACAGGGAAAAACCCACTGAGAAAATGGTAAAGGTACCCCTGCCCATACAGGCCAGTCGTGTCCGACTCTAGGGTTGCGCGCTCATCTCGCTCAAGAGGCTGTGAGCCGGCGCTGTCCGGAGACACTTCTGAGTCACGTGGCCAGCGTGACGAAGCTGCTCTGGCGAGCCAGCACCAGCGCAGCACACAGAAACACCATTTACCTTCCCGCTATAAAGTGGTACCTATTTATCTACTTGCACTTAGGGGTGCTTTCGAACTGCTAGGTGGGCAGGAGCTGGGACCGAACGACGGGAGCTCACCCCGCCGCGGGGATTTGAACCGCCGACCTTACGATCAGCAAGTCCTAGGCACTGAGGTTTTACCCACAGCACCACCCGCGTCCCTCCAATGTCTCCCACAAATGCCTCAAAGTAATGGGAAACATTAGTCTCCTGTCCTGTCACCATCATCTACAAATTTATTTGATAAGCCACTGGTCTTGATAACTTTTCCAGCACAAAGTTCCAGCACAAACTTTCTATTACATAGACAATTAAATAATGATAAATAATAAACGTTAAAATGCAGTGTGATTATCCTAAGACATTTTTCCATCGTAATAAAAACCCTAACCGATCTCCAGAGATTTTCCCGTGTACCTCTTCATTTGATTATAAGCCATGTTCTGTTTTGACAACAGTCATTTGCTTAAGTGTCTTATGGGAATGGTTATGGAAAACTGGAAACAGAATCCTTCTGCTCTTTGCATCTTCATGTCCCGGTTTGACCACACCTGGGCAATTAGGAAAGCAAAGTTTACGCAAAGTACTGAGGAACTTTTAAAGCAGATTGCAAGGAGCCAAAACAACTCATGAAGTTCAATGTAGATGATAAAAAGAACCCTGCAGGGAAACACACCAAACTTAATATTCATCTTGCTGGGTTCCGAAATAATTATTTTTCTGGGTATCTCCTTTTGGGGCAAACCACATCCACCTGCCAGTCACCTGACACCATATACTGGCAGATTCTGTGATCTGTTGTTCAGTCCTAAGCCTTTATTGCTAATGGAAAGGATTTCTCATCTCCAATCTTAGTGTTAACCACCACAGCACTAAGACTAGAGATAAGCCTCTGGCCTGCTCTTTAAAAGCCAGCAGGCAGAGGATTTTGTTATGTACTGAAGTTCTCACCCTGGGCCAGCAGGGGGATACTGTAGATAGTTATGCAAATGAAGGATCGAAAGTGACGTTCAGTGATTGGATAGTTTGTATGCAAATGAAGGATCAAAAGTGACGTTCAGTGATTGGCTAGTTACAGAAAATGGTTACTGTTGCGTTCTAGTGGAGCTCTATATAAGCAGGCTGACTGAGCTCCTGAGTTCAGTTCTGTTCCAGCTTACAAATAAAGAGCTGCTTTGGAAGAATCGCTGTGTCATCTGATATGTTCACCCACAACTTAACAGATTTTTTCTGATCTTAGCGCTGTGACACTACAGCACTAAGATCAGAGGTAAGACCCTGCTGCTGGCGTTTACTACCAAGGAACCGCAGCTTGCCCCTGGCAGTTTGAACTCTGAATCCCCTTATGTCATATGGAAGAACATCAAGTCAAAGGGAAAACCAGCTTGGCCCCAACAGCTGCAAGGTCTTTGCTTTCTCAGTCCCTCACAGAAAGAGCACTCGGCTCCAACTCTCACTGTGGACCCGAAGGGAACTGTGTCCTCGCCTCATTAATAAGTCACAGTAACTTGTGAATGTATGTGTGAGGGTTCTCCCAGCCCAAAGGTGCGGGGGGAGCTTACAACTTGTTGTAAACTACTTTGAGAATCAGTTGATTGAAAGGTGGGGCATATATCTCCTAAATAATTAATGATAAATGATAAATAAAATTGATATTAAAATTCTGAATTTGAAACAGGAGCATCATGACATATAGTCTTCTCCCCTTCTCACCCCAACGTTGGATGGGATTGGGAAGACCATTACCCCAAAGAAGTCATTAAACGTTTGTTCTCTGCCTTCCAGATGAAATGGCCTCAGATGAAATTTTACACCCTTTGTGGAATATTTGGAATGAAGGAATTATGCTGCTAAAAATAAAATCATGACGACTTGTTGACTGCCCTGAAATATCAGAAAAGTGACTAAGGTATTGTGTTACATTTCTATGAGGCATGGGTTTTTTTGCTTGGTTGCCACAGGTGCCATTTAAAGAAACAATAATTGGAGAACTCTGGTCATTTGCATTGGTCATTTGCTCATCTTCAACAAATTAAAACCTCCTCTCTAACCATTTTCAGAGTGAACAAGATTCCCTGTATCTTCCACGAATACAGCTATCATTTCTGTGGGATCCACCATGTCTGAAGACCAGATGAATCACCTCTCTCTACTTGGAATCTTTTACCTCATTGTTTCAGGTACTCTTCATCTCTTGGGCATCATCACAAATTATCTTCATTCTAATATTATATGGAAGGGCTCGTTTCTCATTTACATTAAATGTTACTAGCCTTGCAGTTCCCCTCTTTCTGTAGTTTACAATTGGTGTGAGGAGCAGAGTAGGGAGTGAAACCCTTGACGAAATTGTTTGGGATGAAATCTGGTACGCTAAGCTCTTTTCTTCTTTATTGACCCGTATTTGAGATAATTTCCTGGAAACAGTCCATAAAGGGTACTCTACACTTATGCGACTAGCACAGATTCAGGATAGAAATATTTGGACATGTTGAAGGGGATGTGGGTGTTATTGACACAAATGCTAGGGTTGCCTCATGTGGCTACTTTTGGGCACAAATTCTTAAGGAAACTGAAATCATTATTGACCCTCAATACCAGTCCTAAACCCCAAATGGTGTCTTCTCTCTATTTTCTCAGGAATTAGTGCTGACCTCTCTATAAAACCTTTGGTGATTTTCCTTTTAGTTGCAACTACACAGGTTGTAACACAGGGATGGAAGGATGTTTATGTCATTAATGTAAATTGATGGTACAGTGGAACCTTGGTTTTCAAACGTAATCCGTTCCGGAAGACAGTTCGACTTCTGAAACACCCGAAAAACGAAAACTGAAAGCAGAAGCCTCAGTACAATAAAGGTAAAGGTAAAGGGAA